GAAGTATTATTTTTAGGTCTTAATTGATGAAAGAAGATTTCAAAACAATGTCACCATCAAACCAAGTAAAAAAATCAAAATAAATCAAGGCACAAGAAGTTTTGAGCAAATAAAAAAATGTGTGCTGATCCATGTGTCAATCTATTATGAAAACGTGTTACCAACTGTGTTCACCTACCTAAAGAGAGATAAAATGTCAATCCACTGAGTAAGTGGTGTCAATATAATCACTGAAAAGAGAAAAAAAATGAACTACTAAGTAGGACATTATATTTAGACATGTGGCAAAGTGAACTGCCATGATATGTGCAAAACACATAAATCAAGTCACACATGACAATCATTCAACACAAGATCAATATGTAAAATGTCCAAATCAAGATGACAAGTGGCATTGCACTATATGGCAAAGTCAAAATGTTTAAGTGATGTAGTGAAGTCTCACTATTAAAAGGAGCTTGAATAAATTACTAATGAATTAACGTCACTGATGGTAAGATCGTTAAGAATGCAGTAGATCTTCTAAAGAGAAAAATCTCATGAGGAAAAATAATCTCTAACATATATTCACACATAGTAGAAGAGTCTTTAACAAGAAAATTCAAACATGGAATCTGTACAAAGCACATGGTGAAATTAAAGCACATCAAAATATCAATGACCCATCAAAATATTGCAAACTCACATGTCTACATTAATTCTATCAAACTTATTCAAACTAGGTCAAGCAATCAACTAGGACCATTTGGTTGTAGAGTCTACCGATTGGCAAATCTATGACTCAACCCAACATATCTTTGATCAATCACATGTCTCTCATTTGAAGCGCCAACGATCAATATCCAAGGATCTTTAAAAGTTATGGGACAAGATTTCAAGCAATACCTCAATCACAAATAAATTCTCTCATCTTAGTTTCTGAATTCAAGTGACAAGTTATTAGTCCACTTAAAACTTTATCCATTGTATCAAGCATTTCCATCTACAAGTTTATTTTCAAGTATCTTAGTATTAATGTATTTCAAGGATTTCTATCTACAAGGAAATTGTGTTCTCAAGCATCATGAGATCACTACATTTCAAAAAAACTTTTTAATATTTCAACTTTCATTCAAAATGATAAATGCATTGACTTGAGAGAAAAACATTAAATGTGCTAAAGACAATAGTGAAAATGATAAAAAATTATAGTACATTTAGAAATCATCTATTTTAGTTTTAAAAATCACAAAAATAATCAAGAAAAGAGACAACTATATAAGAAACGTCTTCTCTAAAGCATACCAAAAGGAAAAGTCACTGAAAGATTGAAATCAGAAAAAATCTCAAGCATCAAATGGCTTCATCTCTACAAAACACATGCATCTCCAGGACAAGGAGTTCATGCCATTAGAAATTTTGCATTGGATTTGAAGGGCATTATATGGTTACTAGATTGTTTGTGATTAGTAACTAAGTTTATCTCATACTCAATCAAACCAAGAGCCATAAATTTAAAAGAAATTAATTAAGTACCAATGTAGTTGACCTCTTGGAGCCATTAATACAAAAGAAATTATCTGAGTGGTAATTTGATTAGCCTTCTGAAGGTGCAAATTTAGAAGGAATATTTCTATGAAACAAAGGTTGGTAAGAGATATGAAATCTAAGGGTGCTAGCTAAAGCCTTATTCATTAATTTTTATGCTTTGATTTTGTACAACCTAAGGATTAGGTTCTTAGATAATTAGTATATTAAGTCAGTCAAAACACTAATTTTCCAATTGTATTACTTCATTTGAAAACTAAAAATCAGGAGTGATTACAAAAGTCCAATTCATCTCCTCCTAGTTACTCTTGCAGATTTTTTAAAAACCAATAACATAATGACTATGAGTTTTAACATGTAAAAGCCAAGAACATTATAGTCAAGCATAAGAACTTACATATCAGAAGAAGAAATATAAGATAATATAGGAAACTATTACAGGTCTGTGAATAAAGCCAATGTCATAGAAAAGTGTATACATTACCTCAAATTGATCAAATCCCATTTCTTATTTAAATAGATTGTGGGTGCCTACAACAAAAGATCTGGTTGGTTTTATTTCATTTTTCAATCCAACATAAGACAAAGCACATTACATCTTTAGAAAACTAATGAATTCAAATCAAGACATCAATTATGAACAAGCGGCATGAATTCATAGTTGCACGTGGTGATACAATGAGTGAAAAGGCCTATTTCAGAATTAGTTGGAGCATCAATTTATGTTATTTTCTTATTTTTTGGGAGTAGTTTTAGGTTTCAATAAAATAATAAGCTTAATATCAAAGGCTTAAGTAAATAAAAGAGAACATATGTCGATGGTAGGTGAATCATCTTTGCAAAGAAGTACAATCAAAATTTGGTATCACTAGTTGATGTGCACTTTTCATTGTGTTTAAATGCCCATTATCTAATAATATTTAAAACTAAGACTTAATAAAATATTAGTATAGATGTAAGTCTCAAGTTGAAGATTGATTATTTGTTGTGAAAATTAATTTAGTTTATATTTAAAGTGATTCTAATATTTTATTTTTATTTAATAAAAATAATAAAATAAAAGGGTGAGGTAATAAGAATAAAGGAAGGGAATCAAAGAAGGGAAGGAAGACAAGAGAGAGGAAGAGAGAGAAATCTCACGTGAAATGGAGAGAGAGAAAAGTCTCATGAGAGAGAAAGAGAGAAAGAGAAGGAGACTGATCCAGAGAGGGATAAAAAGGGAGAGATCTCATGAGAGAGAGAGAGAGAGAGAAAAAAAAGAAAAGGTCTCATGGAGGGGGGTAGAGAGAAACAAGACGATAATAAAGATAGAGAGAAATATGATCAACTCATTTTCATGGTGATCATAATTCTCAGATGAATGTGTGATCGAGAATTTACAAACATGACATGAGGTCAAACATGAATGTCTCCACCTTATTTTAACAGTTCAACACTCATTAATTAACCTTTAATCTTGTTGATTTCACATTTGAAAATAGAAAAATATTCATTATTCATTGAACGTTAAGAACACTAATACTTCAAGATTCGACTACAAAAAATAATATAAAACAAGTTGGACACGATCTTAGTTTGATCTCCAATGAGTTTCAGAGGATTCAGAAAAAGAATGAAGATCTATTAGGATTTAATTAATTTTACTCATTTCAATCAAAATATACATGAAATAGATATGACTTGACATAAAATGTAAATAAATATTGAAAGCACATAAATAAATGACAAAAGTAAGAAATAAATCATTGCCCAAGTTTAATATGCTTCTTAGACAATTGAAGACACTAATGCAGTGGCTTGATTTCGTCCGAATGTGCCATACTACGTCAAAAGTCGCAAAAGTATCATCTAAAAGTATTGCACTGCTTGTTGGAGAGATCTATTGAAAAGAGGGGTCGACCATGTTATCATTGTCGTCTAGGGAGAGAAGGAAAGAGTTGACCACTCACTAGAGGCCTTGAGTGCAATCGGAGGATGAAGGAACGAGCTCGCCAATTACCAAAGGTGTTGATCATGCAAAAAGAGCAAAGAATAAATATTGTATTTGCAACTACTATCGAGTTTTCAAAGATAATTGATAATATATATTATATCATATAATAATTAATTATTGTCTTTATATCCTTGATGGTGATAAGTGCAAGAACTCAAGTTCTTAGTATCATGGCACTTCACGTACCACTAGATCAGATGTGCTTGGTCGCGTGACACATTAAGCGATGGATCAAGCTGCCACGAACCACTATCTACCAAGAACTTAAGTGTCTAGTACCGTGGCACTTCACTTGTTACCGGATCACCGTTTCTGATCACATGCATATTGAGTGACGTAGGATTCATGAACCGTTAACAGAATACTTCATGTCTTGGATATCGTGGTAGTTCACCTGCCACAGGATTTGACTTATCTAGTAATGTGGCCACTAAGTGCTACTCGATCACACCATGCTCCAGACCACTGCCTTGAAACAAATGAGAACATTTAATCCCACATCGAAAGTTTTTAAGTGATTGAACTAAATATATATGAAAGCTATGTTCTTAGTCTAAAAATCTCTTCCCCCAAATAAAATAATATTCAATACCATCTTGGGAGAAGGTAATAGGTGGTCTGCCCTCATGTGCACACGTATATGATGCTTCTTGCTCCACAACATGTTGGCCCCTAAGACATAGCAAGAGAGTGACGCACATGTGTGTGAAGTGAGTCCTTCGTCACTCAAGTGAGGCCTTGCTCCTTCAACTTGTTGGCTCCCCTAGTCTGGGTCTACCCACTCAAACACAGTGCCCCTTCAGGTCAACTGTTGAGTGCTAGCTTGCTAGTAGACGATGATATTTTTATATTTTTTTCTTATATTTTTTCTAAAAATCAAAAATTATGTTGTCTTTTAACTTCATACTTCCTAAGTTAACACACAAAAAATGAAATAATAAAACTAATTAAAACACAAAAATCTAGCTTTAACACTAGTGAAGTATCATTGTTTAGTGTTTTCTCTTTTTTTCAACTTTAATTATCTATTATATGTTGATAGTTTTTCTTGCGAGTGTATCATGTTTTAGAGTCATAAATGCAACATTGCTTTCATATCAATCATACTTTCTTACTTGCCATCCCACTCACTTGCACACCATTTGTGCCCATTCATGTGCACACACCTAGTTAGATGATTGTTCACCTATTGGTCATCATTTTTTTCCCATTTGAACATTATGGCACCTAAGTTCTGGGTTCTAATTTCTAGGCCCCCATAAGATTGTCAAAAATTGATACTCTTATTAATAGAATGTAGTGGTATGCATGAAGAAGCTTTTTCATCATGAGGAAGCTATTAACGTACAAACTCATAGCTGCAATGTAGTCTCCTATAGGCATAGTATGAACTATATTTTATGTTGGGTAGACTTAGGATTAACTTATTTGATTTGCTAATAGTGCAAATGACTACATATGTTATTATTTTGAGATATTATTAACCTTTATGTTCTCATCAAAGATCAATTCTCCTCTCTTTAATGACAAAGGTAAATCAAAGTGTTATTATCTCATTCTTCTGTGTTAATTATACAATTCTAACAATAGATAGCTCATTGAGTTTTAAAGACAACCTTTAATAGAAATTTGAGAGGAAATATCTTGGTCTAGTTACAAGGTTTTTAGGTCTTCAGGTCATCTCTACCTCAAATAATTATTCTAGCTCTCAACCCAAGCATCTCTGAAGTTTTCTCAAGATGAGATGATTGATTGCAAAGAACTCTTTCATCTTTTTCTACAACTTGTGACTGACAACTAAGATGTTACTCGTCTGTAGAAGGGGTGAGCATCACACATGCCTACATGCCATCACCACCAGTGAGCAAGCCCTCAAAAAAAAGGAGGCATTTTTGTGGTTGATCCTCAAATGACATATGAGTGGTTGATCAACATACGTGGTGCCTTGCTGCCTAAAACTTACAAAGTGGGCATGGATCCACCAGCATGTAGGGAGGAAGGCTGCATCCCAATGGACAAAGGGGGTAACAATGACTCACTCTAAGGTTGCGTTTGATGGTTGTGGCGGTGGTGGTGGTGGCAGCAGCAGCGGTGGAGGTCATAGTGGTGGTGGGTCCTATACTAATTGATAAAGCCACCAATATTATATAATAGGATATGCATATTTGGTATGATTATAGCTTAAATGTCTTAATAAAGTACACATTTGATGTAAACATATTTTTATGCCAATTTATATTATTTACTAAATTACATACAAAAAGTATTAAATTTTATATATTTTATAACATGTATATTCTATTGAATCAAAAGGGTTTTTTTATGCAATGCTAGGTAATAGATGAAAAAAATATATTTACATGCAGGGAAATAAGAAGAAGGATAGTTTAAATTTTAAATAGATTCTCTATTAATTTTTAAGTATTTAATGAGTTGACCATCAGATCTATTACTATTGGCCCATTATCACGCAGCATACTATCCCATTCCAATGGGTGGTATTTAAAGGGAGAGAGAAGAGAGAGAAAAGAGGGGCAATTGGTAGAAATTAGGTCTCACAAAGAGAAGACGAAGCAGAATGACGAGTGAAAGAACGAGAAATCACGATAATGACAACCACAACGATGATAGCAGTGACAACATTGACGGCAGTTGTGAGTCTCATTCTGTATGATAAGAGAGAATGGGCTGAGCATAGTGGTGGTGGCACTCATGACAGCGACAGTAATACTAGTGATGATAGCGGCAATAATTGTGATCTCTCAATCTACGTGACAGGTAGAGGAGGAGATGAACACAACAGCAGCAACACTCACAACGGCAACAGCACCAATGGTGGCGACAACAATAGTGGTTGTAAACTCTCGTTCCATGTGATAGATAAAGGAGGAGACGACCACGGCAGTAGCAACAACAAGGACAACAAATACACTCTTGACAACAACAATAGTAGTAGCGGCAATAACTGTGATCTCTCAATCTACGTGACAGGTAGAGGAGGAGATGAACACAACAGCAGCAACACTCACAACGGCAACAACACCAATGGTGGCGACAACAATAGTGGTTGTAAACTCTCGTTCCATGTGATAGATAAAGGAGGAGACGACCACGGCAGTAGGAACAACAAGGACAACAAATACACTCTTGACAACAACAATAGTAGTAGCGGCAATAACTGTGATCTCTCAATCTACGTGACAGGTAGAGGAGGAGATGAACACAACGGCAGCAACACTCACAACGGCAACAGCACCAATGGTGGCGACAACAATAGTGGTTGTAAACTCTCGTTCCATGTGATAGATAAAGGAGGAGACGACCACGGCAGTAGCAACAACAAGGACAACAAATACACTCTTGACAACAACAATAGTAGTAGCGGCAATAACTGTGATCTCTCAATCTACGTGACAGGTAGAGGAGGAGATGAACACAACGGCAGCAACACTCACAACGGCAACAGCACCAATGGTGGCGACAACAATAGTGGTTGTAAACTCTCGTTCCATGTGATAGATAAAGGAGGAGACGACCACGGCAGTAGCAACAACAAAGACAACAAATACATTCTTGACAACAACAATAGTAGTAGCGGCAATAACTGTGATCTCTCAATCTACGTGACAGGTAGAGGAGGAGATGAACACAACAGCAGCAACACTCACAACGACAACAGCACCAATAGTGGCGACAACAATAGTGGTTGTAAACTCTCGTTCCATGTGATAAATAAAAGAGGAGACGACCACGGCAGTAGCAACAACAAGGACAACAAATACATTCTTGACAACAACAATAGTAGTAGCGGCAATAACTGTGATCTCTCAATCTACGTGACAGGTAGAGGAGGAGATGAACACAACAGCAGCAACACTCACAACGGCAACAGCACCAATGGTGGCGACAACAATAGTGGTTGTAAACTCTCGTTCCATGTGATAGATAAAGGAGGAGACGACCACGGCAGTAGTAACAACAAGGACAACAAATACACTCTTGACAACAACAATAGTAGTAGCGGCAATAACTGTGATCTCTCAATCTACGTGACAGGTAGAGGAGGAGATGAACACAACAGCAGCAACACTCACAACGGCAACAGCACCAATGGTGGCGACAACAATAGTGGTTGTAAACTCTCGTTCCATGTGATAGATAAAGGAGGAGACGACCACGGCAGTAGCAACAACAAGGACAACAAATACACTCTTGACAACAACAATAGTAGTAGCGGCAATAACTGTGATCTCTCAATCTACGTGACAGGTAGAGGAGGAGATGAACACAACAGCAGCAACACTCACAACGGCAACAGCACCAATGGTGGCGACAACAATAGTGGTTGTAAACTCTCGTTCCATGTGATAGATAAAGGAGGAGACGACCACGGCAGTAGCAACAACAAGGACAACAAATACACTCTTGACAACAACAATAGTAGTAGCGGCAATAACTGTGATCTCTCAATCTACGTGACAGGTAGAGGAGGAGATGAACACAACAGCAGCAACACTCACAACGGCAACAGCACCAATGGTGGCGACAACAATAGTGGTTGTAAACTCTCGTTCCATGTGATAGATAAAGGAGGAGACGACCACGGCAGTAGGAACAACAAGGACAACAAATACACTCTTGACAACAACAATAGTAGTAGCGGCAATAACTGTGATCTCTCAATCTACGTGACAGGTAGAGGAGGAGATGAACACAACAGCAGCAACACTCACAACGGCAACAGCACCAATGGTGGCGACAACAATAGTGGTTGTAAACTCTCGTTCCATGTGATAGATAAAGGAGGAGACGACCACGGCAGTAGCAACAACAAGGACAACAAATACACTCTTGACAACAACAATAGTAGTAGCGGCAATAACTGTGATCTCTCAATCTACGTGACAGGTAGAGGAGGAGATGAACACAACAGCAGCAACACTCACAACGGCAACAGCACCAATGGTGGCGACAACAATAGTGGTTGTAAACTCTCGTTCCATGTGATAGATAAAGGAGGAGACGACCACGGTAGTAGTAACAACAAGGACAACAAATACACTCTTGACAACAACAATAGTAGTAGCGGCAATAACTGTGATCTCTCAATCTACGTGACAGGTAGAGGAGGAGATGAACACAACAGCAGCAACACTCACAACGGCAACAGCACCAATGATAGCGACAACAAGCAGAAGAGGGATCGAGCATAGTAGCAATAGTGTCCACACTCCCAAGCTTCAAATTAGGTGTTTTAGTTTCTGCATGTGTTTAATTCTTTACAAATGCTACAAATAGTAAATTTTGTGAGATTTTTTGTAGTTATCAACACAATTTAAGGTACTCTCCTAAACACAAGTTTAATACTCTGCCAACAAACTAACTCGAAAATATTTCCATGTATCATTTTTTAAAATTTATAACATTTTTTGTTAGTATTTTGAATTTTTAAAAGATCTAGGAAAGTTTTTAAGCTTCATTTACTTTTTCAATCATTTTTTGTCTTTAGCCTTAGTAAAACACTTAATAGAAAATATTCGTATATCACATAATACTAAGTCTTCCCTGTGGATCAACCTAGATCTACTATACATTATAAATAATCAAAAACATAATTTTCAAATATTTGATTTTAATAGATTTTAAGATTAATTACTTCTTAAAACGACTAGAATAACATCACTAATCACTGCATTGGTGGTTGGATCGCTGTATGCAGATCATGACTGATGGCATTCTTAAATCAGAATTGAAATGTCAGATCAAGACTACCAGATGGATCAACTTGCACCAGACCTGTACAGAAAATTATGGAATTCCCTGCTTGTATAGTCTACATAGTAAGTGTCACAAATGCCGGGTCTACAGTAACATCCTCAGCTGCTGGTTCTCTCTCCGCAGGGTCTGGACTTCCTTCTGTAGGTCATCGAGCTTCTCCAAAACCGTGCTCATTAGCCCAGCTACCTCCACCTGTATCAGAAATAAATCCTTGAGATGTGAAGATAGGAAGGAAGAGAGAGAGAGAGAAGGAAAACCTCCTGCATGTGGAACTGTCTCAGCAGCTCAATATGGAGGTTCCTCACGTCTTCATGTATGGACAGCTGCAAAGAGCCCAGGGACTCCTCTAGAGTGCGCTGAACAAGCTGGAGAGAGAAAGAGGACGACCCCTGGAGCTGCTCAGCGGAATGAGGCATGCTTGGCTGAAATTGAGCTCCAACGCCCTGCACAAGGTTCCTCATCAATTTCTCATTCAAAACTCTTTCAAAGAAAATCAACAGGCTAATAGTAACTATCACAGGATGGCTGCTGTTTCTGACCACAGACAAAGATTCATTCTTTGAGAGCAAGCTGCTTGTGATCTCTTCCCTGGTTTCGGTTCCAGTTTTCTTTGATGTAGGAGAACTGCCAGCCGAAACAGAACCATCAGCAGAGCTGGGAAATCTTCGAGGAAGGGCAGAGGATGATGCTCCAGGAAGGTCAACATTGGCCTGTGCTGCTAGTGTTTTGGCGGCCAGAGATGCAGAAACGGAACCCAGCCGGGATGCAGTTGATGGCTCAGAAATTACAGGAGGATTGCCAAGAAAATTTGATGATGTACTAAAGCTGGCTCCTGCTAATGAGCTCATAAAAGAGAAGCTAGAAGGATCGGATGAGTCTTGTAGACTGCTGGGTACAAAGCGTGACAGTGAGGGAGGCTGGCGGCGGCTGGTTAATTTGTCAGGCAGAGCATTGCTTCCCCATGCTTCACTGGTCATTGCAGAGGATGACTCACTCCTCGATGATGCAAGAGGTGCATCACTGGACTGGGAGAAACTGGAAGGCACATCTTCCTGTCAATAATAGCAAAAAATGGAAACAGTGCTTCGAAGCGTTAGCTTAGAAAAGATGAAATTATTGAAAGTGTTCTTCAAAAAGATGACTGATCAATGTAATTCTGAAGAGCTACTTCTTCCAAAACAAATTAAATTCAGTTTTTTGTTCTTCCTCAATGGAGACGGTAAAGGGGAGCAGAACCTGAGAAGAGGAAGAAGTGGACCTCCAGTCCGAGATAGGATGAGTTTCCAAAGTCCCTTCTGGGTATGGATGCTTCCTGATGGATGAAGAAAACAATGTCGACCTCTTCTCACCAGCTAGACCATCTTTTTTGGCTTCATCCTTGTCGTCCCACCAGTTTCCAAGAGAGGGCGTGATGGGCTGAACATCAACGAGTGGGGAGAAGACGTCCATATCGTCTTTTAATTTGTGGCTATTTCGAGGCGCTTGCAGCTTTAACAGAGAACCACCGGTCCATATTTGACTCCGAAAGGGAGTCACTTCTGACGCAGAAAGATATGATGCCGTGGTTGCTGTTCCAGTTGCTGAGGACAAACCACGAGCAAGCGTTGCAGCAGCAGCAGCAGCAGCAGAAAGGGTTGAGGATGATGCAGAAGGAAGTGGATCTGGCATGAGGACCGAATCTTCTCCAGCACTTCCAAGAAGGGCAATCTCAGAGGAGCAGTTCTCGTTCACAACCACGGGCTTAGATCTTTGCCAGCATAAACTTGTCACCGCCTGACGGATGATGAAAGATATTAGTATCCTATCTATTCTACCATGTGAATAAACTCTACCTAATCCGAGAAATCACTTGTTATAATCAGTTCAAAATCGTATATATAAATAATAATTGATGAATCATACGCATTCTAGCATCTAAATTTGCAAAATAAGAAATGCATTAGATAACTTCCGTTTACATGGATCAAAACATGTCATTTCTACTTCATCCACATTTTACTTTAGATCTCTACAGAAAGATTGGGAATGTGCAGACATCCAGGGTATCTGTCACTTAATTTAACACAATAATAATAATCCGCAATGTTTTCCTTTTACAGTCAAGAATGGTTGCCATCCACCCACCCTGGGACGGATTGTTTTTTTCTCATTTCACATTTCTTTCCAACTCAGACAATGGGTGGTTTCTTTTGAAGCTAGATTGCATCACTCTTCAGTTGTTTCCTATACACTACAGACCAAGAGGCCTCTTGTCATAAAAGCTGAATTAAAAAGGCCAAAAAAAGTAGAATGCCTGAAGAAAAAGGAGACACGAAAAAAAAAGAGCCAACAGAGTTGCGATGTTTACTTGATGAGGATCCAAACATCCCTATAATTCATTAAACTGATTGGTCTAGATCGGGAGAACCATACTCAATGCTACCTATAAATCATGTACAAGTGCCATTTAAGGAGATTTCATATGAAAAAAAAAATATTTCCTTGAACTTCTTTCAAAATACTCCTATAAGAGCCATTATCCCACGAGACCCAAGAACCTTCAGACAACCCCCTACAGGCCAGCTGTAATAGGAATATATAATTATATTTTGCACCATCAGAAGGCAACTTTCTAAAATAAGGGAACAATTTCACACAAGAACCAGCATCCCAAAATCTACGTTTAATTGGCATTGAGGTATGCACGATACTTAATGCATTTTGGAAGGGTATTACTATGGGTGGTTCTCAAAGGAGTACGAAATCGAACAACCATTCCCTGGATTACAGTAACAGCCAGGTCACATACCCACATTATGACCATGACAACAGACACAAACTACCCTGAATTCAGTTTACACCAGTGCCAATGGATTAGTGTTTCCATTCACGAGAGTCATTGGCATTCTCCATCCACATAGAATGAAGATGGCACAACATGACTGAACAGGGCTGTAAAACTACAGTATCCAACGTGATGTTAGTCTGCAATTTTCGCAATAGCTGTAAAACGATTTAGAATTATTTTAATTAGTTCATTTAACAGATTAACTATCTACAGATGGTAATGTTTAGACCATCCACTAAGTTTCCCAGAGAAATAAATCATCCACACACCGTTATCTTTTTCTTACAATATTTTTTTTCATTTTTGCAAATAGTCAACCCCGATATGTAATGCAAGTGACATTGTACAAAAGATAGAAATCCGTCAAACGAAAAAGCATGTTGCCGAAACGAGGAAAAGAGTAGCATGGGGTGAATAAATAATTCAGAACAGGCTCAGTACTTCAATCATTTCACCTTGTAGACATCATCGTACATGGAAAAATAACAATTGGTACCTCGAAGCTATTATAAGCACGAAGAAGAGTCAATGGTTGTGGTTTTCCTCGGATATCATAAAATACCACACGGCCAGTATTTGTTCCAGCAGCCAATATTAAGCCATCATCTCTAAATGCCAGTGAAGAGAAGGGCGCCTCATGAGGAGTACATGACGCAGGCCTTTTGCTCCCTGAATCAAGCATGTACAACTTTTTATCCAGGCCAACACTGGCAATTAACTGTGGAAGAAAGAAACTGGTAAATCATGTATATACATATGCCTATAAAACAAAAGATAAATAATATGTTTTTATCGAAAGAGCGTGCTTTAGGAAAGACCTTATCATTGGAAGGTGAAAAGCAAACTCCAGTTATGGGAGCAGAATGTAGTTTAAGCCAAGACATCTGTCACAAGAGAAAGCATGTCAATATTTCATTATATTGCACATTTATGCAGTGGGAAAATAAACAAGTGTAACCCAAAATAGTAAAAAAACCATTTCACTGACATTGAAGCGTCACTTTCTGTAGAATATGCATAGATCATTTCTATGGGAAAACGTTTCAAGCATTGTGCCCATCAAAACTACAAAAATGAATGACAATTATTTCAACAGGTTCAGCTTTAGTATCACTGTTTGATTTTCATAACTTATAATGCAAAAGGATATTTCAGCAGTCTTCTACACTGACCCTATTCTTAGTTTTCTTAAGTTAGAATATTAACCCTCCATAAATTTTATTTTACCCTTCCGAATAAAAACGAATCATTGTCAGCAGCATCTATATTTTGAACAAACGAAATATATAACACAACCCCATGGCGACAGACAAGCCTAGAAGAAATAGATGAGTATATTCTCAAGCATTCCCAAAGAAAGCCATACAACATATACACACTTGAACACACTACCTGACCATGTTGTTTGGTATAACCCCATGACCTAATTTAGGAGAATAATTGATAAGGCTATTGAATAACAGGCTGCAAAAAGTACAATATCCATAAACATCAGTATTTGGATCCATGTACATCATATAGCTTCACATTTATATACATATATATATATATAGTCATGGGAAAAATAATTCATACATACAAAGATTACCCTCCAAAACCATAGAATGAGAGCTGAACTTAAACAACGTAGACTATACAGTCATTGAAGAATACAACTAACTTTGCAAATCTACATCTGATCCCCAAAATATGTGAATAACAGAGTCAAACTTGAGACATTTGGAGAAAATCACATCTCCAGCCCCCTTCACCCACTATTCTAATGCATTGAACCTATGAATAAGAGTGGATAATGACAGGTTAAGATGGTAAGGTAATGGGCAGCTACGTTCAGTACACATGAAATGTTAATTAATATGGGGCCCAGAAGTTATATTTTCGCCTCAACAATCAGCCCAATAGAATAGCGAGCCTATGGAAGATCACAAACCTTTGGGCTGCGGGCAGTAGTATCCCACAAATGTATAGATCCATCATCACCAGCAGTCACCAAAATGTGCCGACTAAGTCGTGAATAATCAAGCACCCTCAACACCTACTTATCAGATATCAACAGAAACGGAGAAGTAACTAGCAGAATAAGCTGATTATTCAGATAACTGAAAGATTCCAGCACTGTTATTTGGATTACACAAAAAGAAAAATACAAAAACCAAAAAACCTGTTCACTTGGGTCCTTCAGCTCAGCGGCACGAGCTCCAGATGCAAGGTTGTGAAGAATGATATCCCCTTTCAAACTAATGGAAGCTAAATGCTCATCTTTGCAGTTATACATAACACCAGTAATCGTGTCAGTGTGCCCACTCAACCATTTAATGCAACGTTTCCTCTGTAGATCCCATATCCTTACGATGTGGCTACTTCCTCCAGAGCACAGGTATCTCGAACCTTTATGGCTAAAATTAATGGCGGATACAGATTCCTACAAAGCATTTCATTTCACAAGGCATCATTAGCTAGGTAGAAAAAAGCATCATGCTAGTGAAATCACATGGGATATGCCTGGATGAGGAGATCATGGGTTTGATTCTGAGAGATTCCATATACTTCCAAAAGGTGGACAGATGCAATGATGTAAAGGATACAATGAACCGCAAGCATATTACGCAGCCACTAACAAAGATAAGAGGAGATCGACTGTGACTTTGATTTTCCACTCATTTTTGGTTTCCTTGACTCGCTTGTAGCTTTGTTTCTCTCTCTATCATTTGGTACTATTCACGAGCTGTGTAATGGGTCCATTTGATCACATCTCTTGGGATAATGGGGAAAAAGGAAAGCACAAGAAACTCAGGACATTTATAGACACAAAATAAATACAAAATGGAAAATTGGCAGAGGGAAATACTTACACTAATATTATCACCAGCATCACTATCTGAAAGTGGCACTGTACCCATACTTTGCCCATTTTTCCGCCACAGGGTGATTTTTTTATCTTCCCCAGCACTGGCAACAACTAGATCTGCACGAACAAAAATACATTCAAATATACCCATTGGGAATTTTGTTTCCACCACCATTATGAAACATCTTGCTAAAATGCTTCTTCTAACAACACTCTGAGTTATAATAAAAATGTCTGTATCTTCCTCACTGCAAGGGATACTTTTTCTTTTCTGGCTTCCTCCCATCAAGGGAATCGAACCCCTTCAACCAAGATAATTTCTCAAATTTTTGTAAAAATTGAAAAAACATCTTCTTTTGAAATACCAGAAAGTTGAACTGCCTCTTCGTTTGCTTTAGACAAAAAAGTTCGTCCACAGTGTCAGATGGTGTTGTGTTTCAACCACGGTGAAGATTTTGTTGTCATTTTCCCGTCAGGTCAACTAAAAACGCAACATTGTGATTTTCTAAACTATAAGATTTTACTGGTTAAACTAGGCAAGTTGCAGCAATGTAATAAAATTTTACCACACCTCCCCCTAAAAGTTGGCCGTATGTAAAATAATCATAGTAGAGGAGATAAAACACTGTCATAGCCACCTTTCACGAAAGAAAATTTCAGAGAGCGTCAAAATAAAAAAGACAAGAATCTAAAAAAGCAGAGAATTTAAGAAGAACAAAGTTCTCATCCCACTAAACTACACAAAAATTCCTAGTTTTGAGCAGTTACAGCTCTGAGAAACCATTTTCTGCTGATGAAATATAAATTAAAAGCTGCTCTGCTAACATCAAAGAAAGTATAAAAAATGCCACTATCGAAAACAGTTGACAGCGCGTAAAAATTATTAAAGTAAAGCAGAATCCACCAAAAACGACTCACTAGTGTGGTTCCATTTGACGGAGTTAACGTGGGATCCCGAAGTTGGTACGTAGCTGAGGGCACAGGGATCTCCCGAGTCTACCGTCAGGTCGAAAAGCTTCACGGTGTCACCCCCGCAGGTAGCCAGCAACGCTGCGGACGGATCAGCAAGGTTCGTGCCCCCCATTCTTCCCATTCACTGTCCAACACTCTTTCCCCCTCGCCAACCCTCTTCACTCTTCCAAAGGGATCCGACAGTAGTCCGTCCTCTTCTTCCCAGGGAGTCCCTGCCCAACCGCAGGATCAGTCCATATTCAGAGACTCGGGAGAAACAATGCCCTAAGTTGCAACACGCGACAACAAAAAAGAAGATCAAGTTCCAGACTCTGCTCGGACAATGGGAAGAGTTCCTACCCTTTTACCGTCGCTGCTTCCAGTCCCTCCCCGCCTCCAGCGCGAGAGAGCACGTCGGAGCAGCCGGCAAGGGCCGAAGGTGACCGACGTTGTCTCTCTGAGAGAAGAGGACCGAACACCGGCGGCGCTCCGCTTTGAGTAGACAAACCGCCGGGGGGGGGTAGGGAGAAATTACAAAAGAATCCAAGAGGCTTTTGTGTATTTTTATTTATAAAAATATGTAAGAAAATAACCTGCTTCTAAGCATTAAAATGCTTACCTTGATTATAAAAATATTTGCCTTGGTTTCCAAGACAGATAATTACTTACACCCATGAACTCTTCTCTCGCACTAGACAGAGAAATACTGAGCCGAGTCTTCAGCGCTCATCGGTATCACGTTATTGGACCAACTTTGTGGGCTCAATTGGGCTACACCTTAACGGGCCATGAATGAGGGCTATTGTGGGAGGGCTTTGAAGGCCCAAGTAAGCATCCACTCAGCCAGCCATTATAAAAATCATGTAGCTTGAGAACATTTCCGACCTGATTTAAGGATTTAATTAATTTTATCTTTAGCTTTCAAGACCTCATTTTATGAGCTTATTTCATATTATATTTTACGTGAATTTACTGAATTTAACCCTCCAATCGAAACCAGTTTATAGATCCTATTAAACTTAATAATATTGACCAAGCTATAAACAACCGCATAAAATTCGGTTGAAAAGGAATAATAAAGCTCAAACCCCGCCTGATAACCGATAATTTTTATCCGACTATAATATCAGGGATGCAGATACCTTTATTTATCAACCATTGATTCATGATCTGAGTTACTCTAAAAGCCTTATTATTCCCTCCTAATATTATCAGTCAATTGAGAAACCTTATTAGCTTTATTTATATATTATTATTATTATTATTAGTGTGGACAAGTCAGCATGCCTGACCCGTCGATTGCCGCTGTCTGGGCCCCGATGGACGGCACCTTCCCCCTTCCCAACCCCGAATGGCTATCAGTCCCCTTTATTTCCAATTGACCGGAGAGAGAGGGGGGGGAGAAAGAGAGAGACGAGGGTCTCGAGCGACGTTTTCCGTCAGAGAGTTCCGACGGAAGCCGTACCGGCGGGCGGGTGGGCGTGTGGGAACCCCCCCGCCCGCGGATTTTGCCCGTGGAATCCAATGATCGAATAGAACGCGTGCCGCTGTCTGGACCAACGGCTCCCCCCCCATTTTCTCCCATTTTTTTATTGCCAAAAGGTAGGCTCGTCCGGCCCTTGCACGCGCCAAGTGTCAGGAAGCACACGCGAAAGGTTCTCGCACGCTATCCGTTCGACAAAATGACGACATCCTCACCTCAGGCTCATTTTAAACGAAATGTCGACATAGGGAGAGGGATTGGAGACCGAGCGCAAGATCTCACCATCTTGGGGCCTACGTGGCGGGCTTCCGATTTATTTTTATTTAAATATTTATTAAAGTTCTGATAATTCTCGGATACGGAGGGATGGCAGTAGAGCGGTCGGGTCGTGGCGGCACGAACCGGCGACGCCGAGAGATCGGTGGATCCAGATGGGCTTGAGAAGTCTGATCGGTGGGTCGGAATAAAAAGTGGGGCCCATATACGATTAAAAAACATGAGCGAGTCGTGTTGTCATAAATCGGGGATCGTGTTCACCGCACGCGATCATACTCCCTCTCGCTCTCTCTCTCTCTCTCCTTCCACCTTGTTTCAGGTGCCGTCCGTCCTCTGTGCACAGGAAGGGATTCTGCCCTCGCCGGCGACTGATGCCGTCAAGAGAGAACTAAGGACGAAGATCTGGTGTCGTTCTCTCCGTCACGGGATCTTCAACTGCGGCTGATTCTCATCGTTTCTTCACGCCCCGCTTCTTCCTCTCCTGGGGCTGATCCTCCTCCGCCGCCGCTGCCGTTCGAGGCCCGCCGTTTGGGTTCTTTCCTTGCTATCCGCCCAATCTCGAATTCGCCACGCACTCCTTCCTCTCCCTTCGTCTTCCCCCCTTTCTCCCCCCGTCCGTCAGTCCTAACCCGAAGGGAGGAGATGGGCTCGGGTCCGAACACCGGAGGGGGGTGGTTTCTCGATTACGGCGGGCTGGAGGACGAGGTCCAGGGGGCGAATTTCATCTGGCAGACGGACATCGGGGATGATCCCACCCACCCTAGGTAACTTTCCGGTGACTCTTTTGTACGATTTTCTTTTTTTGCAAGGATGATCCCCCTTCACCAGGCTTCCAGGTCTGATCACTCAGTTTCTTGAAGGAATCTGAATCCACGATATCTAACGGGGTTCCTCCGTGGCTCTCCAGATATTTTTGTCCCATTTACTAGAATTAAGATCAGGTGTCTACGGAGGTCGCAGGTTGAAGAATGACCCGTCAATTATTTTCCTAGCACCCTCATCTTGCGGCTTCTCCCCGTTGACTTTATTTTATTTCTTAAATTCATTCTATCTTCATGAACTTCTTGCTCCATCGAAATAGCAGACGATTTGGTTGGTTTTCTGTAGCGTCTAAAAAGCGGCTGTTTGATTCCCTTTCCGTTTTGTGTTTTGCAGTGTGCTCGGGCTGGATCTTTTGTCCAGAGGAGAGAACAACTTCGATCATGCTTCCAAGAAGCGGTACGGATCAGACGACAAAATATTTGCGTACTCTTTCTTGAAAGTTCTCATTTCGGCGTGATTAGTGCCAATCCATCATCTCCCTCACCAAGCAGATGCCCACCCGAATGCTTCCCCCATGTCATCCTCCGCTCGAATCGTATAGATAGATGACTACTGTTTTCAATCAATTCCCCCGACCTTTTTTCTATTATTTTTATATCAGCGTACTCTCTGTTTCAACCTGGGTTTCCTCTCCGATGATCCTTTCAGAAATCGCGCCGGCTCACCTGCCAAACCAGGAACCAAAGCCTGCCGGGAGAAGATGCGCAGAGACAAGCTGAACGACAGGTAGATTTCTACCCGAGGATAATCTGTACATCTTTGAAGCTCCTTATTGAGATCTTTCTCTCTGATGGATGATGCCCAATTTCTCTTAATGGAGCAGGTTCTTGGAGCTGTTGTCCATTCTGGAGCCGGGGAGACCTCCGAAGGTCGACAAAGCCGCCATTTTGAGCGACGCCGCCCGCCGGCTGGCCCAGCTGCGCCTCGAGGCGGAGAAGCTCCGGGAATCAAACGAGGCTCTTCTGAGCGACATTAAAGCTCTCAAGGTGAGAGAGAGAGAGGATGGGTCTCTTCTTCCAGTCAGATCGGCTTCGGCTGCTTATATCCATGCCGACACGGCCGTCTCTTTGTGGTCCGCAGGCGGAGAAGATGGAGCTGAGGGACGAGAAGGTGAAGCTCAAGGCCGAGAAGGACCGAATAGAGCAGATGCTGAACGACGCCGGCATGCCGCCGCGCGTTCCACCGTTCGTACCCCACCACACAGGGGCGCCGCCGTCCTTCCCCGCGGCGGCGTTCGTTGCCTGCAACAAGAACGTGCCTTTCGCGAACTATCCGCCGCCGCACTTGGCCATGTGGCAGTGGCTGCCCCCGACGGCCGTGGACACCTCCCAAGATCACGTCCTGAGGCCCCCCGTGGCCTAGCCGCCGCCGCCAGCTCCCCAACCTGCTTTGGCAATGCCAACTTCCTGTTGACGATTAATTGATTATGAAAGTAGATCCCTGATGACGTTAGAATGCATCTCTAAGTGGCTTCTGACGAGGATTACGGCGGTGAGACTTTTATTCGGTCGCAGCATCCAGCTGCACCCTTTGAAGCTAGAGAGAGAAAGAGAGCGAGAGAGAAGGAAATGAAAGAATTGTCTCCTGTCTCTGACCCTCGTGTCCTGCCTGGAGTGTTAGACCAGAAAAGTCAGAGCTGGCCAGCTCCAAGAGGGCTGTCGGAAGACCGCCCCTGACGGCGTCGAAATGGTCAACCTGATCATTTATCTCTATCCCCGCGTGGGGCGCGTGTGGCTCTAAGATGTTTGTCCATTTCCACGCAATGACAAAGTAATTACTCCTGTCGGGCCCTCACCAGTCTTGGGGTATATTATTTATATATATATACTAATACAAATAGAGAGAGAGAGAGAGAGAGAGAGAGAGAGAGAGAGAGAGAGAGCTTACTAGATAAATTATCACCGCTCAAAAAAATTGTTTCTTGAAGAAATAAGAAGCTGTTCTAGGCGATGGCACCGTGACACTCCAACGTGACCAACTCACGTGACGTGTAGCCACCGATGGCAGTGGCAGGACCCAGAACATAAAGGCTGAGACTGAAAAATGCCACCACGATGACTCCAGTGAGATCAACTCCAATCGAGAACAAGAATCTTCAGGTCCCAAAGCACCGGTCGCCGGCGTCCCCCAATCCGGGGATTATATACCTGAAGTTGGTCGCATGATTGCAGGAGGAGCTAAATATTAGTAGGGAGAGACGGCTGAAAGTCAGGCATAAATTTCAGGCTGAAAAAGGATACCCATTCTCGTTGACATCCGGGTCGATGATTCCGGTGTAAACATGCACTCTGCCAGGGAAACGCGATAAGCATTTGACTTTGATTGAAGAGGGAACGAGAAGATAAGTGCCTAATTACCCAGGAAACTGCTGGCTGAGCTTTTGAAGGGCTGGTGGTGCGGCGACGGCTGATATCTGACGAAGAGAAAAAAAAAAAAAAAAAAAAACCCATAATCGTCATGCGGAGTAGAATGAGTTCATGAAGCTTTACCCTTTTTTTCACCAAACACAAAACGTTTGTGATTGGTTTTCGTACATAAGCGCTGGGCCTTGACCTAGCTGACAAGGGTTGACTTATTAAATCTAGTACTTCTATCTAGTTTAAAAGTCGTCCAAGATCACGTTCCCGTATGATGATCAAATCAAACACAAACAAGGAACACTGACGTTGATGGGCTTACAATCTTTATTTGCTTGTTTTCAACTCCACAGTCCTTCAGCAAGTCCATCGCAGCAACAATCGTGCCACCTGCGAGTCAACGGTCGACATCGGCTTCCATTAGAAGAAGTCGAGGAGGAGAAATAGTATGAACTTGAAGAAGGGCAGACGCTAATAATCAGGCCGTCAGTGTCTGTTGATCAATGGAAAGAGCGGCATCAAGATTAAACCGCTTGCAGGAGAACCGGGCAGAGATGAGACTCAACGAGTCTCGATTTTATCCCGGTATTGCATCCATTAGTTGTTAGAAGAGGAAGCTCGCCCCTCCATCAGAAAATACTTTGGATTGACGATAGTATTGTTGCCAATAACTCGAACGAATTCTAGGCGACATTCCATAGAATTAAATTTAATTCATCAATAAAAGTTATCCACGTGTTTCTCACCAACAGACTCGCATAAAAAGATAAAAATAAAAATAATAAGTAAATAAAATAAAATAAAACTGCCCATTCTCATGGCCTCGTAAGACTTGAATTTCCATGTAAAATCACGTTCCCGGGCATCAAACGATGAATGGATACGACTCATTATAAATAATTCAATTGAATAAACACATTCACCGGATGGCTCGCAAGGGTGGGTTCTCGATGTTTGTAGTAGAATCTCAAGGGTAGTAAACTAACAGAATCTTTTTCAGTAGTATATATTATCATGATTTTCAGGAGGAGGATGTTGGAAACAGTTTTATAGAGAGCAATGCAACATCTTGGTGTGGATTGGGAAATCGGGGTGGTCCATGTTGAACATGATTTGCCGTGAATACCACTAAATATCTTGTTTATCAGAAACAAAAATAATTCATTTAGCTAAAGAAACACATGAAAATAGTGCTTTTTCAAAGGGCGTGCATACCAGTTGCGAGCATTGGATCCACAATAAGCACTCGACTACCCTCTGGAAACTTGTTGGGCAAACTGTGAGAGGACAAAATTGGGCCTTCTTGAACAGACTCTTCTTACACACAAAATTGGGTGGGATTCTTGTCTTACTTGTTAAAGTATAACGATGGGAGGAGTGTGCTTTCATCTCTCTGGAATCCTTCATTGGCAGATGTGAAGAACAATAGCATCAGATAAATGTCAAAGAGGAAAAAAAAAAAAAAAAAAAAAGGAAGCCCATGCAAATGAAAAGATGAAAATTTTATAAAATTTACTCAGAAAACTAGCATTTAGCTTAATGTATATGGTAAGAAGAAGGAAACTATATAAACGAATTTACTTTCAGCGTGGTAAAATAACCTCGCACCTAATAATAACAAAATACCAAGGTTTAAACTGCCGAGACAAAGTATATCACTATCCAGGTCGTCAGAAAGATCATCCTGGTTTATTGTCTTCCATATTTTAAGTTTCTGCTAGTCTCTGAATAAAAATAATTTTCTTCTCACCCAGATGGTATGTCTTTGTTGCTGGCAGTATAGCTGATGCATGCTCGACTAGAGCCAGACCAGCTCTTAAGATCGAAACAACCTGCGATTAAGAGAGGATGTAGCAAAGTAAACTGCTTCTGGAGGGACAAAAGCGGCTTCAACAGAAAGGATCTCTCCAATTGGTTCTTCCTTAAACTAGCGGATGTAATTGAGACAATTCACAAGGTAAAAAACACAGTTCTGAATAAAAAAAAATCTCTTAGAATGTAGCACAATTATCATCTGAAAGCATACAAGGGCAATTAAGATACTCCATACCATTACAGGCTCCCTTGGATCAATGAACTCAACAGAGGCAACAGCCATTGGCGATTGAATCTCTCCACTTATTGTAGGCTGCAAACAACAGGGTAATATCTTTTTGTGAAAAATTTCAGAGAGAGTATGTACTTGCAACACATTTAGGGTGATCAGTCAAGGAAAAATACTGCCACTTCACCAGACAGTTGAAAAAACTCGAATCTAATTTATTTTATTTTTTTTCCTGTCAAAAGTAGTATAATTTTGCAACTGCCAAAAAAAGGTCTGGATTTCACCGGTAAACAAGAACTGGAGAGAATGTAACTATCAACTCACCAGCCAGTCCCTTGATGCTTCATATATTAGCAGCCTTCCTAGTTCTGCCATTGCGTTTTCTACATTGAACATTGAAAGAAAGGCTAGTTACTTATCCATTTGATTAAAGGCATTGGGAGGCTTAAAAAAGCAAGCAACCATACTAAATAGAACTTGGATCTGAACTGCTAGTGGGGATAGGGGACTATTTATTATCATTTCTTCATCCTTTGAAGAAACGTGGATTTTGGATGAGTAACCATGCAATGAATTTGTAATCTGGGAATGAAAATTAGGATTAGAGCATGGTAGTTGGAAAAGACCGACCAAAATTGATCATAGTGACATTAATTCAGCGAAAGATATAAAATATCAGGAAAAAAATATACCTCTATGACCACTAGTGTAAGAGGGAGATAAACGAAGTAGTTGAACCTGATATACAATCCTAAATTCATCTAGAACTGGTAAGGAAAAATCATATCAGTCGATCCCTATGCTTTTGAAAACTATCTTACGTTTCTACACATCTTCTCCTGTTCTTTTGTTTTCATGCTTTCTTGATACTTGTGCGCCACACTAGCACATGCCATGAATTTTTCTACATTTTAAGCTATGGTCCCTGGATCATGCATTACAACGGAGACCCACATGAGATCATTTCCATAGAAAAATAATAAAATATGTAGAAGGATAAGATTCGGGTGGTTTGTCCCATAAATTCGAAATACTATTTCATGTGAGATGATCTATTTTTTGGGATGCTGTAAAGACTTTTTAAAATATTCCCCTCTAGCAGGAGAGTCATGAATTATACGTGATCTCTTCATGAGGATGTAGTACCGGGATTTCTGCGGATGAGAAACCCATGCGGTGACTCGTCGGAATGGATCAGTCGACAGGATTGGACGAGATACACGATCTCCGAATCACCACTAAAAATATTTGAACGAATCAAAACAGATCAAATGCGACAGCGCATCAAGATTCGGAAGAACCATTTGATAGTAAAAGAATGGGCAAACAGAGTTCTTGTCAGAAACACAAGTACTGAATCTCAATGCACAAAGCAGATGGCATTTACAACGCATCAAACAAAAGCTAACATGACAGCGAAGATGCGAAAGAACCTTTAGTAGGACAGTGGTCGGTAGGCGAGAGGAGTGAGAATTAAATGGATGTCCACAACTTACTAAACACGGCACAGGGCGTCTCCTCGTTCCTCAGAACAGAGACCCAGTGCTTGATCAGCGGGTGCGGTGGGACGAACACCTGAAATACAACCAGACGCATACTCAATCGCAGAAGCCTCAAGTGCAAACAAGACACACCAGCAGGGCTAAAGAAGCGACATCTCTCGCGCATTACCAGCATCCGGTCGCTCGAGATGGCCGTTGCCATCGCAGGGGAAACGCAGCACCTGCGGCCCCTCCTCCCCGACGCCACCGCCGCCTGCCCGGGGAAGACGCAGCTTAAAGTCCGTCAGCCTGGGATTTTAGCGACCAAGGGGTTTTTAAGGGAGCGAACGGAGAGAAGAAGATGCATGGATACCTTCTTGAGCAGCAAGAAGGAGGTGGTGGCAGGAGGAGGCAGCAACGAGGCTCCAACGTGACGCATCCCCGACGAGGGCAGCCGCGCCGCCGCCAAATGCGGCGCCTGCGGCGGAGATGTAATGCTCCACGCCATGAATCTTCTTCAGAAGGGGAGGGAAGAAGAAGCCCCTCCCAGACGACGGCGCTTCTACAGACGAGCTCCTCTTATCTCTCTCTCTCTCTCTCCCTGCCTCCGGGTTCCACGTGGCTTAAGATGACTGCCTACCGTTGTCACGTTCACGAACAGGCCATTTGGGGGCTATTTCGCAAGTAATTTTATTGATTTTTTATTTTTATAAAATCTGCTTACATCAGCTGCGTCGGAAGCCGCAGCCCACTAATGGGCTGACGGACGGCCCGCATTTGGCGTGGGACATTTGAGGGGGAATAAGCGCACTGGGCTTGACCCTTTCCTCGAACTCTGCTGGGTCTGACCCACGTTGATGGTTTTGTGATAATAATGACGTCAGATGCCTAGCAAAATTATGACGAATAGATGCACAAAAGGTCTGGTATTTATGATTTCCGGAATAATTCTTATACTATTTGATGTTCCTCGCCTGTGTAGATGGATAGGTAATGGGGACTTGATAGAGCACAAATGCATAATCTGTGAACTAATTTCATTATAATCATATTTATCTAATGAATAAATAAATTCTCAAAAGGAGTTAATTATTTGTAAATCCTCATATATATATGAACGAACCACAACAAAATGGGGTAGTAGAGAGGATTTATTTTTTTTACATATTAGAACACTTCTATTTTAAAATAATGTACTACTTTTTATAGATAAAAATAGTCTTAATGGCTATTAACCTCATAAATTGCTTACCAACTATGGTCTTAAGATATAAGAGCCTATTAGAGATTCTATCATCTCATTACCCATGTGTTCAAATGAAGGTTAACTTTATTCTTAGGATTTTTCAATACTTGTTATACGTACATGATAAAGATCAAACCAAAGAAAAGCTTTCTTTGCCAATATTAAAAACTATTTTCATTACATATTCAAACACTAAAAAAGGATATAAATATTTTCATCTCTTATGAAAGAATTTTTTTTTTTCAATTGATGTAACATTTAATAACATCAATTGTTTTCAATTAATCCTTCTTTAATACTAAGAATATTTCTCTTGGGGGGAAAAATTATTTAAGAATAGTGGTGGAGAACAAGAAGTTAGAAACTTACACTGCTGAATGTGACCTCTAATTGGTACACCTTCCCATAGTGTTGAGAATATTCAAATAAAAACTCAATCATTTCTTTATACTAGAGAAAACTCAATAAGATTTAACCATATCTATTAGAAAAGAAAAGATAAAATATTTAGAAATTTAAGATATCATATTTCTCAATTTATGTCATTTAAACATCTATCTTCTTTGTACAGACTATTTCTTTTTTTTTTTTAATATTATATCCATCCCATCAAATGTTTCTAAGATCTCATGAACAGTGAAAACGAGTTATGAATGAGGAGATGAAGATATTAGAGAATAATCAAATGAGAGAACTTATCAACATAAAAAATATTATTTTACATGGAGAACATGATAAAGAAATTTATATGGATGTTCCTCAAAGATATAAAATCAGCTTAGAAAGTAATGTAATATATAAGTTAAAGAAAGATTTATATGTAATAAATCAAGTAATCACCAAGAATACAAATGTGATACGAGAAATTTAGTTATATATTTAGCAATGGAAAGCATATTGTATTTATTAGACATTCACCTTTAGGTACAACTACAAGTACAATCCTATTAGTTTATGTAGATGACATAATACTAATAAGGAATGATGAGAAAGAAAAGAATATTATAGTAAGTGTTTGGAAAAATAATTTAATAATAAAATATTAAAAATATATAAATATTTTTTTCACATTGAAGTAGTTCATTTGAAACAAAGGATTTTTTTTCATTTAAAGCATATTATTCGCCTTGTAAAGGATATTGTAAAATTAGATGTTATTCCATAAATACTCCTATAAATCTGAATCATAAACTCAAGAATCTAGATGAACATAGTCATGTATAAAAATTAAGATATTTGTGTCCTGAGGGAAAGTTGGTTTACCTTTCCCACGCCAAACCAAACATTACATACTTAATAGGTGTTTATAGTCAATTATACATCATCGGAGAGAAGTTCATCTCTTAGCGACAATCATGTCTTACAATTCTTAAAAGGGAAATCTTAGTAGAAAGATTTTATTTAAGAAAAATCACATTAAGGTGTGGATGGATATAGTATTGTAATAACCTTATAATTAGATGGTGAGATGTTAGCAGATTACGTGGAAACAATGATGGATCAAATGTGTTTATCTAAACTTGACCTCAACAAAAAAATTATTTGTTGATAAGAAATTAACCTCCAGTTCAAATTTGAAATAAAACAAACAACAAAAAAAGGTAGATGTTCATCACTGCTCATTCTAGATAATAGAAAGATTTTTGAAATTGATTGACCAATCTTCAAAGCAAAAAACAACTTGAGAACGTGGACTACAAAAAGGAAAAAACTTGAGAAGATAAGAGAGTTTTCGAATGATTATCTATGCATCTCTCTCTCAAGACTCAGTCACTAAAAGCTTTGATGAAGTACAGAATGCTAGAAGGGTAAGGGAACGATCGACTAATAAAACCGTCCTCAGCCAATCGGCTACGCAGGGGCTTCATCGAGAACGCTCCCCAGCTCGATTCAACGAAAAGTGTATCTTACCCCCGAGATACTGAAGTTTCGTTCCTATAAAGAGCCGGCATGCAAGATATTTTGATCCCAGCGCCGTAAGCATTGGCGCCAGTAGCAGCGATCCACCGTAGACGACGGCGTTGCGGTTGCGCTGGAGGACGCGAACGTGGTTACAGGAGTCAAAGTCAGTCTTAGTCGAAGCCGTAGATAGGGCGTTGCCGTAGCCGTATTTATCAAGGTCGCGGTCCCTCAGCAATGAGAGACTGTCGTGACTGTCCAGGCCGCTTGTGGCTGAGACCTTGATAGCAGCGCTGTTTCCGTGCTAGTTGAACCGCGTCCAGTAGACTCCCTGCCCTCCTTCCTTCCTGAATGCTCTTTTTCTGGCAGACAACTCTTCAGTAGTTCCATTCCTTCTGGGTCAACTCTTTTTTCAGGGGCAGAGTAAAGTTCGTTACGGTCAGCAAATCGAGCAGAAATGTGGCTGAGACCTTGATAGCAGCAATGAAAGGTGTATGATTAGTTGGCACCAGCCATAGTCAAGGATTAGCCAGTTTACAAGCTCTCGCCGTCGTAAAGGATGTTCTTGGGCGTGCAGGAGGCCGGTAAGCGACAGAGGAAGATGGCAGGGAGCAAGAGGAAGAACAGCTCTCTCGCTGTCATCGCTGATCTGAAACTTGAGACAGGGAACAGCAAAGAAAGAAGCCTGACTATTTATATAGCTAAATCAGTCCGTAGGCCAAGACAGGGTATCTTCAAGGCATTTTGGCGGGCTTATTATCGTTTGGAATCCGACATCAGTGATGTATGACGAGCGGCCCTTGGGCATGTCTTCAGTCGACTCTGTTTACTCCGTACACAATGGCACTGATGGAGAAATACGCGGGAAGACAGTTGACCGGGGTTAGGTAACAAGAGGTTTTTTCTCTAATTTCGAGGTCAATGATTTACAATGACATTAATATCATAATTAAGTAGGTGACTCTGAAATAGGGTCATTCATTAATGAGGATCCATTAATCATTTCTGAGTTTACAGGTCATTCACCAATATAAACCGGCTCCTATTTCAATCCGTGCTGGACCGATCGATATACCAATAATAAAGTCTCCAGTCAACTGGTGGAATGCGTCGCATCAACCTGGGAGCATTAGCCGATCTGATACATCAATACATGTTCCTATGCCCATTCCAATCTTGTCCAACTTTGCTAACTCCTCCTTCTCAACCCGTATCTTGTTCGTTCTGGAAACACGTCTTCCTATTCCATCTTTTCTTGAAGCGCAGTCCCTGTCTAGAAAGATGCCAGCAGCAAGGAGATAAACTGGTCATCAACAGCTCCCACTAGAGTACCCAAGGGTGGTCCACATCTCCATCTCTGTTTACTGTCGGTGATCGGAATACGTCATACTAGCATGTCGTGTTGTGTCGGTACGATCAAGTGTGGCCCTCAATTATTGGTGATGGACAGAAGAGCTTGCTTACTGCAGAGTTTATATTGTCAATAAATATTATATTGTTTAGTTTTATCGTTATTCGACTAAAAACGACCGCATATAGAACAAGAGTGGCGTTGTGAGACTGCCAGGTTTATAGGATTTCCACGTCTGTCCATGGGATCATGATCACTCCAACCACTCACTAATCTTCAACAACAGGATGTCGTCTTCATCAAGGAGGAACACGAAGCCAGACGGAGATGTGTAGGAATTTTCTTCACTCGTTTTACCCGAAATCCCTCCCGCTCTGATATTATTATTTTTACTTAGCTATTCTGTAAGAGGAGTGCTCATAAAGAAACCCCGGCCGACCAAACTTAGTCTTTTCTTGATTTTGGCCATTGAAACCAGGTACCATAGTAAAAATAGGCATTTGCTCATCGAGAGCAGTCGTATACACTGATAAGATCAAACTTTCACGTCAACCCCTTTCCTTATCTTCCCTAGAAGCAGCTATACATACGCCATCGTAGCCACCTTCAGCACTTCCCATCAGCCAGCCGCTCACATATATTCTAGAAGTATCTGCTGACATCAAACCTAACCTTGTTTTCTGAAACTTTATGTAGATTGATACCTCAAGGGGAATCAAGCTAACCATACCTGCATTTAGTTCCCGGTCGTACCCCTGAATCAAGAAATATTCCATGGTCTGGAAAGCCTATTAGACAATGGTAAGCATAATTGCCGGACCCTGATCCAGATCCAATTGTTGAAGGAATTCTGATCTCCAATTTCGTTGATCTCCAAACCACGGGAGTATCCCTCGTCACCTTCACTATCCTCTTAATCTAAAAGAGCAAGGGATTTTGGCTTCGCATCTGATGCAATGGGTTGCCGAAAGAGTGTCACATAAAACTCATTAATCCTAAAATTAACCTTGTATCATAAAATAATTTTCATACCATCAAACTTTATAAGCTTATAATTATCACTTTTTTTATTGCCTAGTAACAAATCGAGCCTTCCTGTGGATGAACTGATCTGGCTGACTCAGATTTATCATGCCTTCATCAAGATAAATCTTCCAGTGAATCCATTATATTTTTCATGCATGGCTAAGACTAACGCTGACATATGCTCAAAATTTGGCATCAGGTTAGCATCCCGGGGATAAGTTAACTGGATCCTGGATTTTGCCCAGACTATAAGACTGATGTGGCTCGCCCACAGGCTCAAAATGGTTCTAGGTAGGTTTGGACAAGGTGCGCCGACTCCTCCTCAGACGTACCAAATTAGCAGTGTGAGTTATCACTGAGATCCCGCTGATTTTATGTCTATTTTAGCATTTATCCGGATTCCATCAGAGTAGGCCACGCTGGAGGTGCATCTCCATGAATAAACATTGATCTCGCTGTGTAGAGCAAGGAAAATCCTCTGTCGAGGCAGTGACAGCGTTTTCGTCCTCGTGGGGTCACATGTGAACAGATCGACTCTCACTTACAGGGCGTGACTGGAGTACTCTTCAAAAAGTGGCAATTGTTTCCCTTGGACAATTTCTCTTCAAGGATGTAGGTTGGATAATATCAGCGACAAATTTCTGTCTGTCTGTTTATCTCGATCTGTATATATATCAACCAATATTATGAGATGTTGATAAAAGAAGTATAACCAATTAACAGATGACCGATCATATGAGATCTCTCCCACCCTTTTTCTAACGCTCAACGCCCCGAAATCCAAACCAAACTCATCGACACAGCGAGAACCCAAGGCATTGAGGACGAGACATCACTTATTAAAGCACGTCCATATTTTGCTAGCATATTTTGCGTCGTCTGTGAAGCACAGCGTATGAGACATGCCACTTCAGAGGTCTACAGACTCTGAGGTACTTTTGAGAGAGTATGCATGATGAATTATTCCACTAGAGTTCCAGGTATATTTAACCCGGAGGCTATCAACCGTTTATCTCTTCGGATGGGTCTGGGAATCAAACTTCACCGTTAGTCCGTCAAATTGAATCCCTTTTCGCTTGGCTTGACCATATGGCAGGCTTCAGAAGCCGTGAATTGCTCGAATCCCTTCACTCTGCAAGTCGAAAGCACTGTCGTTGCGAACGACGAAGCAAAAGAGTACACAAAGGTAGAAAAATTACCAGAAGCGCCGAACGATGAGCGGTGCTAGAAAGCCGAGGGAGAAGCCCGTGGGAGTATGCGCGTTGGCAGTATCTACGTCTTATCCACACACCCTGTGCATCTCTTCAGTGACGTAAGGCCGGGTTTAGGATAAGCTGGTACCCAGAGCTTGATGGTGGCCAGACTCCTTATGGCCTTGTTTCGTTCTGATGTCCATCCGAGGGTTGTCATCATGAGATGGTGCCAATTTTGTTAGATTTGTCGCGTATTCTTCATTCGTGCCACATGGCGCGCCAATGGGCCCGAACCACATCCAAAATCTTCAATAATATAAAAATAACAGAATTCTTTAACTTAACGTATGTTTCAGAAATGTTTACATTAACGTGTAGAAATGATACATTTACACAGCTGATACTCCAGAAGGAACCTATTTTCATATTTTGCCATGTTAACATCTCAAGAGTCCACAATTTTAACTTGACATAGAAGCGTCCATGAATCGCGCCCTCTGATCGAACCATTATTTAAACAGAGATACAGAGACACAAAGAGAAATAACTGTAATCAATATTTTTGAGGTAAAAAAATCGAATATTTATAATTTTCTGTAATTAAATGTAAATAGAATGGCACCTCTATTCTAGTAATAGGAAAAGAAAATTCCGGTATTATAGTATTGTTTTATTTGCTTTAGAAACGATTGAATTTCAAATTTCAGTACAATAGAAATAATACAGACCAATTGATTCATGCATGAAGAAAGGGAGAGAGAGAGGGTCTGAGAGAGATTTTGAGGAAGAATGGAGATCGACTAGATAAGGGCAGCTCGTCGATAGCTACATTACCCGTAAGAGAAGACAGTGAACAACGTACGCAGTTATTCGGCTTTTATTCTGGTCGATTACATGTAGTAGTAAGCCATGAGATTCGCCCCCCACATCTAAGAGATTATGCCCTGTTGGTGACGAGGCTGATCTTCCGGCCCAGGTCCAGCTCCCTCCCGGCAACCGATGCCGGCGCTGAGATGTCATCGTTGACGGCCGCGGGCGCGCCCGATATCGTGACCCCTGTCCCGTATGCGTTGCTGCCAGAAGCCCAGATAGAGCCACCGTAAATGACCACGTTCCGGTCGCGCTGCAGAATGAGTATGTAGTTGCCGTTTCCCCGGTTGCTGCCGCTCGCCCACACGGCGTTGTTGTTTCCGTTGTACACGACGAAGTTGCCGTCCTTCTGCATTGCCGCCCGGCAGTTGCTTCCCCGGCCATCGGTGTTGGTGGCCCACAGGGCGCGGCCTGCGTCGTAGAGCACCAGGTTGCAGTCACTCTGCATGGTGAGGTAGTAACTACCGTAGTTCAGTGACTGGCCGGTGTAGAGGCTGCTGCCGCTATACAGGATGCTATCTGCAACGCAGGGAGACGAGAGGAGACACAGAAGGGCGGGGGCGAGCAGGAGGAAACAGGAGGCCCTTGATGCCATCTCTGGTCTTCGATGTGGGATACGTGCTAGTCTGATGTTGGGCGTAGTACACAGATCTGAGACGGTCTGTCGAATGTATAGAACCCGTTGTTGATAAGTCTAGATAAGATACGTAGATGCTTTTGATGGCGTGTGGTCGCTATGATGCCGCATGGCATCTTCTCTCTTAACGCTTATCCTGTTCTTCCTCTATGTTAGCTTTCCTTAGGTGTACCCCATAATAAGTCTTGAGCTTGTCCGTAGGGGTCACGTCACCATGGCCGTCTCTGTATCATCTCTGTCTGTTATGCCTATTTGTCTATCTGTCTGTCTGCCTCTCTCTCTCTCTCTCTCTCTCTCTCTCTCTCTCTCTCTCTCTCTCTCTCCACGTGTTCGCGCGAAGAGAACACTCTACGCTGGTCCTCCGCAGTGTAAACGATCATAGCATTGAAGCTTCGTCAAGGCCATCATTTATCCTTTTTTCACGAACATCTTTAATTACTTGATAACTCCAATTAATTTACGTTATGAAATATATTACTCATATTGGTTGCTCCTCACATGTGGTCACTATTTAATGATTTGTAATCATTCGTAAAATAAAGTAAAGAAGATTAAACGAGGTCATAGCCGTCCATCGGCCGTCGGCTCCTAGAGAAACCTTGGATGAGAGGCCAGTAGCTGAGATGAGAGGTTCCAATCTCCTTCTCTTCTTCCTCTTCTATTCCATTCTACTCCTCCACTCATCATCCATTTCTCCAGTCTGTTCTGTTGAGGACCCTCCATCTCCTCTCCAGCCTCTTTCCTACCTAAATCCGTCCGGCCCATCAACCGCACGCCCACCTGCGTCCGCGTGTCCCCCCCGATCCCTTTCGACGCGCACACCGAGTACATCTCCTCGCTTACCTCGTCCGCATCCGTCGCCCTACGTCCGTACCCGCTCATGTGCGGCGTGCCGCGCTCGCAATCGTCTGCGCCTGGTTCCTCCACACCGACCCACCTCCTATCGGCCGTTCGAATCGGATTACGCCCTCGGCCCGTTCTCTTGCCCACGAACGCACTCGACGTTATGTGCACCAATTTGTACCAGCCAGAGGGCTACACGGCCAGTCCATGAACCAGACGTGCATGCCCGACTTATATGGTCTGAAATATGCCATGCCGTTCCCTTCAGGTCAGTTACATGTTCCAATCTTCATATATTTTCCTTTGATTAAATTGCCTCGCCCGTATGTTTTAAAACTATATGAATAAAAACAAAAGGAAAAAATCATTGGCAGAGAATGGGCTGTTCATGATGTCAACTATCTGTCGGTACATAGCCCCACAAAGCATGGCTAGCTCTAAGGTAAGCGAAATCCACCCCCCAACCCTTGTTCTTCTCAAAACCTTGACTCTCAATATACGGAGGATAAATTTCTGTGCAAGGCAACATTACAGTTTCTGCCCTTCCGATAGTCGACTAACCGTGACTCTCATTTCTATCCACATGTCATCGCTGCTGTTAAGGCCTGAGGTTGCAGTCATTCTTCACTATGAAACTTAAGCTTTCAGTTGTTCAAGTGTTGATCACTATCACGGTCGTCCCTACAGTAAAATATATTATCTGCTGCAAGGTCGTGGATACAAGACGAAGGAAACTAGGTGAAGAGTGAATGCAATGCATCACTGCACCGCACGTCCCATACATCAAACAAAATGCGTATGGTGTCAATTGGTCAATACTGTCAACAAAAGAGTGAACATACAATGAATCTGTCATTACTTGAGAGTAAACAACTTAATGTCGCAACAGAGAGAATATGCTACCAGCAGGTCAGATAAAATCACCAAAATCCATGGAATTCGCTTAATCGGGATGTTATCTAGACCGCACACAAAGATTTTTCAAGTATTATTTACTGATAGGAAAGCATTGAAAACAAATAAAGCCCACGTCACTCTCATCTGTAATATCTTTCTGAATCGTGAGCAATGAATTTGTTTAACCGATGACACAGCATACACCTTCCTCTCTTTGTTGCACGCCTTCTTACTCAGCCTATTAGGGATTTAGTAACAGGTTAAGTAGATGGGTTAACAATAGCTACACGGCTCGGTCTCTTCAGAAGTTATAAACAAGAGATGCGGCACATCAAGCTAAACTCGTTTGTCTGGTTTTTTTGTCTGATATCATAACTTCTTTCATATAACTGGAACGTAAAAGGAAATGTCAGTTTATATCTTGCTATTAATTCATTATTTATTTTGGTATATCACACTATCTGTCAAGGGGATCTGATTACTAATCAGCTTTCGACCTTCTATCTTGCAGGACTGAAATCAAGAAGTGATATCTTGTAAACAACAAATCTTTGACACAGCTTATTGGGATTTGTGATCATATTCAATAAGTTTGTAATTGATTCTGAACACTCCATGACATTTGGAAAACATCATATTAAGTTTGTAATATGAGCGTTGGAACACTAACACTTGTAGTGGTGCGACAAACTTCATCAAACAATTTGAGGTACGCTACAAGAGCTGTTCTTGTAGGTCCATAATTCTTCATTAGAAAAACATTTGAATACCATCTCAATGTTTCCAGCTACATTTTTGATCTAGCTACTGATGGATTATCTGTCAATGGTATTTTAATGATAATCAAAACGAGTTGGGTAGATTAATCATTTGTTTAGTATTAATTTGAATAATTTATTAATATGAAGGCATTAAATACTTATAATGAAGTTTTAGGTGATACAATAACTTTGGCATCAGGATTTGAAGATTTTCTATTAAATAATAGTTTATAATATTTATATATTTATCTTGATTAATTTCAGTTTAAAAGAAGCAAAACTGATTAAATTAGTTGGCTTTGGGCAGGAAGGGGGCCCAATCTAGACTCAGCCGGCCCACTAGAGGACTCAAGCTTGGCCCAGGCAGCTTTGGGCACAGAGGACCACCGGAGATCCCGACACTAACCATCCGCCCGGAAGCTGAAGATTTCATTTATTATTAGCATGTTCTTCATTAGTCAAGCTTTCCGTTATTTTACATTCTTTGTTTTGCTTTGTAAGGTCTTTAAAAGGCCCGTCTTGTCGTCATTAGAAGGACAATTTGTGATCGAGAGTCATTTGCCTTTGCGGAAGCACCGCCGCCTGTACGCTGGCCGTGAAACCCCGTCGCTCAAGTTAGGGTTGGTCGTGAGGACCCCGTGCTCCCGGTTGGAGTGTTATCGCCGTTGCCATCTTCCTCCACCACCGCCGTCCGTCGTCGTTGCCGCCGGTCCATTTTCCGTCCCCCTACTCCATTGTCTACTCCATTGTCTACTCCATTATCGAGAGCAAGAGTGGCTGGACCTTCGGTGATGGAACCACGCGGCATCAATTGCTTAGACCCGTTCCTTAGAGACGTTGACGAGGGTTAGGGTTTGATGATGATGGGTTCATAGTAGGTATATAATTTATGGATTTTTTAAATATAATATTATAAATTAATTCCATCCAACTTGACCTGGGCTTCGGGCTCACTCTGACCCATTCCTCTCTGGAGGGAGCAGATAGTACGACTTTGGGGAGGTCATACAGGCAAAATATTTGGCGTTGGACCATGTCTTCTAAAGGTTAGGAAACTTTTAAATATGAGCCGTTCGATATCGTACGTCATGATTATTAAAACTCCGGGCGACATGGCTCCGGCTCGGGATCCTTCATCCCTTGCTCATAGAAACACCGTATCTGCGTTAACTAGAATATTTTACGTCGAATAAGCAGAAGGTGATGTGAACGAGACCAGCTTTCGCGGGTATATAAGAGCATCAAGAGGGTCAGAGCTTCATCCGTCCTGCTCAGTGCATGAGAAGTGCAGAGGGAGAGAGAGAGAGAGAGAGATGGGCAAGGTAGCTGGGAGGAGGATTAGGAAGAGAGACATATGCCTGAAACTAGCGCGATCCGTCTTCCAACTCTTCAATTGGCATCCCTGACGTTCTAGCCGTCCTCGACATGGTGGACGGAATGAGCATCTTGATCGACGCAACCGGCACCTTGATCGACGCAACCAGCACCGTGGGCGGCGCAACCGGCAGCATGAGCGACGCAGCAGGTACCTTGAGCGGCACAACCGACACCTTGAGCGGCGCAACCGGCACCTTGATCGACGCAAGCAGCACCTTGAGCAACGCAGCAGGTACCTTGAGCGACGCAACCAAGCACCTTGAGCGGCGCAACCAGCACCTTGAGCGGCGCAACCAGCACCTTGAGCGGCACAACCAGCAACCTGAGAGATGCAACCTGCACCTTCAGTGACGCAACCAGCAACCTGCACCATGAGCGACGCAGCCGGCGCCAAATCTCCCTCCAACATTCTCTCCCGACTGATCAATCCGTTCGTGGTGAGCGCCGATTCATCTTTCTTTACAGAAACGAAGGCGAAAATCTCCAATCTGATACCATAGAGGTGGTTCGTGAGGGTCAAGCGGCGCACACGAGCGCCATAGCTCCCTCCTTCCCTGAGCTCCTTCCCTGCACACGAAGAATGTCGATTCATCCTTTCCTTCTACATGTTTTCTGTGTGTGCTGTTACTTCCTCTTCAAATAAGTCTGTGATTTACGCCAAGCCCTGTACTGTGATCTTCGTCAAGCATATGTCCGTGATTTTTGGTCTTACATGCGTACTGGAGGATCGCCTTGGCTACGGAGTCATTTAGAGAGAGGAATAGCTATATAGACAGATAGAAAGTGGGAGAGAGAGAACTAGGAGGATAGGAATATGGGTGGATAGACAGAAAGAGACACAGAGAGAGAGAGAGAGCGAGAGGGGGAACGATGATAGCCCTTTAAACTTGCCCCAACAAAGACAGAGATGTCAAATGACTTAATTAATTAAAAAATATCCCATGGGACGATTTTTTTAGTTTTTCTAATTCCGTGCTAGCCCGAGTCATTGGAGCCAGTGGGTGCTGAAGACTGTGCGCAAGCGCGTGCGACTTGATCACGCGAGACTCAGCCAACGACAGGTGGACAGGCGTCGCCTCCAATGGAGCGTATCCACTTCAGCGATCAAGCGCAGTGCACATTATAGGAGGAAGACCCAGCCGGGGTTCCAATAATTCGTGGAATTACTAGTTAAATAATTAATTAATTATTTAACAGTAATGAAGCTCTCGACTAGATTCGAACAGACAAACTAGTTTGTATCTCGCACCGTGCGCTCAGGACCGAATAATTAAATAATTTTCTAGATAAATGGAATTATAGCGTACCACATTTACAGGTGGCGGTAGATCAACCGAGACCGAAGGCAATCATGTATCCAATTTCAAGAGAAGAGAAGAGATAGTATCCAATATCAAGAGAGGAACGAGGTACAGTAATCTATGAAGGTGATGAAGTATTGATACCAGCCACCAGACGGGAGAGGAGTAGGAGAAGAAGTGGGAGACCAGTTTCGAGCGGCCGAAGAGAAACGGTTTCTGTGCCCTTAATTTGTGAGACGAGATCTGTTGATGCATCACCTTCAGATGATGATTACGATAATATTTTGGGAAATAAGAGTTTTAATCAACAACAAGAGTACCCAAATTAAGTGAAAATGCTAAATCAGGATTTTAATTACAACACCAGAACTCTTAAATTAAATATGCATTTGAATATAAATTTTCAAATTCACAGTCATTAGATAGATCATTTATTACTGAAAAAAGATTTATTTGCAACATAGAGAAGATTTCCTGATTTACCAGCTTCAAAGTTTGGAGATAGGCGCCCATTAACTGGCTTCATTAATGGGCCATGACAGGAGTTTGGAAAAATGCCCAGTAGAAGGCCCGTTGTGAAGAATGAAAAATGGGGCCAGTGGCTGGAGCTAGGATGTGGAGAGCTCTCCCCTGTCTGCGGGGTCTGCGGGGTGACTCAACAGGCTGGCAGTAGAGGGCGGAGGGGTGACGACGATGGCGGCAGCATGTCTGCGAGATTTCCCTCATTTACTGGGTGATGCAGCAGAGTAGTGGCAGCAAGCGGCGAGACGGCGTTGCTGCGGCAACTTGCAGCGCGACGGAGGCTGCGAAATTCAGCGACATCAACGAGCTCTCATCCTGAGTGACAGGTGGAGGTGAGATCGGTGACGACGGCGTGCACGGCAGGGTGGATACCAGCGGCAGTAAACATGGCCGTCATCCAAAGAAATCTCCTCTCCATCCGAATGACCTGCGGAGACTGGTTGAGAAGTGAACAGGGAACTTTAGATTTGCTAATGTTACTTTAAGTTTATTTCGTGATCCACCTTCGCTTTATGTTTTATTAGTTGTGCGGGTGACGGGCACACGATAGAATTGATTGTTAGTTTCCCTTTTTTTATTTTCTTTTATTTTGAGAGCGTTGTGTCAACATTTGATGCTAATTATGTTTCGCTAAGGTCGAAGGCCTTCTTTATTTTTAGTATTGTAGTTGACACGGTCATTTAACTCTCTCTCTCTCTCTCTCTCTCTCTCCCACTCTCCTTTTCGTTTCCTTCACGGTTCTTATCAGTAGATTCCATATTAGAGAGCATCAGAACGACAAGGAATCTTCGTCGCTTCTTCGCGAGAGAGACCCGGTTGAGTAAATTATATGCACATATAATAATAGGGTCAGAAGTGCAGAGAGAGAGAGAGAGTTGGACGAGGCAACCGGGAGGAGGATCAAGAAGACAGACATACTGCTGAAACTAGAGCAATCCATCGTCCTCTCTCACTTTGGCATCCCCGATGTTCTAGCCGTCCTCGACGTGGCGGACGCAATCAACACCTTGAGCGACGCAGTAGATACCTTGAGCGGCGCAACCGGCACCTTGATCGACGCAACCAGCACCCTGAGCAACGCAGCACGTACCTTGAGCGACGCCACCAAGCACCTTGAGCGGCACAACCAGCAACCTGAGTGACGCAACCTGCATCTTGAGCGACGCAGCCGACGCCATATCTCTCTCCAACATTCTCTCCCGACTGATCAATCGACTTCGCCGTCCGTTCATGGTGAGCGCCGATTCATCCTTGTTTTCAGAAACGAGGACGAAAGTCTCCAATCGACCTGACCACGCGAGACTCAGCCAACGACAGGTGGACACGCGTCGCGCATCCTTTACTTCCACTTCAGCGACCAAGCGCAGCACATCACACTCAGAGCAAGACCCATTAATTAAATAAAGCCCGACTAGATTCGAACAGACCAAGTAGTCCCCGTACCTCGCACCGTGCGCTCAGAACAGAATAATTAAATAATTTTATGGATAAATGGAATTATTATGTACCGCATTTACAGGTGCCCGTAGATCAAGCGCGCCCGAGGGCAGTGAGTGAGCTCCGATCTAAGAAAGCTTAATAATTCTGGAATTCCCCGAAATAAATAAATAAATGAAGCATGGGCCTGGGCCAGACATGAAATATTTTAAAATATTTCGAAATCAGGCATCTTTATAAAGCCCGACGGCGACCATCTCGCCTGCCGAAGCCATCCGTCCATTTCAAGGGGACAAAGAGGGAGGGGGGGAGGGGGGGGGGGTGCGTGTTCACTCACTCCTGGATGAACTGCTTCATATTCCTCAGCCACACCAGGTACTCGCGGCTGTCCTTGTTGATCATGTACTCGTGCAGATAATTCGTCGTGCTGGGCGAGATGCCTCGGATCTCCAGGTACTTGTGGAAGGCCTTCTGAAGGTTCTCATCGAGATCACTGGGAGATGGCAGATCAGAGTGTAAGGAAGCTGATAAAGTAAGTAAGATAGATAATGGTGGCGAGGAGACATCATCACATCAGAGGACGCGGCTTACTGGAAATCGGGCCCTTCATAGGCCAGCTCTTCATCTGCCAGCCGGGCTTCCCTGACGACCATGCTGTCGATGCAGACCTCGTCGGGGTAGGCGGTGCAGCCAAACTCCAGCGAGGTGCCGTCTCCTTTGGAGACGGTGACGAGCAGCGGCAGGCACGACTGGGAGCTGCCCTGCCGGTCCCTGCCTGCATCGTCATCGCCATCGCCAGTGACGAGGTTTGGCATGGAGACGATGACCTTGACGGTCTCGCCATGATAATCTCTGCTGAGGGCAATGGTGGTCGAGCCCGGGGCGTCCTTGACCTCGAAAGGGAAACGATCCGGAATTTCATCCTTCTGCAGGGCAAATGGGGGATGAAAGGGGGGGGTCATCATCTTTCTGTGCACAGAGATCGACATCTTCTCAACAAAAGAATACGTATGGTAAACTACACAAAAGCATACATACAGGGTGGGAAATCACATTAAGATCACGGTTTGAAATGCAGATAAACTACACAAGCTTTCACGTCGGTGATTCAGAATAGGCCTCTCAAGTTTATCACCATAGGCAAGATATGCAAATCGATAAGTAAAGAGCGGTCAAATAGGTATCAGAAAAGGATTTTCAATACGGAAGGGGCCTTTGTCCTTTGAAAAAGAAAAAAATGGATTAGCTGCATAATATGGTAAGAAGATCAAGTGGGAAAAAAAAGAAAACAAAGGTAATAACAATTCAAGAGACGTCTGGGAGCAGATCCTACCATGCAGAAGAAAGCACAAAATCTCCACCCAATATCTGTCTCCCTGATGAGCGAAAATGATACCCAATTTACCGAAACGATTTATATAGTTCAAGAGGCAGATGTCAGAAGAGATTTCTAAGGTCAGGCATCCAAGAATCATGAACAAGCCAATTAACTCGCTCAAAACCGTACAGTTTTAAAAGAAGAGACAAGAGGGATGGAAAACATAGGCTGATAATAAGGACAGGGTGGTCGAGTAACAGCCCCTTTAAGATAAAATCCAAACCCATTATAGGAGAGTAGGTTGTTTAATATGTTTCACGATCTTCATTGCTGGCGTAGGTAAGAACTTCTTAGATAACCAGAAAAGGAAAAAAACTCGTCAAGAAATGGAGCCATTAACAATAAGGATAAATTGGCTAAGCTAGTATGACAACTGGTCTACTGCAAATCCTAATGAAATGAAGTATCGTTAAATAAATAAAAAAATCCCGTCTTAAAAGAGGGCAAAGATCATGCAAGAACTTTGAAACTGATGAAAGTAAATCATTTAGAAGTATCTGCATACAACACAGAAATCAAGATCACGTCGACACGATGCCACATATTTACTTAATCTTCCGACTAGCCGCAACAAAGAAAAGTGCAAATCGCCCTGCGTACTACAAAGTTGTATGACGGAGCATAAGAGCGTTACGTAGAGATTATATGGTCTAGCGCCCATGCGCCACAGGCATTCCGACGGACATCAGCATACCAATGACATAAGGCATAATTACGTAAAGGACGATGGCGCTTGGTGATATCCAACTCCTGTCACATACAAGAACAGTAACAAGGAACAGCAATAATCCACTACACATACCTCACCGGTACCAATTTGGAGAAAAATAGTTTCCACTAACAGTGAATGAGATGAGCATGTTATGATCCAAATAACAAAATAAGGGGAGGAATCCAATGCGAACGGAGAGTTCACCCGATCGTGATCGTCGCACTCCTCCGCGCACTTGATCTCCGCGTCGAGGACCTTCAGGATGCTTGAGTCGGCGGCGAATCCCACCTTCTGCGCCTGCGTCGAGAAGGGGCAAGTCGCAAAAGAACTGCAAGTCCCGCGGTCAGGGGCCTCTCCACAAGGCGAGGAGGAAGAGGCGACTCTGTTCATGCCCCCACCCAGGGCCCGGAGGAAGGCGGAGTCGTGGCCCCGACGGCAGCCAAGGGCACGGGAGGCGATTGATCGCGTGGAGGAGACCACTCTGAGAAGCAGGGCAGCGGAGAAGGCCATCGTCCTCGCCGTCGTCGTCGTCGTGGTCTCCCTGGGGCCCGTCGGAGGAGCTCTGTGAAAACTCGAGGGGGTTTTAGGGTTCAAGACGCGTACCTTGCTTAGTGCTCGGCCCCCACTGATGAATTCCACGAGAAAGGTTCACAGATCCAATGGTGGGAACACGATCGGACTCGCCGAATGGCTACTTATTTCCAAAGGGCTGCAAGTCAACTGTTCATCGGCCCAGAAACTGGCCCGAAATGCAGGAAGCACGAGAAGATCACGTGCGTTTATTGGCACAACACACACAGACACGGAGACGCACTAGATCCGAACCCTCCAGAAGAGGGTCCAGTTTTCCTAACCCCAGGCCATTGGCGAAGCAGCCCGAATGGACCACCAGGGCCGCCAGAAACGACAACAAACAAACGACATGCCGACCTTGCGAAGGAGAGCGCGTGCCTAAATCTCCCCGTCCCAGAGCTCCTCCACGCTGCTGTAGACTCCCCCCTCGTGAACCAGCAAGTCACCCCTGATGAGCCTCACCTGCAAAAATCAAAGGCATTCATCATATCAGCATCTCTCAAGCCCATAATTAGATGCGGATGTCCGCCGCATAATCAATCTGGCAGCATTCATGATATCACAACCACGGAATTGCAAGCATGGCTCTCTAATACGTCAATTGATTAACTACAGGTAAGGGTACTTACCACGTTATTCATGTAAAACTATGGCCGGTACGTTTGAAGAATGGAAGCATGATCTTATTAAATCCTAAAGATTTCAAGCATAGTTTTTGCAGCGACATGGCTACTACCCCCGTTTGATGTGGGGTAAACCATAATCTTCAGAGCAATAGATATTAAGTAGGCTTATCAGAGGGCCATGGAACACTTGCCTGCTCGATCTCTTCGAGTTTGGCGAAGAGCTCCTCGGGGATGGACCAGTCGAAGATGTCCATGTTCTCCCTGAGCCTGGCCTCTTTGGTGGTCTTGGGCAGCACGCTGTGCCCCATCTGCACTCCCCAGCGGAGGGCAACCTGTGCGGGAGACCTACCCAGCTTCTCCGCCACTGTCTTCACAGCTGGGTTACGGAGCACCGCGCTGCTGCTTATCCACGCCGTGCCAGGAGAACCAAGCGGAGAATACCCCTGAAAGATGGAACCCGTTAGACATGATTCTGGGGCAAAATACGACGACATTAAAAAATAAAAATGAAATAAAAATGAAAGAAAAATAAAAATAAAAGGGTTCAATCAGGGGATGTTAAGAAATGAGCCATATTTTCATGGCCCTGAAGCAAATTATTTGGCGAAAAAAAAAAAAATCGCCGATGGAGGCCAGAAGATTCATTCGGGGCTGGTCGTAGAGAACTCACAGAGAGGTGAACATTCCGAGCCTTGCAGACAGTGCGGAGTTTTCTCTGTTGCCAGCAGGGGTGGCACTCCACCTGATTGACAGCTGGAGGGACACGTGCAATCACCAGCACGTCTTCCAGCTTCTTGCAGGAGAAATTGCTGACACCAATCGCGCGGGCCTTGCCCTCATCATACAGTCGCTCCATTGTCTTCCATGTACTGTTTATGTCGAGGGGGACGACGGCCTCACCGCTGAGCCCGCTCCCTTTTTTTAACCGGCAGGGCCAATGAATCTTTAAGACGTTGACAGCGTAGTTCGGTCAGAGGAAAGTCATAGGTATTGCACACAAATAAATTATCATTTGGATAATAGAAATATATAGCAAAGTTGCAAAGGTTGGCATGATGTCAAACGGGTCGATCATTAGGGTAACAGCAGCTCCACGGCAGCTCCAAAGTTTTGTATTGCCAGGCGGTCAGATGGTACTTGGGGAGAGGTCTTGAAAGAAGAAAGTGGCGGACATACAATACTGTGCTTCTATAGCGCGAGGAAAAAGTCAACATAGGGAATTGATCGAAGCTACCCAGCTGCGACTATACTACCAAATATTCTGGGCATCAGAAAAGGAACGAACATACAAGGTAGAGATCAAGGTAGTCGAGTTGCAGATCGTCCAGACTCGATTGCAACGCGCCTGGAACATCTTCTGCTGCGAGATCAGAACACCTGGAGACGCAAAGCTGAGTATTAAGTTCAAAAATCAGGGAGAAATTATTTACGCCAAGTGACAGCTTGCTCCCAAAAGGACCAACCAAATCTTTGACGTAATGAACAAATCTTCACGCCTCACTGTTCCATCCTCGAACAGCTCCTTCAGAGCCTGGCCCACCTGCAGTCAAAGCAAAACACATTTGCATGTTGGTGATACCGGAGTATGATACAAAAACAAGGATGTCATTCGAATTTTGATCTTGATTAATTAATTTCCAAAAAAAAGATGATTTTCTTATTAATCAGATAAATAAAAGCAACATTATTCCATCAATTCTCAAGAGTATTGACAACCACCCATACACTTCTCCACCAAACAGACCAGATGAAATTCATATATTTCTAAGCTTCCTTTTTTCACATCTTCAGGTATGACTGGTGAAATAACGACAAGCAACTTGATGATAAATGTAACCTATGAAGAAAGGAGACAAGGAAAAAAAAACCATTCATCTTCTCAGAAAAGCCATCTATGGCGTACCTTATTACATACAAGATGGAAAATTTGATGACAGAAAAGGCGTATATAGCTAGACATGGGCATATTATTTATAAAAAGGCTAAAGTGGAAACAACATGAATAACATAATTCTAAAAAAATAAAAATTCAGATAAGGGTTATTTTTGGAGCGTATTAGAGAATGGACGTAATCCAACATAGTCCAACATAACTTGTATAAATGAAGTGCTCAATGACGATAGGCAATAAGCTATTTAAATGACAAATTGATCCTCTCCATCCTCCCCATAAATATGTCAGCTACTGAATCGTGCAATGAAAAAAATAAAATCGTCAGCGATCTGTTGCCAAAACAGAAATTCAGGCAAAAAATAAATTGCTCATATCAGATTCAATAAAGGTGTGCCAGTGATAATCAAAGGAGGAAGCATAAGCCCGTCTCGAACAATGTTGGTATAACCTTACAAGTTTGAACTGAGGCTACAACTGATAAGCCCTCTGTTCCTTTGTTCTGTGATTTCTATCAGGCATGATCGATTCACAAGTAGTAAAAATCATGGAGCTCGATGGACAACAGAGTTGTCAAAGCGTGCTCCAGATCTTGGGCTCTGATGACTAATTTAATTGCATGGAATCACTTCGTCACAACCACCAAAATTCAAGAACAAATCTGCTTAAGGTATAATACATTTATTATATCTAACATAAAAACTCATAGAAAGAAATTCTATAATGATATTTAGGGTTCTTCATATTCTTCATAAATTACCAAATAGCTAAGTCATAAGAAGAAGAACATTGCATAATTGGCCATTGCTAACAAGATAACAGTAAATCGAAATGGCTATAAAATTTCATACGATTTAATGATATATTCACAGAAACAGTAATCATATTCAATGAAAGTTACCTCCTTTTCGTTTCCATAAATTCGAGCACAATCAATATGCCGGTATCCCACCTGTATTTCCAAAGGAGTGATCATTAGAGCTAACTAAAATGTGTACCAGCCAGGTCAATTATCATCTAACGATAACAGTGGAAAACATTAAAGAAAAAAATAAGAACAACGATATAAAAAGAAAGAAATAATAGTGAAACTACTCCCTTATGCTTGCAGTAGGGAGAATGCAGCAGATGTGTGAAAGACGATCATTTATATCAAAAGCAAAATAAGAAAGTGCTTCAACTTCAAAAATCCAACACCAATGTGATCAAGGCTAATTTTCAATATAATTAAAGAGACCACAGCGGACAGCAATACGTTGGTTAAACCGTAATATGGTTCACTAAGTACAAAACATGACGGTAGGATTCAAGATGAATACAAGGATAGATGATTATCAGAGGATGAGGTGCCGAGTAACATCAGATGGATAATTTTACTGTGTCAATCAATACAATGACTGGGGAACCAAGAAGATATGAGCCATCTGACTCTTTCCCAAATGAAAATAAATGGAACAAACAACAACATCGTAAGAGAAATTATGCATCCAATTAATGAACTAGGAAATCGCCTCTTAAAGGAGAAGAAAAAAAACAGCAAAATTTTCAGTAAGATGTCCAATGTTATTTCTCAATCAACAGGTGAAAAACTTCGACACATTAGCATCCTGATATGGAAGTACTTCTATCCATGGTTACAAGAAAACAAAACCACACAAAAATTTCTCATTATATATGGTTTCATTTACATGCAAATATAAAGTGCAGCATATTGCATAGGATTCAATTGAAATAAATCATTCTTGGGAGCTTCCAGTTCCCTGGCCTTGATCGGAGCACTTTTTTCCCTCGTATAAAATCCCTGGATTGAGGTTTATTGTCCTTTGAATAGTCCGTCAGGAAAGATGATATAAACCGTTACAAAAGTGTAAAGTCACTAGATCAAAAACAAGGGAGAAACATAGACTTTAAAACCGTCGTGAAAAAAAATATGGCTTGTCCTGAGATCTCCAGGATGGATGCCATTGCCCCAGGACAGTGGATTATTTAAAGCATAGAAACAAATCAATGAGTTTAAAAACGCTCCATGCATGAGTTTTTTATGCATGATCCACCGAAGCGCGCTCGAAAATAAGAGACAAAGCGAAACATGCTGTGCAGCGAAAGAAGAACAACAAACGAGAACTCGATGGACTTCGATCGCTACCTTGACAGCCGCAATGACGGCGTTTCCGACGACGCCAGGATCAGCCTGCCATGTTCCCAGTCCCAATGATGGGATCTTAGCACCAGTATTAAGAGCGAAGAACCTGGTCGACGCCGGCATTGCTCCCCGTTTCCCCTTCCCACGAACAACGAGCTTTCGAGATCACCGACGAAGTAGAAGCGCAGGTGGAAAGTGCGAGAGTTCATGTTCGTTTATTTATCGACAGCAGCGAAGAAGTCGAATGCCAGCACAGCTCACGGGCCGGGCCCGAGACCGGTGAACCGGCCCCTGATGGGCCCGTATTTCTTCGGCCCATATCCACCCGATCTAGTAGACGCACTATCTAAGAACGGAAGTCGATTTCATTGACCTTTTACCTCCGATGTGGGGCCCATTTACCCGCTTAGCCGCCACTTTGCAGGGCTTGACTATGAGCGTTTACGTCACTCGTCACGGGCAATGTAAAACGACCAAAGTGCGATAGTTGCCCCCCTTGCCTGCCAGGTGGACCGCCACAGCCACAGGCGGGAAAAAATAATATAGTAATAAAAATTAATAAAATTAGGGCTGCATAAATATGATATTTATTTTCGGGCCGGGCCCATAGAGCCATGGTTGGAACGGCGCGGGCCCAAAAACCTTCGGCCTGGCAAATAAACAAAATAACCATTTTTCTTTCTCTGGTCGGAATTTAAATCACGTCTACGTGTAGGAGCGTTGTGGGCCTGCTTATGTTTTTCCGTCTGAGGGGACTTCTTCGCCGCCGCCTCTCTGGGAATCCGACTCTGCTGCTCTTCTCTCCCTTTTCCAAGCTCGGAGAACACCAGAGATAGCACTCGCCGATTCCAGGGATTCGTCGTTCTATCTCCAGAGGGTCCGACACACTTCCGGATTTGGGGAAGAGGTTCGATGGGAAGGGGAGTGGCTTCTTCGTCCGATTTGAGGGAGTTCGCGGGATGTGGCGGTATTTGAGGGCTGTGATGGAGATTCCGACGAAGGAAGATTGTGGAAAGTAGGAGGGGAGGGGTGTTCGAAGGGAGGGAGGATATGAAGGTTTTGGTGGGGAGCCCCGGCACCGTCAGTAGCCTCCTGCTGAGGCTGGGGCAGAGCTTGTTCGCCGCTGCTTCCATCGGGGTGATGATCTCCTCCTCCGGCTTCTCTACCTACACGGCCTTCTGGTACGGCCTCTGCTTCTCCTATCCCTGTATTCCTCTTTTCTATTTGATCCATTACTGTGCGAATTTATTTTATTTAAATAATTGATTAGTCTCAAATTGCTCATTAGTTGATGTACAGTCCAAAAAGGTACACCTCCACGTGGGATGCTGCATTCGATCAATTATTTGAAGGATAGTCTGGGCAATAAACTGTGTTCATCCGGACTATTTTTGAATATCTTCTTCATCATTTTGGTCTGTTGGTTCTGAAGGTGTATTATTTATCATCGACTAATATTTTTCTTAGGTTTCTCCATTCAGTGAGTTTCTTAGGTTTCTTAGTAAATTTTTCAATTCCAGCCTGTTTAGTATGTTCGCAATGTTCTTGCTAATGGAGTAAGTAAATCGAAGGAAACAGAATTTCACTAATTAAGTAAGTTGGAGAACTATCTCACATATATGTAATCTATGCATGATTTATCGACTATTTTTACTTTTCTTGCGTCGGGATTTATCCTCTCAACATGATTGAAAAATTCCCTGGTCATATTTGTCACTAATCTCATATATTATAAATCAGATTCGTCCTGGAGCTGGTGAACGAATCTGCATTACTTATCCCAATGAAGCTCATCCATGCAGGAAATCCGTCACCTTCATAATTTTGTTAGCTTGGAGCAATACTGGGGATCGTATATTCTTTTGTATTGTCCGGCATAGTCATAATTGATCTTGATGATTGAAATATGACAATTTTCCTCGATCAAACTAATACAGTGGTCAAAATATTTTTTTATAAGTCTTATCTTTTCAGGTTCAACTGTTCCTTTTTTTGACGGTATTATAGATCAATCGACTCCCATATTCCAAAAACTAATAGAGTTACATAAGTGGTGTATTTTCTGCACAAATAAACTTGATTGAGTACATTTTTCCGGGGTCAACCTCATCGGTGGTCAAAATTTTTCTGCATAAGCTTATTTTTATGACTTTGTGCCAGCTGGATTATATTTTTTTGACAGTATATCCTTCTGATTCAGTTATCTGATCGCCTCAATGGGACTCCAAGTTCTGTGGAGCATGGGCCTTGCGTGCCTCGATGTCTATGCTTTAAGAGTCAAGAGAGATCTTCAGAACCCAGTCTCAGTGAGCCTGTTCGTGGTTGGGGACTGCGTAATAATTTCTCCCTTCAATCTTATGCTAAGTTTATGGGAACATCTAAAGATTGATATTCACACATATGATATAAAAATTAATTACCCTATTTATATTTACAACCTGCATTCAGACATCGAGCAACCAGAATCTTTGGTACCATGTTAGAGAGTTAACCCACCCATTTAAATAAAGAGTTATCTGATATGAGAGGATTGAACACAATAAATATAATTTACTTTCTATAGTAGGAACCTTGAATCTGCGGGAATCAGAAAACTTCTTGAAGCCACAAAAATATAATCTGTGTTTGGTAACAAGAACATTAATCTCCAGAAATCTTAGAAACAGGCATGAATTATATATTCTGTGATAAGAATCTTGAATCCTCACGAATTAGAGAAGTTAAAAGGACATACAATTTGCATTGAATCCTGGTGCATTAGAAAACTTTAAACCGCAGATGGCATTAATATTCTATGCTAGGAGCATAGAATCTTGGAAACCCGTTTTGACTGTTCCAGTGATGAGTAATCTTCTCTTGATCAGCATAATGGCTCGAGGCTAAAAAAATATGCTGTCTTGGCAGGTGACTGCAACTCTATCGCTTGCTGCCGCATGTTCTTCAGCGGGTGTCACGGTCTTGTTTGCCAGAGATGTCCACCTTTGTTCAACAGAGGCGGATTTATCGTGCAACAGGTACAAGATATCTGTATCATGTGCCTTTGTGACTTGGGCTCTGATCGCCCAGTCCTCCACCGTCATGTTATGGCTGCTGGCTTCCATGTGAAGAGAGCTACTACCTGCCCACGTTTTTTTTCCGCTTATAGACTTGGGGTGTGGAACCATGGTCCTGTCTCCATTGCTTCATGCCCATTCCTAGAGCAGGGTTCTTGAATCATATTCTCTGAGATCAGAGCTTCTTCACCTCTAAAGCTTACACAGGTCTTTTTTTCTGGCCAACCCGTTTCCTTTTTTTTCTGGGCGGCTGCGCTCTGAAACCAAGCTTTGGAAGGGACATAGGTCTCTCTCTGAGTTGGGTTTTTTTGCACGTCATGACTCTCTCTCTCTCTCTCTCTCTCTCTCTCTCTCTCTCTCTCTAGATCTATATCTACCTCTACGCCCCCAGTTCCAACCTTTCCTTGAGTGCATAAGAAAGATATACTAGGAGGGCTTTGGGTTGAGTGCATGATGCTCTTGTAAATATGTTGGAGCTGGGCGAAGGCTGAAGCTTGACTCAACGCGTTGACCACTAAGGCTATGTTTTGGGTCGAGCCCAGAATTTGGAACATTTTCAGCATTGTCTGTTTATAATCAAGATATATTTTTAAAAACCTTGAAATATTATTGATTATTTTTCCAAATTACTAATGCAGACCAGGCCCACTGCTTCCTATGATCGGGCCGGACCGGCCCAGTCCTCTGAAGCCCTTGGGCGGTAGTGGGCATTTTCGGGCGGGGCCCGGCTCTGAGTTCCCGGCCAATCGACACCCCGAATCTCCGTATGTGTACCTCCCAGTTCACAGTGCAACGTACTCGTTCAGAGAAGAGAGAGATTGAGAGAGAGAGAGAGAGAGAGAGAGGGCTGGGTTGGCGAGATTTTTTAAAGGTCGTTGCCAACACGGGGTTCGCGAAAAAAGAAAATAGACTTCCACGTGACAGTCTGTCCGTAGCACATAAGATTCTCTTCTCTTCACAGGGCCTCTCTTCCTCTTCGCCAGCCGTTCCCCCGCTACTCTTCCCCACTTACGTGCTCTGTTACTCGGCGTAGGAGACACCGAGCTCGGGATCTTGTCGCCGGCGGCGCCCCCGCCTCCACCGCATGGCGTCTCTCCTTGAATCAGGGTGGCAGGTGAGGGTTAAACTCTGGCATCTCTCCCTGCGTGGCTAGTTCTTCTTTTCTCATCATATTCCTCCATTATTTGGCCGAGGCTGCATGATATGTGCCTGGGGGTGTGTGTGGGGATCTGTTTACGGAGTGAGGTTGGACGTTAGAAACGAGGCATCTCTGTGCCTTTGTGTGACTGATAATCACTCAATCGTACTTGTACGTGAAAAGCTAGGTTTTCCAGGCACTGACTGATGATGTTTTTTCGGAATTGCCAGACTGATCTGGTCAGAATTAGTCCTGTTCTATAATTTGGAATGTTTTCTTCTTCTAGGACAATCGCCATTGGTTGTACATGTTGCGTGTTACTCGCCCACTATATAATCTCTGCATTAATTGATTTAGTTTCTGAATGCTGTCTATTCTGTTATTGGAACACCATAGATAATCCAATGTAGCTATTCAGATGATTAGGAATCATCTTTGGCAGATAAGTTTTTTATTGTTGTAATATTTTTTAGAGAAAATCTCATTAAATTTCCCCTAAGAATACTTGTAAATGCCTGCACTGTTGGTCCTTCGTACTTGGACTGTGAACTAGAAGATCTTTACGCGCCCCTTCTTATATTCTCCAGTATAGCGCACATCACATGATGTTACTAAACAGCGGACTGCAGCCTGCCTTTTAATCGGTTTCATTCTGTGCTCCAAAACAGTTGATCATGTCGGTTGATCGTAGTCTTTTTTCCCCTTAATTTTTTTCAGTTTGATCTCTCTGGAACTTGACATTTTAAAGAAACTGAGACTGATTAAAGAAATTTAAAATGCTCAAATTTTATAGGTGGCTCAAATTTTATAGATCCTCGAACTATTGTTCCTATTTTTCCAATGTGGAATAATATTCATTTTATGATGCTTTTCCTCCTGCTCGTTATGCGTACTCCATGTGTATGAAAAAAAAATGCAAGACCAGGACTACTCGTATGACCTAGTTGTGTCCTAATGCCTATAGAGGAAGCTGGAGTCCTTATTCCAGTTACTTGTGCAGATTATTGAGTCTCCACCTTGATAAAGATACTCAAGGTTATAAGCGGTTCTCATTTTGAGCACTAAACTAGAAGTTGAATGTTTTACTGGGCATCCTCATGGATTATTCTAGAAATCCTGAAAAATTTACGATAGGTGACTCAACCAGCTTAGATAATCTCATCGTCTGAATGAGCATTTTGGTTTGGGATCAAATTTAATATTACCAAATGTTAACATATTATCCTATATGGAAAGGTGTATAGCTTTTTGCCGGTTCCATTGAAATATGTTTTGAACAGTTCACAACTGAAAGTGATGAGTAAAAAACGTAACTGGTGATAAGATGAGTTCTATCTCTTTCTGTTTTGTCAAATATGTAATGCCCATGAAATTCGCCCAATTAAGCGACAATGCATGTGTGGAAATAACCATCTCAACTTTCCTGTGAATTTTTTTTCTTTATTTAGTACCTCTATTGTACTTTATAATATATGTTTCTAATTATTATCATTTTTGTGTTACATGTCATGCAGTTTTTGACCACCCATTTCAGTGAATTTCAATTAGCGTCCGTCGCCACTTTTCTCCTCCATGAGAGCGTGTTCTTTTTGTCAGGGATACCCTTTATGGTACTTGAAAGGGCTGGTCTCTTAAGCAAGTACAAAATCCAGGTTTGCTAGTCTTCTTTATTTTCTGCTACAAAAGAAATGAGCATTCTGGATATGAAGTATGTTGGACTTTGGTGATAAGCACCGAGTTACTCCTTTAGTATTTGTTACCTCTTGTGAGTGATCGTTTGTGGATGCAGATACTTTCTCTATTGGAAGATAGGTAAGTTATTCAAAAGAAGATGTCTCTGTTGCATATTCAATTTTTTAAAAATAATTTATCTGGCATCCTCAATGTACATTGTCAAACTGAAAAGATCGTACTCTGAATATAAAGATATGTTGAAGTTTCTTTCAAGTCATTCTTCCAGGGCGTATTTATCATTGTATTACTAACTTGTTCATCTTCACTCATTTTACACCTTTCCTCATAGTCTTTTATTGAACATTCCACATTTTCGTTACCCATCATGACGTAAAAGTGATCACTCATGATGTGCATGATACCTCATGAATTGCATTTTCTGTGCTGTATTATGGACTGGTTAATATATCATCCATACTTGAATTTCATTTAAGATTTTGCCGTATTCTTCTTTAGATTTCATCCAGCTTTGTCATAAGCTCCATAACTACGTAATTTCACACGGTTTTTGATAGAAGAACAGCTTTGAGGACATTGCCATGGTATGATATTGCCGATGGCATAGGAACTCTATTTTCTCGAGGGTGAGCTCTCAACATACAGATCTTCACAAATAAAACCAAGACTTCCTTCTACGTTTTTTTCTAGGCTAAATATTTGTGTGCCATTTCAAATAAAACCAAATTGATCTATAATCAATTTGGAACTATTGTCAAGAGGTTTAGAACAGATAATGTTAGAAACTATTTCAATTTGGCTGTCCCCTCATACTTTGATTAGAAAGGGATAATTCATGAGTCATCTTGTGTCAATACACCCCAAAAAAATAGGGTGGCGAAGAGAGAAATCAGACAATTATTGGATACAATTAGAGCTCTTTTGTTTCAACAAAAAGTTCTGAGGCAATATTGGGGTGAAGCTGTCCTCACTAGTATTCATCTTATTCATAGGATCCCAACAAAAATACTAAAATATCAAAGTCCTATGAAACTATTGAGTAAATTCGATACTCATGTGAAATTAAAGACAAATCTTCGTCCAAGGTTATTTGTATGTACTGCTTATGTTCATGCTCAAGACATAGTGGAAAAATTTGGTCCACAATCTAGAAAGTGCACATTTGTTGGGTACTCAACTACACAAAAGGTCATCTCAGCTAGTGTGACTTTAAATGAGTTGAAACCATATTATGGGGTGAAAAATCCACAAGAGTTAGAGAACTTGATTGCTGCCACTGAGTTATAGGACATAATGAATTCGTGATTCAGGAGACACCCATTCCTAGAATCAAAGAAATAAAAGTGTATAGGAGACAACCTAGAGTTGAGACAAAATATACCAGCTGAGATGAATGATCTACCTGCACTGCAGAAATAACCAGCAAAAGAAACTAGTCCAAGTATAAGAGGCACATCTCAAATTTATAATACTGATTAAGGAGAGGATCGTCAGTTCACTGAAGCCATTGATGAGGAGCAACTAGATTGGCCCATTGCTCTACGCAAAGGAAAGAGAAGAAGTATAAATAAACAACTCTATCCTATGGTCAACTACCTATCATATGATAGGTTAACACCATCATACAAGGCTTTTCTCATGAACTTGGAGACAATTATTGTCCCCAAGACAATAGAAGAGGCCCTGTTACACAAAGAATGAAGTCATGCCATGGATAAAGTGATTGATGTACTAGAGAAGAACTGCACATGAGACTTAGTCCCTTTGCCTTCAGGAAAAAAGGTGGTTGGCTGCAAGTGGGTATATACTCCCAAGTATAAAGCTGATGGAACATTGGAAAGATACAAGGCAAGGTTGGTGGTTAAAGGCTATCCACAATCTTATGGAATTGATTATTCTGAGAAGTTTGTTCCTGTTGCAAAGCTGAATACCATCCGGATACTTATAGCATTGACAGTAAATGTAGGATAGGAAATGCATCAATTTGATGTGAAGAATGCATTTCTTTACGGAAATTTGGAGGAAGAAGTATATATGAATGTACCCTCAGGTTACACATTTACCCATCAAAATAATGTTGTTTGCAGGTTGAAAAAAAATCTCTATATGACTTAAAACAATCACCCTGAACCTGGTTTGAGAGATTCGCTCAAGCTATGAAAGGATTTGGGTACATACAAAGCAATGGGGATCGCACTCTCTTCATTAAGCGTGGTGACTAAAACAAAGTTACAGCCTTAATTGTGTATGTAGATGATATTATCACAATAGGAGATGATACTGAGGAGATTAAATGCCTTGAACAAAATCTATTTAGAGAATTTGATATCAAATCCCTAGGAAGGTTAAAATATTTCTTGGGAATTGAGGTTGCATATTCAAAAGGTGTATTTCTTTCACAACACAGATATATTCTTGATTTACTTCAAGAGACTGGAGAATTAGAGTGTAAACCTACTAAGACTCTAATTGATTCCAACTTAATTTTGGAAGAAGGTAAATACTCTAATCAGGTGGACAAAAGCTCATATCACTGTCCAGATATAACATTTGCAGTGAATGTAATCAGTCAGCATATGAATGATCCAAGGGAGATACACCTTATAGGCAGCATATTGAGTGTTGGCATATCTAAAGACAATAATAGGACAAGGCATTATATTCAAAAAAGGAGGGAATCATTCTGTAAAATCTACACCAATGCTGATTATGCAGGGTGTGTTATAAATCGCAGATCAACATCAGGCTATCGTACATTTGTTTGTGGAAATCTTGTGACCTGGAGAAGCAAGAAGCAACAAGTAGTTGCACGATCTAGTGCTGAAGTAGAATTCACGGCATTGGCCCAAGGGATATGTAAAGGCTTATGGATTTGAGGTTTGCTGGACGAATTGAGAGTCAAACGATCAAATCATCTGAAATTATTTTGTGACAACAAGTCAGCAATAGATATTGCCCGAAATCCTGTACAACATGACAGGACTAGACACATTGAAGTAGAAACATGAGATGTAGATCTGATATATGTTGGGACATCAGAACAGATTGCCGACATATTCACAAAGGAACTCACAAGACCAATATTTCAAAGGATGGTGTCCAAGTTGGGCACGGAAAACAACCATACCCAACTTGAGAGGAAGAGGGGGTGTTGAACTCTCTAGGATTGTTTTTCCTTTCTATCTGTTTCTTTTCACTGTATTTTCGTACCTCTTTTTCATTCCTTATCTTAAGTGGATTCATTAGATTGTTAACGGATCCACTTAAAGACTAATGTAATGGGCCTGGCCCATTACCTCATGTAACCTGTACTTAAGCGGAAGACCAAGATAATTGATGTAAGATTTGGGATTGCGGAAATTCTGCTCCAAGAAGTGGCGACTGATTCATCTTCCTTGAAGAGGAGGATCGTGAAGATCGAATCCTTTCATTCTCCAAGTTGTAAGAATCTCAGTCAAGATCAATTCTCAACAAAGATAATTATGGTTCTTGGAGCTTTTGTGGCCTCAACAAGCAAGAGAAAAAAAAAATAGATTGACGGGATAGCTTATACTGACCCCTTTCATGTGCACCTGTCATGGACCTCTATCTCTTTACGACACAAGTTCGGGGAAATTCTTTGCAAAGTGTGACGATGAAAATATCGACACTAGCAATACTAATAACGTGCTTTGAGTTACATATTCCCGAAAATATAGTATTTATCTTATCTGTTTTCCGGCATTCGTTTGATGCGTTTGGCTGTGCATCTGTGCAGGGTAAAAATAATACCATGGACGCTCAAGAAAAATGTGTTCTACGCCTCATTCTCTATCATTTTTGTGTCAATTTCCCCGTCATGATCGTCTCTTATCCCATCTTCCGCTCCATGGGGATGAGAATCACCCTGCCATTGCCGCCCTGGTACCCCCTCGTCTCCTCCTCTCCACGGAAGATCCCTATAACATTGCATCCTTCAGAATAATTCTCGTCTGATCCTCTCCATCGAAGATCCCTGCTACCTACCCGCCCCCCCATTGTTTTTTTCCTCCCAAGTGATTGACAGGGTGGTTCTCTGTTTCTCTGTCGACCTCTGCAGGAAAGTGGTCCTCTCCCAGATCGTCTTCTACTTCATCCTCGAGGACTTCATCTTCTATTGGGGCCACCGCGTCCTGCACACCAAGTGGCTGTACAAGCACGTCCATAGCGTCCATCACGAGTAAGAAGAGATCTCCCGAGACTCCCCACGAAGCTGGCATCCTTTTTTTCCCCCCTCTCCTTCATCTCCCTGCTGAGTAAGTCAACTGCAGGTACGCCACCCCCTTCGGGTTGACCTCTGAATACGCCCACCCCGCCGAGATCCTCTTCCTCGGCTTCGCCACCATCCTCGGCCCTGCCCTCACTGGGCCCCATCTGTTCACGCTCTGGCTGTGGATGGTCCTCAGAGTCCTAGAGACCGTGGAGGCTCACTGCGGCTACCACTTCCCTTGGAGTCTGTCAAACTACATCCCCTTCTACGGAGGGTGGGTCTAGGAGCTTCTTCTTCCTCCGACGATTTATCTACCCAGAATAAGTACTCACCCTGGTCTCTGTGACATGCAGCGCCGATTTCCACGACTACCATCATCGCGTTCTCTACACCAAATCCGGGAACTACTCCTCGACCTTCACTTACATGGACTGGTAAGCTCGGGCGAAACTCAGTTCTCCACTTCACCTCCTCGCTGTGAATATCGTACTAGTTTATGCACGTAGATGTAGTTTATGCGTGTGTTTATTGAAGTGACGAGATCTTCTGCGCTGAGAAAAAACCAGGCTTTTTGGGACGGACAAAGGCTACCGGGCGGGGAAGGCCGCCCTCAATGGCGAAGGTAAACAAGCCTAGCGTGCGACCGAGCTGCGGGCTCGCCTCATCTCGTCTCTACCGCCGTTCGTGCCTGGTCAGCTGCGTGTGCGTGGATTCTGTGACATTAGGACGCAGTTTTAAGCTTTAATGATGTCATTTGCTCGGTCAAATCTCCCAAGTTCAGAGAAAATGCAGGCTTTTCTTCTTCTTCTTCTTCTTTTTCTTTATAAACCTGCGGGTGCCCAGAATCCCAATTCACTGTTGGAGCTTTCTAGTCCTGAGATGGGTAGAACCCGTTGACCGTCATCCCCCCGTCAACGGGGACGACCTGGCCGGTGATGTAAGAGGCGGCGGGGAGGCACAGGAAGGCCACCAGCGCCGCCACGTCGGAGGGCTCCCCTATACGCCGCAGGGGTATTCGCGCCACAATCTTCTCCCTGAACCCCTCGTCCTTGAGCACCTCCTCCACCAGCGAAGTCCTCGTGTACCACGGCGCCACCGCGTTGACCCGGATCCCCACCCCCGCCCACTCGCACGCCAAGTTCCTCGTCAGCTGGTTCAGAGCCCCTGCCACCGCCACGAGGACCCAACCCAACTCAATGAGAGAGAAAGTGAGATAAATAGATAGAGAGAGAGAGGGGTTGACCTTTGGTAGCGGAGGCGACAGAGCCGGAGGAGAGGGCGACGAGGCCGGCGACGGAGGAGACGAAGACGATGCTGCCCCCGCCGGAGGCCTTCAAGTGGGGGTGGGCGAGCTGGCACAAATGGAAGGCCGCCTCAAGGTTGGTACCCACGATGAGGGAGAACTCCTCCCTAGTGAACTCTGCCGTCGCCTTCCTTATGTTCGTCCCCGCATTGTTAACCTACGCGCAGATAGAGAGATGACGTTGATGATGTTGATGATGTTGTTGATGATGATGATAGTGAGAGAGAGAGAGAGAGAAATGAGAGGGGTAAGGGTTTGGGAGGGACGGACGAGGATGTCGAGCTTGCCCCCGAAAGAAGAAGTCGCCTTGTTCATGAGGGCGGCGCGCTGGTGGTGGGAGGAGATATCGCAGACGGAGCCGGCGACGGGGAGTCCCATGGCCTCCCACTTCTCCAGGCATCCAGCGAGCTCGGCGGCGCTCCGGGAGCAGGTGTACGCCGACGCCCCCAGCGAGGTCAGCTCCTCCACCACGGCCCTCCTGCGGAAGAGAGACAGAGAGTGAGAGAGAGAGATGGCTCCGTCAGGGGTTCTGAAGAATAGCGCAGGAGGAGAAGAAGAGGAAGAAGAAGGAAATGGCCGCTGACCCGATCCCCCTGGTCCCGCCGGTGACCAGCGCCGTCCTCCCCTCCAGAGACCACCTCCCCCAGTCCTCTTTCATAGCCCCGCCGCAACGGTCTTCTCTCCCCACGGCCAAGACCCTCCTCCGCCTGCCTCCGCCGTTCGGACGAGCTTGGAATCTGCGAGGCGCGGAAACGGGAGGACTCCGATTTCCCAGCAGCGCCGCCATCGCCGCCGCCTCCCTCTCGACAGGGCGGAGGACAGAACCGCAGGCCATTAAGATCATCATCCCAAGCTCATTTGGTCGAGTCCATAAGGGCCGAGTGGCACAGTAGCCCATCCTATTGGGCTTCATTCTCTCCAATGAGCCGTCAACAGCTCCCCTCCTCTAACTGGGTTCTTGGACCGACGGGTGGGCATTACCTCTAAGCTCATCGTGCCATCGAACTCAAAACCATCTGGGGATGCGTGAAATCGTTCCCATGTTCATAGTCACAGGTGTTCGTTTACTCACGCAGTAGTTAATATGGAGATTATTCTGAAACCCTAGGTTCAGACAAGGGTTGCCAATCGCTGGACCAATCCCTCGTTAGAACCACCCAGAGACGGTATTCTGAGCTTCTTCTTTCTGTTGGATGATCAAATAACTTCCACATCGATCATATGGCCATGGATCAAAGGCCATACTTTGCTGGCTAGAAAGGTCCCGCGGGATCTGACCAGGATATTTTCGGAAGATTTTGCGAACGATGTAAAATTATAGGCACATATTTGAGCGATATATAAATACGATATATAATAAGTATAGATATACGTGTTAATGTACTAGATAGAGCCTGATGCTCTCTAGAGTACGTAGGGTTGGAGGGGGGGAGGGGGCTTCGACCGGGATCATCAAGGATGGCTTCCTTGAGAGAGCCCTTGATGTCAGGGGCAGCCGTGGACTTATCCTCGTTCTAACGTGGAAGTTATGTGCGTAGTCCAAATGGCCTCGATCGTAGCTACTGTGGGATACGCATGGTGAAGACCAATCCTGGTAGCGGGAGTAGACGGGGGTGTTGCCTATATGAGTGTCTTGGGTTTCTCTTGGTTCGGCTTGCAGAGTTCGAAGAAATCTATTAGGCTGTATAGGCTTGTTTTTCCCGAGATGAGTGAGATGCGAAGGAGGGGTCTGTCTGGAAGGCTGTAAGCTAGAAGAACCTGCAGGTTGCGGACGAGGAGTTTTCACTCGTCAGCGGCGTGAAAGTTTGGCGTGCACGGCGCAGATTTCTCTCTCTCTCTCTCTCTCTCTCTCTCCCTCCTCCCGCACCCACGCAGCCGTGATGAAAGCTTTCTTCTTCCACCGCAGAGTTCAATCCAGGAGATTTCCGTGTATTGCGCAGAAATGGAATCCTACACACCTCTGCATACGTAAAGCTCCAATCACAGGATATAATATTAATCATCACTCTCTCTTCCGTAATAGTTAACTGCGGATCAATGATAATGTGTCCCAAAATCAATTACTTGGCTTTTTTACTGCACTCTGTGGACACCATAAGTTGACCCCAAGCTCCCCAAAAGCGATCATCAGCTTTGCTATCAGACTGAACTCACCGAATTACCCAACTCAAGACTTACAGAAAATGACTAAATTAACTCGATTTTCATTACCAATATTTTCTTCTAAAGTAACAACGTGTGGGTGAGGAAAGCCGACTGATTGCTAGATCTGCTGCACCAGAAACAAATGATGAGAGTCCCGGCATCTCCTCGTAGCCATTGCATTGATGAAGAACTGTGTCTTGCTTGACGCCGGGCTAGGACTTCGATTTTGGGAGAATAATATGCGGCCTATGCTACACATTCAGCATCCATAGCGTCATAAAAATGCTCAATCTTCTACATATTCACTAATATTTAATCGATGCAATGCTGGTTCTAACTTTGCTGGTCGTCATCCGTGGAAAGGAAATATTTGACAAAGCCTACAAGTTTCCTTTTCTTGTTCTGTCTCATTTCAAGGATGAAACTGCAGCATTGAGAGGCCAATAATCGCTACCAAAACAACGAACGGGATTCGCGTACCACCGGCGCAAGGCTTTTGGAGGAATTAGCATCAGATCTCGGGAGGGTGGGGGATGATGATATCCGAAGGAAGTATGAAGAGGAGGGATCTGAATGGGCTAGGTGAGCTCAGAGAACTTTGGAGCACCACAGGTTTCCGTTAAGACTGGTTCAGAATAACGATATTCTCCAGCCTAGAACCCAGGGCACATTTTTCCTGTAATGTGGCCGTCTCATGACTTGTATTCCTTCCCTCTCTCTCTCTCTCTCTCCTCTCTCTCTCTCTCTCTCTCTCTCTCTCTCTCTCTCTCTCTCTCTCTCTTTCTCCCTCTCACAATAATGTACTAGACGAGGCCGGGCGAGCTTAGGTTTTATAAAGTCCTGCTTAGAGCCCACTCTCAGAGATTTTTATTAGTACCAGACTAAATCTGGAAGGACACCTTGCTTGAGAGTGGTCCCATGGCTCCTCTCGCGGCCAGTAACGAACGGCCTGTGAGAGGAATCCTTTTTATAGGTTTAGCGAAAAATCTCTGGAGAATCACTGGAGTAGGGGGACCTCCGACGACCGCTGTGGAAGACAACAGCGACTATGACGGAGAAAAAGGTGGAGCTGGATGAATTGAGGGGTATGTTTCCATGGTTGTTGAGTAGATTATTTTAAACAAATCGTGCGTGTCCCCAGTGACGCAAGGGCATGCTCTCATCGGTGTCTACAGAGATATTACTTTGATTCCATCACTTCGTTGTGAAGGCGAAGGGGATAAACCCAGAGCGTAGTTTGGCATGCTCGCTAAGCTCGGAGATCCGAGCCCGTAGATACAGTCCTCCAATGAAAGCAAGAAAACTTGATTGCGGAGGATGGCCCTTGCTCCACCAGAGCTCAGTTATTCGATGGTATAGGGTTGAGAGAAGAAGTGAGCGAGAGCCTTCCTTTGATTAACTTCGTAGATTCAACACAGGACTTCACAGTTCTCCCACCCACCCCCCGGGATTAAGAACTGCGGCCCCCTAATCTGTGCCTCGGTTTGTTCGGATATCTCATCACCTTCACCAGTCGAGAGGTATTTTTCAAGAAAATAAGAGCAAGTCATCCGCGCATATCTGAATAACACGTTAAGAAGGAAAGTCCTTCAAGGGAGGACAGGCCCCATTTCATTTCTAGTCCGATCGAAGCCATTTTGGTTGGAGAAAAGGATTGGCTTTCAGGACGTCGGGTTCATTTCTTCAGGCGGAACAAATGGCGGAAACATTCCCGAAAATAAGAATCGCTTAAGCCGATATCGCTCAAGAGAATAGATCTAATTCGTCCGTGACGTTAGGAGCATCATTGGGCAGGCTAGGTTTTTTTTTCTAAACATAGACCTAAAAATCAAGCCTGGAAAATAAAAATAAGATTTGGCATGATTCAGCGCGGTTCTTCCCAGAGCTGAATCCAGATTTTCTAAGTCCAGCGCCTGTTGTACGTGTCATGTACCCGTCGTGCTGATTCGGGCCAATCGACCAGGGTCCGGGCTACACTGTTGCTCAAAGCCTATTCTCCAGACTTTTGTCTGAGAGTCTGACTCGGCCGCAAGTACTAGAATTAGATGAATGGCACCCCATGCACAACCCAACCTAAAGAAATGATCCGCGCCGGTTCCAACCAAATTCTCCAAGCAGACCAAAGCAGCCACACCGGCTGTTTTCTTTAGTCTCTCAGTCACTGAATGACCAATATCCTCTGTTACAGATATCAGCCCTCTAACGTATAAATAAAGCCATGCATGTGGTTATAAATGATTGCAAAATCATTCACCGGACCTGAAGCGTACGGTTCTCCCGGAGACATTATCTACTGCGTTCTCCCAATTCGACGCTGAGGGAGATGAAGCCTCACCCGTCGACCAGTCTATAAGACCATCGCTGTCGAAGGGCTAACCTGAGGTTCCCAACGGGTTCGTGTTTGAAGTACGTCTGACTCACTCAGGCGTCTTTCCTTCGGTCCGACAACGGAGACTATAATACTATTCTCCACAGTAGGACATAGGACAGGTACTCTCAGATGACTCTTGCCCCTCCATCGTAGGCCTCGTGTTTTAAGGGCCCCGGCGTCAAAGTTTCGAGCACTAACCCAGAAGAACTGGTCAGATATAGTCATTTCCTTGGCTAGCACGTTGAGGTACAGTGAACTCTAACTGGTACTGTGCAAAGTCTACATAGATCTATATACATATGTACGTTACCTTACTGATATACATGAAAAAGGACCATATATACAAAGATACGATGCTCAAAGGGTGTACAGGCAAATGGCCGAACAGTTAAACCCCAGAGTTAGGGGAGATGTTGACCAAGAAGACTGTCAGAATGACCGGAAACCTTCGACGAGAAAATTTTGATCTCGACGGGATTTATGAGGTCAACCGTGGCTAAAGTTTTCATGGGCTTGTATAGATCGTTTTCGGCATCAGTATGATGAAGATTCACACATAGAACTTGGTCAAATAATTTTAACTGAATGTTTTTAAATAATTCACAAATTTTCTTTAAGCATTTTAGCCATTTAATGCAGTAGTAGAGGACAAGGTTGCCTCCGATGCTCATCGTCTTGTGACTGCCCAGATGCATGAATCACGGTCCATCCTAGGTAGGGCAGGCAAGTAAGCTGAGAGAGAGAGAGAGAGAGAGAGAGGGGGACGAAGGGGGGGGGGGGGGGGGGGGGGGGAGAGGGAGAGGGAGAGAGAGAGAGAGAGAGGGGGAGGGAGGAGGGAGGGAGAGAGAGGGGGGGGGGAGAGAGAGAGACAGCGGTAGAGATAGATAGTTAGGTTATATATCGAGAGAGAGAGAGAGAGAGAGGAAAGAGAGAGGGAGAGAGAGAGCGATAGAGATAGATACATTATATAGAGAGAGAGAGGGAGAGAGAGAGGGAGAGGGGGAGAGAGAGAAAGAGAGAGAGAGGGGGGGAAGGGAGGGAGGGAGGGAGAGAGAGAGACAGCTGTAGAGATAGATAGTTAGATTATATATATAGAGAGAGAGAGAGAGAGAGAGAGAGAGAGAGGAGAGAGAGAGAGAGAGAGAGAGAGAGAGAGGGAAAGAGAGAGGAGAGAGAGAGAGAGAGAGGAGAGAGGGAGAGAGAGAGAGAGAGAGAGAGAGAGAGAGAGAGAGAGAGAGAGAGAGAGAGAGAGAGGGAGAGAGGGAGAGGGAGAGAGATGTATAAACAAAGATGAGAGAAGAAACTAAAATCGCCTGAAGCAGCCTATAGGAGGTGAGGCTGCGCCTGCTCTGTCTTCCTCCAGGTTCTCGTTTACTCCCGCATGTCTCCGACTTCAACAGGGACCCTTCCTTCCCAGTGCGTCCTCTCTCCTGGAAAAGCGGCCTTCTCTTCCCCTTCAGAGAAATCCAAGAAATCCCTATCAGACTGAGCGGCCGTCTTTTCACCTGTGAAATGGAGCAAACCAACTGCTGGACGTTGACCAGAACGAATCTGGGAGGGATGCCGCATTTCCCGCCCATCGCCGCCGCCGTCGCCTCTTGGGAGGAGAAAGCCATCGCAGACGACCCGGCCAGCCACTTGGGGGAATACGCCTGGCCTCCACGGTCTTACTCTTGCAGCTTCTGTGGCAGAGAATTCCGGTCGGCGCAGGCGCTCGGAGGCCACATGAACGTACACCGGCGAGACAGAGCCAGACTCAAGCAGTCCTCCGCCGGTCATGAAGAGAAGGGGCGCCTTTTCTTTCGCCAGCAGCAGCATCACCTTCAGAATTCATTTTCTAAGTCAAGATGTACCCCATATGCAGTCGTTGCACCACCTCGCTCGCCCTCCCTAGACAACTGTGGCGACCACAAGATGCTCTCTCTTTCCTACTCCTCGCGGCTGGTGAAAGAAGGCCATACAGGATCACCCTGCTCTATCACTAGCCCTCATGAAAAACCATCGGCTGTTCAAAAACTGAGATTCGAGGGTAAGACTATGAAGCTTAACGAGATGGACAATGGGGAGAAGAGAAATGCAGAAAACGATGCGGGAGTCGTCGGTAGTGGCAAGCGGAGTAGGTTTGAGGTGAGCTTCCCTTTCATTGTGGGATCATCATTCCCGTGTGACGGGAGTCCTCACCAATCTGATGTACGTCGGCTTAGTACTAGCTCCTCATGCGAGGAAGTCGACCTCGAGCTTAGGCTTGGATATCAGCCTGAAGTTAAGTAGAATTATCTCCTTCAGCCGCAGAGGATTTACTTTCAATTGTACCTTCCATCGTCCATCTTCTTACTACTACCGTATGTTCCGTCATCTCCTCTCTTTTTTGCCTTCTGATGGTGTTGGAATGGGCTTCGATGTTTGAGATTGGTTGCTTTGCTCAGGCGACGCCTTGTTTAATTTGCAGACGGTTACAGTGGCTATACCCTAATGGTGCAATGGAAATGGAACTCGTTTACTTCTGCAAACATACATATTCCACCTGGAGATTGCAACGCTCCCTATTCCCTCAGCTTCCATCGTTTCCGATCCCGAGAAACTCAATTTCATACGCTACATCGCTTGCGATTTGTTCTGATCTGATTGCCTACACCAAGGAATTTCTCATTTGGTTCATTGGATTGTATTCTCGAACAATTTGTGTAGGTTCCCAAATTGTGTGTGGATCGCAGATGTCCTCCTGATCGAACAGAAATCAGGGGTATCGGGTCAGTGTTGAGGAAGCGTCAAGTATTGTGACGTAGTAGTAGTAGAACTAACGTACTAGAAACAAAGACCATCGAATTATGAGCTTTTTTTAAAAACTTCGCCCCCCTAGTATGAGGTTACCCTTTGGAACTCGCTCCTGCTTATTGGAAGCGAAACGCGAGTGTGACTCGCCTTTTGCAAAGTAGGGAGGAAATCCAACTCCGACAGTTTCATGTTCATAGGACGCGATTGAGGGATTTTCACGGGTTTGCGTGATCCGGGTCTTATTTGCAATAGATATTCCCAGTTTACAGTCGAAAATGGGCATATTGTAGAATTTACGATCGAGAGGTTGAGAGAGAAATGGGAGGATGAATGGAGGGGGGGTTTGGAGAGAGAGAGAGACAGAGACAGAGACACACAGAGAGTTAAGACGGGGGAACCAACTGGGCGGCTAGTTGATTGGAACTGCAAGAAGATGCGGTGAGCCCTGCCTTCTGTTTGGTGCCAACCGAGCTGTTTTACTGACATATTCCACCAGTAGAACAAAAACGCAAGCATTCATTTCTCTCGAGAGGACTAGAAACAGATCTCAGAGGCACCGGTACATGGATTCCCTTTTCTCCTCTACTTTTCCTACATGAACGTCAGACCTCTTCTGAAGAAACCCATCTGCCCATCTTCCACCCTTTCCCCAACCCCACCCCCCAAGTGGAATCATCCAAATATAGTATTCCTCCAGAGGTATATCTTTAATTCACATAAGGATAAAACCGGGCGCTTTCTACGCCATTCTTGTTTCTTCTCTTGCACGCATTTATCCACTGCCTAGAAGTCACCACCTCCAGGACTACAAAAAGGAGCCTGGAAACCCTAGCCCTAGCCCACGTCACCCTCTTTCCAGAACAGGGCTCGGCGCTAGAGACCATGCAGGATACCTGGCGATAATTCAGTTCTCTATAGGTTTATAAATGTCAACAGACTGCCTTATACTACCCGTACGCGTATTTCATGCACCCCAGAGCATGGGGTTGACGTCAAGTCTGAGACCTCTAACTTGAATAGACGCCAGGATAATTGAATAAGGAATCCAACTAGAGCTCCTTCTCTGGGGATGTGATAAGACTGGCTTGGCTGGTTACTGCTTCGGTGTAAGCTACCCCCGACGGAGGATTTTTGCAGCGGTTCCTGAGGACCACCAGATCCGTGTAAGGAGGATCTTTAAAACCCCCCCACTGGTCTTCGGCTTGTTCCCTGCCGAGTTGCTAGGGTTTCTATGTTTGGCGGCCTAAACCAGCGCAGAGTTCGAATAGCCAGAGAGAATGAGGAAGAAAGAGTACAGCTGTGGGAGCTTGCGTCCTCCTTGAATGGGTGGAGGGACCGTTGAGGACAGCGAGAGAGACATGCACATGGCGGAAGTGTCGTTTCTCTGTAAGACGAGGGAATGAGAACATTATCCCTGGGTACGAGAAGGCGGAGATCGGGTCCTCTGACTTTGTTCAGGGGATTACGGAAATGCGGTCGATGATGCCTCATGCTGAGTGATCCTTAATTGAGATTATACGAACTTCCCAACGCTATGAGTAGACGACTGCGGTACCATGTTACTCTCCTCACTCTCCTTCTCTCTATCTATCGATCTCTCTATTTTCCTCTCTCCCTCTCATTCTCTCTCACAGGCGCGCGCTTCACTGTCCGTTATTAAACAACTTTTAAAAGAATAGACCGCAAATAATGCAAAATTTATCACCAGTGTTAAAACTACACGAAATTTGGCGAATCATCTGACTCAAGACCCGTTTATTAATACTCAAGGTAAATCCATCTTGATAACCACGTCTTCAAGCGTTCAACATGTCGAATATCCTCTCGGGCATCGCGCTATTCTCACAACTCCGTCGATTCTGGGTCCCACTGCAAGTCATCGACAGGGTCAAAGGGGCCCACCCTCAGGTAATGGACCCCACTATCTCCCGTCCGTGACACGAGTCAAAGGCCTTGTTCCTCTTTCCATATGCTGTTTATTAGGATTTACGAGTCACGAGACCTTCCCAGCCCACTTCTTATTTGTAATTATTGGGCTGAGAGTAAAATGGGCCGTTATATTTTTCTGTTTTCATAATAAATGGGTGGTCCCCGCGTGAGGGCCGTATTTTCAGAAATGAATACTTATTTGGTCGTTCTCTTCTAGAATCAGCCACGTGTCAATTCAATCATCATTCCATGAGCTTGAGAGAAGACGCCACCCGCGGCCCTGAAGTTTGATCCCATCCGATCACTCCCGAAATGACGTCAATGTTCGTCTCGACCGTGCTGTCGGCAGTAGGAGCTAAAGAATCGTTGCCCAAGCTAAAGAATCGCCACGTGGTCATTCCGTCAAGTCTTAGAAATACGTGGCCAGTCAACTTGGCCCTACTCATTAAACCCGTGACCAGTGCCGCGTCCCGGGGTCTCTATAAGTCGTGGCAACGAGTTGTCGTCCAGCCATCCTCAGCCAGCAGCTGATGCCTATCCTCAAGGAGGCCAAGTCGTCTGACGCAAATCGGAATTGCCATCGGGACATCTTCTCTCTATTATTTACAGAGCCGTCAATCTGACGCAGAAATTTCAGAACCGAGCCCGAGTTCTGAATCCGAGTCTGCATCCGGCTTGATCTGCGGATTGGATGCCGAATCCTGGGACCCAGGTGACCGGAAATCGTAGTCAACGGTCTTTAGTAGCATGTGACAAAGTCCTCAGCCAGCTGTAATCTTAAGAAGAACCTGTTCGATGAAATTCTTGACTAAGTTCCTGAGAGTTCCTCCAAACGCTCATTTTTATACAAGTTACGGAACCGTGGATGACACGGAGGCAAAGTTTTGCTGGAAAAGGTGGGTCTGAAACCATGCAATTTAACCGTGGGACTGAGGTTTCCAAGTCCGAATGGAACTCTAGAAGTCAAAAGTTGGAACCACCGACTTGTTAAACCGGAGATGTGACGTGTGGGAAAGTTCACGTCAGAACGCGGCAGTGGTGAGCTGCACACAACCAGTATAACGGTTGACCCGTCCACGTAGTCAGAGAAACGTCATCCACGCGCCGACCAATGATGGTTCACCCAAAGATCGCACGCCACGCTTGGCTCTACTGTCTCCAACTCCCTAAACACGCGCTTCTCAGAACTCTTCCAGGAAATCGTACCCTTCAAATACCTCCTCTCCCACCCCCCTTCCCGCCATATCCGCACCAGTTAACGCTCTCCAATTTAGGGTAGGGAGGCAGGCAGGCAGAATCTTCCAACTCTGTGTTGCCGCTTTTGTCGTTCGGTGGTGGCGGTGGCGACGGGAGAAGGCGAAGGAACAAAGGGAGGGACAGAGCACGGTTGAACATCTCCAAGTCCACGGCTTGGGTAACCGGAATGCGCATCCCCGGCTTTGGCCTCAGCGGGAGGGTTCCCATTCTCCAACATGACAATAGCGGCGGCAAACCCCACCAGCTGGGGATCCTCGCTTTCGAGACCGCGCGCACCATGTCCCGCCTCGTCTCTCTCCATCTCGCCCTCTCCGATGCCGAGATCACCCGCCTATGTTGCTCCATGAGGTCCCAAGGCGTCGCCTACCTCAACTCCGACAACCATGGCGTCCTCCTCCGGGTCGCCTGTGCAGAGATGATCGACGAGCTGGACGCTGCGGCCGCCGATATCGCGCGGCTGTCTGGGGGTTGCCGAGCTGCCTGGCCCCATGGGTTCCAGCGCTTTTACGCGGACATCAAAGCTGGAATGGGGGACACATCGTGCCTGGGTCTAGGGTTTCAGGCTAGCGACCTGGAGAAGAAGGTGAAGAAGATGGAGAGGTACGTGGCCTCAACGTCGGCCCTGTACTTCGCAATGAAGGACCTGGCGGAGCTAGAAGCCGGCGAGCGGCAGCGAGCAGAGAAGTGGAACAAGTGGGCCGGCGCCGACAAGGTGGATCCCAACTCTGACCCCATTCGCGAGCTGATAAACCTTCAGCAGGACCGCGTGCGTCGACTCCGGGAGCAGTCCCTCTGGACCCGAGACCTTAGGAAGGTCAACGACCTCATGGCCCGCTTGGTCATCTCCCTTCTGGCAAGGATCAGCGCTGTCTTCGGAGCCGTTGTCAAGGAGCTCCCGCCCGTCACCATGCGCCGCCATGGCCGAGTGGAATTCCAGCCTCGTCGTCAAGCCAGATTTGCCCACCACCACCATCCCAACGGCGCCGGGGGGATCTTCTTTTCGGGGCCCCTGGTGAAGCCCGCCCATGGGAACATTCTCATCAGGAAATCAGGCTCCCTGATCCATTGCACCTCCAAGCAAGCAGCTGGCGCCGAGTCATGGAAGACTCAGGCCCTAGAGCCGCCGCATAACTCGCTGGGGGCTTCGGGCCTTGCGCTAAGGTACGCCCGGGTGGTCATCTTCCTCGAGCATCTGGCGAAGTCACCGGAGCTAGTGGGAAAGGAGGCACGGGAGGAGCTTTACTGGATGCTCCCCGTGGGGATCCGTAGCGCAGTGAGGAGGAAGCTGCAGGGCCATTGGAAACTGGATGACGGCAGGAACCCTCCGGGAGCGCTGGCTACCGGTTGGAAGGAGGCAGTAGAAGGCATCCTCGAGTGGTTGGCCCCCATTGCGAGAGACACTGAGAGGTGGCATGAGGAGAGAAGCTTCGAGCAACAACAGCTGAGCGCAGCGCCGAGGGTGATGATGCTGCAGACCCTCATGTTCTCAGACAAGGAGAAGACCGAGGTGGCCATCGTCGAGCTCTTGGTGGCGTTCAGCTTCGTCTGCCGCTATAAGCAGGGAGAAGATGAGGATGAGTACTAAGTGCCTTTGGGCGACTGTTGTTATTCTTTGGCTAGGGAGGCTGATTGGTTCGATGGTTTTACCCAAATAATCTTTTGTAAATAGTTAGATCAGAAAGGATAAATAGCAAAGCAAAAAGGAAACTAATTCTCAAATAATTACGATTTCATATTGAAAAATTAGGTGCAATTCTAAAACTTCTTGTTGAAATTTGGGACGAATTCAATCAAATGCTAAATTTATTCTAATTATCAGCACCTTTTCATAAAATTCTGAGAACTTGTCCATTAATTATCCTTAATTCAAAGATATTGTTCCTTGGATCCAACTTAGGAAGATAGAGAGCACTCATGCTTACTCCATATTGTCCAAAAAACTAAGAAATGTATTGTTGTTCCTTATATGACTAGATAAATCAAGAGGGGAGGTGAATTGATTTGTATTTTTTTTTGGTTAATTGAGTGTAATATTTTTTTTATTTTTTTATTAAATTAATGTATCAATTCTATTTCTATATCAGTATATAAATGCAAAACAAACTAAGGAGAAATCGTATATACTCAATTTTAGAGTGATTCGACCAAACTCCTTTGGTCTACATTCACTTTCAAAGACTCCACCTTGATTTCAATATTGCACCATCATAATAGAATTGACATTTGGACTCAACTCCGTTTTATACGACTAAGTCTTCAAGTCATGTATCTATGCTAGAAAGCATACTTCTAATAGTCTTCACCTAGACATTAGTGAACCACATGCCTCACTCTATGTTTAGCACACCATAGGTGCTAAAAAGGACTTAAGCTCACCACATAATCTAAATTAACCAACCAATCACATCACAAGTATGTGTCAATTAACAAAGCACACATACCATAAGGTAACGGCCTAAATTAACCAACCAATCACATCACATGTACTTATTAAGCCACCCCAAACACCATAGGTGTAGGTCTTCCATTCAAGCACACCATAGGTGTGAGATGAACACCCTAACATACCATAAATTCAAATACAAACAAAGAATACCGCAGCTTTTAAATCTCATTTTCAAGCACCAATAGGTGATGAAGTGATAGGTGTTTGGCTGAAGTAGGAAGCACCAATAAAAGATGTTATCATAGGTGTCCAACCTCTGCTCATCTTTATTGGAGAATGAAATTATTCTCCAAGTGGAATAAGAACTAAAAATTGATACCATGTAGTAATGAGATTTGTGAAAAATATTCTCCAAGTGGACATCCTTTTAATTGCCTATATATTGGTACACCCAATCCCAAGGAATGTCCCAACACTTCAAGAGGTATTTCAAAGTAATGAGTCGTCACAAAGTTGACCTGAGATTGTTGCCCACCAGCTTTCTACGCTCTTACATATGCAAATATATATATATATATATAGACTCTCTTGATAGATTTTCATTACATGTTTTCCTTTTTTTTCTCTACTTCCACAGATTTCCCCGCACCAGTTTTCTATACATTTACAACAGCATTATAGTCAAAACCAAACACAACCTGAACATTTAAATATGTGAAAATGTATTAATTATAATCTATTTTTATTTTTTATATTCTTTTCTCAAATAGATGGTACCGTGAATTAGTGTTCTAACCATTTTTAGTACTAGTTAGGAAGATTATAACGAGATTCATTTTCTTTGTCTGACTAAGGGGCCTGAAGTTCAGGCCGTTACTTCATATTTTAGGAATTAATCCACAATTTTAGAATGGACGAATCGAAGAATCAATTTTCTAAGTCCATAGGACTGCATGGGAGGAAGATGTCAGAGTTTTCATAAACAGTTTTGTTCAGATCTTGTGTAGTTTTGTCGGTTGGTGGTTCTAGATCTTTGTCGTGGTTCGGTACGTAGATAAATGACATCAAAATTGTATAAAGACTCTGACTTTGATTGACTTGCAGCATATTTATTAAGTAAACGGTGCAGCCTAAACTTAGTCAACATAACTGGCATTTTCAAATGCTGCGCCATGCTACACCCGCATTACAACGGCAGAACGACCGCGTTCTTCTAATATGAACCCAACCAGAAGAAATATTTCCGCACGTATCACCACAGCCGATTCGTTTTATCTGGTCTCTTCGAAAAGGTAACGACGTCCATCCGATCTTGTCATACGGCAAAGTCTCCAAGCATATCCACCGAGAGGTCTTCCCATGAGTTTGGCTCATTTGTGAAGTCGCTGAACAGCGTGTACTCCAATCTCTCTATGGCGTCTCTGTACACAGCGGGTAGTCCTTGAACCTTACTCTCCCCACTAAAGCTACTCAAGGTACTAGCATTCCCCGTGTGTTGATTCGAGAACTCGTCCACTTGCATGCAGACTTGGAAGCAATCCCAGATACCATCAGACGCTAGAGGGCTCGGGTTCCGGTCGTCTCCGGTTGTTTGAGCCAGTTGCTTGGTGAGAGATTCAATCTCCTCTTGAAGACTCGCAACCTGCAAGAACATCCAGTCAACTTTACCTTCATACGAAAGAGTCCTCAGATAGTTAACCTATAACGTCCATTCTCATTACTGATTTCCAAACGATTTCCATATAGTTTGGAGCGAGGAGGAATTTCGGTAATCTGTTGAAACGGTTGTCATTATGTAGGAACTCCACCGAGGGGTGGGCTCCTTCTTGGTGCCGTGCCACTAAACATTCTTCATTGGTTTCAGATGTGTTCCGCATTAGGAATATGATATCCCTCTAGCTCTTTCTTTGTCTTTGTCACTCGAAGCCTACGATTAGACCGCGTGTCAATAAGGGAAAAGAGAGGCTTTTAAGGATCTCGCGTCTACTTCCTCCGCAAAACCATTCGGGAATGATAATCTATTAGGTTTTAAACGAGTTTCCATGGAATATGAACTCTACCTAGCCCTCTCTATGTAACTCGAACTCTAAGATTTGGCCGTGAACCTGCATCGTAATCCGGATATCCTGCCCGTTATACGCGTTGGGTGACCAAACGAAATAATAAGCTTGCAGAGGAGGTACCTGCTGCTGGAGGGCGAAAATATGAGAGACGCAGCCGTAAACAGGATCCCTCATCCGCGCTTGGGCCTCGTAGGAGATGGTGACAGCGGCTTCACTGCGATGTTGCACCGGCAGGTGGGACAGAAGCTTGGAGACGTTGCTCGCTCCGAACACCTTGTGGACAGCCGCGAAATGGATTGCACCCTGGTCGTAGCTGAAATACGGAGCGAAAACGCACCCTTCGGCGCATTTCCTCCTCAAGAACTTGCAAGCGCCGCAGGAAGATGCGAGCCCCGCCATGTTCATGGCCTTCAGAGTTCTTTCCCCACCCCTTCTCGATGGATGAGATGGCGTCGGACTCGACAGGATTTACGATTTATAACCAGCGTCGGACTCAGAGAGGGTAGAGACTGGATTGACATGGGCGTTTGGGGGCGCTTTTTGGTGGCACTGGCTTTTCCCCATCCCTTGCATAAAAGTCCTCTTGGGTCCCCTCGGTGGGGTACATGGTTTTGCGTTAACGGGTTTATTTATTTTACCGAGCCCTAGAAAGGGTCTTTCTCATTTGGATGTCTGCGGAAGAGCATCGGGCGAGAGAGCTTACTACCCAATTATTGCAGACTGAGATCACGGCCCCGGGATCAACCCAAAACTAGCTGCTGATTTGTCTGCAGCCGAAGGTAGTAAACCCTAGATTATCTCCTGGGGAGAAACTATGAATGATTCTCTGGATATAGTTTGTCGATGAACCATACTTCGCTTCCACTTTAGGATGATTTTCAAAATCTTCCTGACGTTCAGTGTGTTTAAGCCCACGCTGTTCCTTGCATAGCTTATATGAGCATGTGCGGGTGCTGGGAAACGCGTGATTTAAAATGAGGACGATTATGAAATCTTTCGCCTTCATACGTCGTTCAAACTAGGAGACGACATAGAAAAACTAATGAACAACTATGGCTCCCCTCCGGTCGGCAGAACTGATAGGAAGTCGACCGATTTATGGGAATCCGTAGCTCAGGGACCGTAATTCTTAGTGACCTTGAGAAACCCATAGAGAAAGAAAGGAAGGAGGTGAGACCTAAAATTGGTGATACATATATTAGGCCTGAGTTTTTTCATTCTAAAAACGACAGGGTTTTTGTTCATATGGCGCCCAACGACCGCCATTTTTGGTGATCTTGGAAACTCCATAGAGAGATAGAGAGAGAGAGAGAGAGAGAGAGAGAGAGAGATTTAAACAGTAGATACTGAGACTGAGCTCTAGGTGTTGGATGCAACAGATGACCAGACATTTTGTTATCTCATTCGCTACAACTTGCCATTTTCGGTGACCTTGAAAACAAAGAGAGAAAAAGATAGGACATTTAAAGCTCCACGTACTTCATCTCGTGTGGAAGGACTGACATTTTTATGCCTTCAAGACTTCTACAGTAGATGCTGTGGAAATATAGACACACACACACATCTATATATATATATATATATAGATGTGTGTAGTGATCAAATCAACGTTATTTCATAAGAGGTAAAGAGAGGAAGGGGTAGAAATGAACGTTCCAAGATTTTGTTCTGATCAAATCAACGTTATTTCATAAGAGACATGGCTGGAAAACCAGAGACCTCGATAAGTAATGGCTATGGGCGGCAGCAGCCTGTATCATCTCATTTCACAGCAGACGACGAAGGTAAAAGCCGCATCAGAATGAGACGACGTTTCCTCTTTCTGCCTGATGGATCCGCCGTGTCGGATGGGGGGAGATAGGGAGCAAGCTTTTGTATTATTTAGCCCATCACTGGCATCTTCCCTTGTCACTACACGGCGAGAGCCTTCAGCAGAACTCACCTTTGCCTCTGCGCCGGGTGCACAACACCGAGAGAACACTGTGGTGACAGGCAATCTCCGGCTTTGGCCCGCTCTTGCTGGCGTTGTGCGCCCCGGCGTACTGCGGAACCCAACGCCGCATTCCTCGTCGGGGCCTCTCCCGCGGGGATGGCTGGTTAGACCGAAGGCAAATCAGCAACAGTAAAGGAGAGAGCGCCCATATCATCGTCTCTGTCTCTCTCTTTCCTTCTTTAGAGGTTTTCGAGGACAAGACAAGTCGGAGAAATGGACGCGCAACAACGGGGGGTTGGAAGGGAAAGGTGAGCATCATGTGGCTCCCTCAATTTCCCCTCCCCCTCGCCAGTCTCATCAGACTTTCATGGCTTTTGCTTGCTCCAGCAAAACCCATGCGGATAGGGAATCGAGTGCTCGTCGCACCACCGGCCCTTTCGGGACGATCGATGAACAAGCTGTGGCCTTTTGGTCCCTCGGACGCCGAGAAATGCCGGTGCATGCTAACGGAAAATTTGAAACGCCCGAGAAAGCCTCAGAGATGGAGAGATGGTGGCACGCCGGCGTAAATTGCCCATCGGCCGAAAGGCCGTCCATGACGGGCGACTTCTCCGGCGCTCCTATATTAGGAGAAACAATCAGAAAGAGAGAGAGGGAGAGAGAGAGAGAGAGAGAGAGTCGTAATCCACGGCCCAGATTGTTCCCTCTGTTATCACTTTCTCACTTGGTTACAAATTCGATACTCATGCATTAACCGTAGATGTGGAACCCCTAAATAATCTTGAGAGAGAGAGAGAGAGAGTTCTAAGTCTTCAAGGATCTTCACCTAATTGACGCAAACAAAATCATGTGATAATAAACATAGGCCTACTTCAATCATGACTGATTGATTTTGAAAGATCAACGTGACTTAGCACATAAAATTACTCTTAATTTGCATTCATCAAATAACACAAGTTAACTTGAATGAGGTAAGACCTTATAATTGTTGCATATTTATTATTTTAAACATACATTTACAATAATTATGCATATGGAATAACTCTATGGTATATTTGTGTTAAGTTTGTTAATTGTAAAACAATTTAATGGACTTCGAAACAACTAAGACCAGAGATATTGAGTGAGACAACATGATACAACATCTATTGGTGTCATATCTCATGGGAAAGTTTCTTGGCTGACCTAGGCGGGAAGATACCTTGTACAATGGAAGTGGGGAGGTCTAGTACACAGGCTATGAGGCATGATACATGAGTTACAATACAACATATGTAATGCAAAGGTTGATTGAAATTGATAATTCTTCAATGACAAGTCATAGGTTGTAGACTTTTCATCATAATGTATTACAATACTGTAAAGGCACGATTGACACTCAGCAGCGGTAAGAGTTATGCACAGCCTAGGAGCATTATTGAAGATAGGAACATGACCTTGGTGCAAACAATGGCAAGCCCACTATTTATTTTAATTTAAAATTATTTTTTATTTTTTATCATTTGGAAACCTGATTTTATTTCCTTTATTTGACATAGTTATCATTGATACTTGTTATAACCTTCTATGTGAATCATGTGTGGACACATTAAGTGACTTTAGTAATCAACTTGTGCTCCCACGTTTGTAACCCTATCCACCAAGGTCAAGCACACTCACACAATGCTTCTCTCAGGGGTAGTTATGTATAGTTCTGCTTTTTATTTGATTAATTACTTATACTAATTGCACTTAAAATAAATCTTTATCTTAGATTTAAAAGAAAAAAATCATTTATTAGGCCAATAAGGCACCTTCAATTATGTCCTCTAAACTTTTATAAATTTACACACCCTCTTGGTCCCTTAAGCTGGTGGTAGGTTTTTAGCAACTACTCGATCTTAATTTTTTTTTACGTAATATCTTGATTATTTTTCTTAATTAATTATGATGAGATTGTAATTACTGTGTGATCAAAGTTGGCATCGACTTTTATATTCCACCCCCATGTTACATGCATTATGAAGCTAAAATCAAACTTGGTTACTTCTAATGCCGATTTTAGTAAGTCACATAGTGCATGTGACGTGAGTGGCGTGCTTCAGATAGTCTGGGATGCCGTTGACTTCTTCTCTCATGTTTCTTATGTGTACGTGTGTGTGTGTGTGTGTGTGTGCGTGTGTGTGTGTGTGTGTGTGTGAGAGAGAGAGAGAGAGAGAGAGAGAAATGAACTAATCGCCATGGAACTTGTTAAAGCTTGTGGAAGATAGATAAGTTTGAAGGTGTGAAGTGGAAAGAGAGAGAGAGAGAGAGAGAGAGAGAGAGAGAGAGAGGAAGGTATAAGATGCTCGGAAACGCGACGTGTGGTAAGAGGATGGTGTAGGTGATTCTTTTGGGGGAATGTCTGTCTACCTCTCGTCCTCTTTCGTCCAGTACTCTCTCCTGTGGCCTCGGGGACATGCCTGGTTTGACGTTCGTTCATTAATCTATTCCCGGAATGCGTTCTGGGCCAGCTGTTTGGATGGCATCGATGCGTCCCATCGCCCTTCTTCGGGCAACGTCGCAGGATCCGGAAGATCATCATCTTCCCGTGTTCTTCTTTCTCATTTTAAAATTAGAAACAACAAAAATGAGGAGTCTATTCTGCAGAAAATTGGTTTGTTTATTTGAAAAAATAAGTTATTATTTTTATGCACATTAAATGAGAGCAAGGATTTATTATTTTCTATTTATGGATTTAAAATAGTACACCTCTAAATTTCTACATATTTCTCATCCTCAGCGGCCTAATTTCATTAAAAATGCGAATTAATAAAATAATAAGACTGATAGTACACTTTCATTTCTTCAAAGTATATTAAATGCTTATTCAATAAGTCGATATAGATTAGCGACAGCAAAGTCACGCACAAAAGATGACCAGGTGAACGATGTGGATCGTGGGCCAATAATGACTCACGAGGCACGGGCCCGGTCCATTCGTAGATTGCAGTCACCATGGGAATAATGAATCGACGGCTACGATGGTGTGAGGTACACCGATTACGAATAAAGTACTATTTTCCCATCAAAGTGGTCCATCGGACGGTTGGATGCCCATCCTGCGGAGGACCGACGCCTCTGATTATCAGTCATGTAGAAGGAGAGGGCGGCCACTGAGGCGGCGAGGGCCGGGAGAGGTGGGCGCGGACACCTGTCCCCAGACGGATGCAAAACTATTTATATTCCCTTCTTAATTCCGCTTCTCTTGTCCGCCCTCTTCTCGCTCCTTCCCGATTCCTCCCTCCTGCGGTTCTTCCCTTTGCTCGATGAGCTCCAAGCTCTTCGAAACCTAGGAGATCGTCAGTCGCGTCGGATCTCCGGAGGAGAGATCTCCGCCGTGTGGTCGTGCCTCTGCGTGGGTTGTCCGGCTGCTGCTCCCCCGGAGACATCGATCAGCTCGTGCGAGAGGTGAGCGATGGCGACCAGCGTGACTTCCGTCTATCTCCACGTCGTCGACGACGTCATTAGCAAGGTCCGCGAGGATTTCCTCAACTTCGGTGTAGGGGATAACATCCTCAACGAGCTCCAAGGGGTAATCTCCCCTGTCGCGCTGTTTTTTCCTTCGTCGTGGAATTTTCCGCGCATTTCCCCCCTAATTTTTTTTTCAGTTATGGTCTGTTTCTGTTGATTCTTATTACGTCCTCTTTGGGAAGTTGCATTAAATACGGAATTCATTTGTTGATTTTAGGTTTTCCCCCAGGAAATGTCTATCATATTTTTTTCCTTACGATTTCTTTTTTTCTTTCATTTCCTTCTTTGGGAGATTTCAGCTCTGGGAAATGAAAATGATGCAATGTGGGGCGATAAGCGGAAATACAGAAAGGCCCTCTGTTCCCAAGGCAAATGGTGCTGTTGCCCCTGTCCACGACTTGAATGTACCCTACGAAGGACCAGCCGAGGAGTATGAGACTCCGACTGCGGAAATGCTCTTTCCTCCGGTTGACTGAATAACACTATCTCGTTCTTGCTTCTCTTTTTCAGGTTTTCTGTTCAATGGATAACACTACAACGTTTTTTCTTTTTTTCGGCTTCCTCTTCTACAACCTTCAGACACCTATGCAAACACCCATTCCAACTCCTCTGCCAGGAATTTCGGAGAACCAGATGTACACGACTGGTACTCCAAACGATTTTGAAACTACTGATGATATCAGAGATGGCGAAACGAAACCTGGGAGACCTAACCCTTACATGGTATCTGGTTTATTGCTTGGATTGCCAGGATGTGCCCTCATATTCTGGTGAAAATTGGTACTCATATATGCTTTCATGTTCTCAGCACCCACCTTCTCCCTGGATGACCCAGAGACCACTAGGTGTTGACGTTAATATTGGTGAGCTTGTAAATTTTCAAAATTTGATGTTGTATTGTTGTAGATTAGATGTCACGATTGGTTGTCTCTTTAATCAGAAAATTACTTCTGTCTCCTTTCTTGGTAGCTTATGATGAAGGACAAGATGAGGTGGATAGAGGGGCTCCTCGTCAACCTAGGACACAGGTATATATATTTCTACTGATAATGAATTCCTTTTAATTTTCTTCCACTTGTTCAAGCAATTGTTTGTGGAGAAAGTGTTGTGTTTTCCACTATTTCTTTTTACGGTGATATGCAAAAAAGGACACATACGCGTCATCATTGTAAGAAAATACTCTTGGGGAGAGAAAATTGCTAATGTAAAATTGAGATATCAAATGATTTGATGCATATAAATACCTCTTTCCATGAAGAAAAAAGGAGAGAGAGTGCAAAGAACTGCTGCGTAAAAGAAAAAAAAGAATAGAACCAGAAGGAATGGAAGTTAGGAGGACAAATGTGAAGGCAACATTTTTAAAGAGAGAGACATTGCGATAGTAAGATGACCTAGCACAGGGTCCGTTGAACTTTTTAGCATGCCATTGTGTTCTTTGGTATATCCTATGATCCAGTCAACTGTAGAGGCTATGCCTTTCCTTTTGACTGCATTCAGCCAATCTTTTCTCTATCATGTAATGATGCTTATGGGGAACAGATGCGTGTTGGACTGAGCCACTTATGCCTTTAAAAGGTCAGCTAGTTGGGGAGCTTCCACACAGTTTTGTCACAAATGTCACACGATAATCCGACGCTTTTTATTTGTTTAAAATAATGATTTTCTTCATATCGAAGATTAGTTTTAAGAATTATTTTGATGTATTGCATATTTCAGGCTCTTTCTGTATGATGTCTGGATTTGGGTCTAAACTCCAGTTTCTTCTATCCTTGCGAGCCATGCCTAATTGGATCCGTCCCGAAGGGTCTTGGCCAAATTGTAATTTAGGGCATTAAAAATTTTAAAAAGTCATCTAGTGTCTGATTGACCAACTAGTGTCTGGAAATCTTAGTCTAACTTGGACGTGATTGTATGTGTGTTTGAAAACGATGATATAGCATCACAACATTCTTGGTTACTTGCGTAGATGCATCGATTCATGTAAAAGATTTGCAAGTCGTAATGAAAAGCTATAATGTGTATTGACCGTGTGGGACTGTGGGGCTGGTCAATTATAACTCCTCTTGTCATTGCTTATTACCGCTCTATCAGGTCATGCGATTTGGAGGATTCTAAAATTTTCAAGGTTACCAATTCCACAAGAGTCTAATACCCTTTGGGATAAAGGAAACTTGATTTTTGCCAGTGTCTGAGGCGGAGTTGTGTGATGAGTAGCAATTTTATTGGTTTTAACGTACACCGTAGAAGTGTGTTTCAATTTTTCTGGCTGAATTAATTGCCTACTACTTTGAAATGAACTTAATATGGGAAATACTTGTCAGGATTTTTTCATGGGATCTTCTGGTAAACGCAAGCGGGGTGATTTTGTTTCGCATTTGCCACCAGATGGGTTTATTCCACAGCAAGATGGAGCTTGTGATGTCATTGTTGAGCTCCTATTGCCAGAGGTATTCCTAACAGCTGATAGGATATTTTCTATAATGTATTGAAGGACATCTTTATTTATTTATTTTGCCTGTAAACTGCATTCTCTTGTAATCAATCCTTGATTGGTGAAATATCGATTCATGTGGATGTGTATTCCGGAAATTTTCTTCTTACTTCTCTTATCGTATGGATTTATTGTGATTTTGTGATGTTGAACATCCTTACGCTCCAATTTATGTGATAAAGTCTTTGAGCTTTGCTAGCTTCATATTTCAAATAATGTTTTTGTTGTACGCCTACATGGAACAATTCAGTCGCACGATGGTAGCTGTGGAAGTGTAAATTCTGGCAGTTGATGTTTTAAAGAGTACGATTCTCTGTTCGAAGGTCTGGAAAATTTCCGAATCTTGGACATTTATGCCGTTCTCGTTTCGTTAGACTAACTGTTAATTGTTTCTTTGATGAATCTAGTTTTCTTCATAATTAGATGATAGGTTTTTACGTTCTATCTGATGATAATAGCAACTGTGACTGTGCGCAGCCTTGTTTTATCTCTCCCCAAAGGTTTTCGCTTTACACCCTTCTTATGGAAGCTTTGATCCAGATACTTGTTGCAATTGTGCGTGATTCTTTTCTGCAGCCCCTTTTTGTTCCGGTGATCTCATTATTTGATCCGCCATTGATTGTGCTAATGAAATTCACTCCATCACTTCTCATTGAGCCTGCCTATTTATTTTCTTCTTCTGATCTTCATTCCATCTTCATGAGGACTTCACACAATTTCCAAGGTTTAGGAAAGTGGACTGTTGTTTGGTCCAGGCAGAGGGGTCGGGATCGAAATTGCACTCAGCTTATTACCCAAAGCAGCGGAGGCTGTTGTAGTTGGTTGTGCTGTTCATAAAACTACTTGTACTATTTAGAAAACCTTCCTGAGACAAAATCTGGAATTGGGGGTGCAAATGTAGAAAAAAAATTAAACAATTCCAAAACATGTTATTATTGTACAACAATTTAATAATGGAATATTTTAAATTTAGATTATTAAAACTTTACTCTCTCTGTTCCTACAATAATGAAAAGAAGATTCCGCTTACCTCTCTCTCTGCTCCCATTTCCTTCCTTTTCTCCTTGCCTCTGTTTCGACCTATGTATGTGTGGCGGGAGGAGTTGATCTCATTTTCCCCGCTGGAGTCCAGATAATAAACGCCGATCTGATGAAGAAAACAGTCCCTTTGAGGCCAAAGTTGTTCAGCAGGCTACGAATGGCCCGAAATCCACCCAATACTGTGTCAATTTCTTCCGGTTGACTTCGAAAACCTGACATCAACAGTGATACTATGACCCTGTATCAACAGCCCATCGATTTCGCAGCATCAGTAGTCCATCGATTTCTCTCTTTTTAATATGCATGCGATTTTAAGCGGTGGTTGATCCGTGCCGTATTTCTTTCAGGGCAGGGAGATGGAAAAACCGTGGCTTGCAGATGGGACCGCCCCCTCCCAGGAGTTCCGAGTGAAGGATCCCGGTTCTCCTCGAGGCCTCCCCCAGTTGGACGGCATCAACGATGACTATGACCCTGTATTTCCCCTGCCCCTGGCTCATCCACGCCTTCATTTCTTCATTCATGGCTCCCGTTTTTAACTGCCCCCTCTTCTCCCCCCCGAAGCCGTCCAATGCGCACGGAGATTCCAGAGAAGGCTATGAGACCCCATCAGAACAAGGTAGCTCCATTCCGGCCCCTCCCACGGGCTCGATTTCTTGTATTCATTTACTTGGAATGTGGGGGGTGAGATTTTTCTCTCTGCGTCCTTTTTCAGCTGGCACGCCGAGGACGGCGCAGGCTGTGGGGGCCGAAGCCGACGAGCCTCCCCTGAACGAGGACGACGACGACGACGAAGACGACTTCGACGATCTCGATCAGGAGGAGGAAGAGCCCAACACCCAGCATTTGGTCCTGGCGCTCTTCGACAAGGCAACAGCCAGACTCTCCCTCCACCCCACTCCACCCCACCCCACCACTATCCGGCCCAAACCCTAAAAGAAAGCTCAACTTCTCTGTGCAGGTGACGCGGGCAAAGAACAGATGGAAATGCATGCTCAAGGACGGCATCATGCATCTGAACAACAGAGACATCCTCTTCAACAAGGTTAGATTTTACAGTGGCCATTTATCTATTTTTAGCTCTGCTCTGTTCTCTCTTTCTGGTTTAGAGGGAGAATGATTCTTCCACCGCTGTTCCCACTTAACTGAGCACTTGTGCGTGTAAATGCGCAGGCGAATGGGGAGTTCGAGTTCTGAGCGCTGGGGAAGGGAAGGTGGTCGTCGAGAAGAGGGTTTTAAGGGTATATCTGCCTGCCTGCCTGCCTGCCTGCCGCGGGAGGTGGAGGCGCCAGCCGTTGACGATGAGAGGCGCGGACTCGCCTTTCGCCCAGCCTGTCCATATTTACTCCCCCAACTCCGTATTATTTTTCCCATGCTAGCTCGAGTAGTAGCGGTCGTCGTCCTTTCAACGCTCTCTCTCTCTCTCTCCCTCACTCATCTCCCGTGCGCACCCCAAAGATGCCGTGTGGAGCACACGTGTGGGGATGGATGGTCGGCGATGGGCTCCTCTTCTGGGAGGGCACGTGTGAAACCGGGCCGGGCCAGCTCATTGGAAGAACCCACCAAACAAGAATGAGAGGATCTGTCTCTCTCTCTCTCCCTCTCTCTCTCACCGACAGGATACCGAGAGGGCATGGGCTCGACGCACTAATAGCCCTGTGTATTTACTGCGGGGGATGAACCTTAGTTTTCGATATTACCTAATCTTAATCGTGACGAAATATATACGATTTTTATGAGGGTTACAGAGTTATTAGTGTATGTACATAAGCTATGGTCACCTAGATGGAATTGTGACGACGGATCCGCGTAGGTCAACGCAGCTGGGAACGAACCGGATAGCCCTCCGCGGTCGCAGGTGAGAAAAACAATCCCGCTGCGAGCAAGAGAACGAGGGACAGACGATGGGAGAGATTTGAACAATCTATTCTCTCTGCGTGTTTGAGAAGTCAACGGAAATCGGTGGGGTGAATTGAGACCAGATTCCTCCCACGAACTGCTCCGCGATTTCTGGGACTTCCATGGGAGAAGCAGGTGGAGAAAGATCCAGATTTGGCAAACAAATGGGAAAACGATTCACAGGAAGAATGCATTTGAGGAGACAGCCTGGCTGGGCCGCACGTCACTGCACCTGGAAGAGGCAGTGGAGGCCCGAAGGCTCCACCGGCGTCGGCGGTGGCGGCGCCGGCTCTCCGCCTGGCTCGCCCTCCTGTCCTCTCCCCTTCGCAGAGGTCTCCGGCGAGAGGACGAGCGGCGACAGCAGCGGACTGGGCATGCACGAGACGACGCTCTCCCTGGAGACGGCCATGGCGGCAGCGTCTATCCGGAGCGCCGCCGGTGCCCGTCTCTGCAGCCTCGTCTTCAGCGCCCTCTCCTCCATTCAAAACGAGAGATGCTCTCTCTCTTCTCGTGCCGTAGAGAGAGAGAGAGAGAGAGTGGTGGTGGAGGAGCGATTCCCTGGCGAGCTTTGTAGAGGGCGGAGTCTCCCCAACCCCCCCCCCACCCCCAACAGGTGGCCTTCATACGATCCAACGGTCACAGACGGTGACCCCGCTTCTCGCTGTTACATCAAACGGTGCATTAACCGTCTTTGCCGTCTACTTGGCTTAACGGGCTCAAATATACAGGCCCATTATCATAAGTGGGCCTGTTGGCTCGATAGAGGCGGGATCTACCTCCCTCCGCTTTGGAGATCAGCCTTGGTTGGGCGAAGAGGGAACAGCTGTCAAGTGGGCCCTTCGACTTTATTAAAAAACATACACGTGTTCTGCGTGGGCGGAGTGATCCAGCTTTGGTATGCACTTAGAAGTAGCCAGAATTTGCCATAAATAAGACGAACCCTTGGATACCATTTTAGTTAAACCCCCACAAACTATTTGAATTGCCATGGTACCTTTCCGGGTGGCAGAAAAAGCTAAATTACCATTTTAGTTATTATTGGGGGTATTTCAGTCATTTTATGTGTTTACTGGTACTTAGGTTGAGTTGATCGAGCTTTTAAAAATTGACATAAAATTGTTTAAGAAAACATAGTTACAAATGAAAATGAGGAGGGCTCATCTATAATTCTGATACTTTATAGGTAAAAATAAATAATTTCTAAATAAAACGCACGAGTGAAATAATACGAATCCAAATGATTGTTTACAAAAATAAAAGTACTTTAGGGTTATAGTTACTAACGTAATTTAAGTTCGTCATTCCAACGTAAAAAATCGTCCACGAACCGCGCGTCAGTCTTCGCGTCCCCAGTGTGACCCGCAGAAGGATAGGAATCGAAACCGCGATCAGGAGGGACAAGGAAGGACGGGGATGGCGGGTGTTTCGATCATGGCGTCGAGTGTAGGAGTAGTGGAATTGGGTCAGCTGCCAGAGCTGCTGCAGCCGCGGCAGCGCCGGTCGGTCGATCGCCGCGGTCGTCGCTCCGGCCTCTCGGTTTCTTCCAGGTCGCGCGGCGGGGGTGGAGGTTTCCTGGCGTCCATCTTCTCCAGGGGGAGGACGGCCGGTCCCTCCTCCGTCGCTTCACCGCTTATCCCTTGGTCTGGAGACGCATCCCGGCGGAAGGTGCGAGGCCCGCGTCGCCTGTTTGATTCCCTCCGGCTGCATTTTCGAAGATCATCTTCTTTTTTCGTATTTTGATGTCTCGTTTTAATTTATCTAGGTTCGCACTCAGGCCGCCAGTTTTGATTTCCTCCGGCCGCATTTTCGGAGTTCATCTTCTTTTTCATAGCTTGATGTCTCATTTTCATTTACCTAGGTTCGCACTCAGGCCGCCGGTTTAATTACATCCGGCCGCATTTTCGGAGTTCCATCTTCTTTTTCGTATTTTGATGTCTCGTTTTCATTTATCTAGGTTCGCACTCAGGCCCAAGCTGGTGCAGAGGAGCCTTCGGCGGTTAAGTCAACCGGAGAGAGCTTCTCTTGGTCTTCCGTGATCCTTCCGTGAGTCACGAAATCTTAGTATCATGTTTCATGCACAAACGGCACCCGTTACGCATCTGCGCTGATTTTTGGTGTAACATGATCTCGTCTGGTGACAATTTTGACAAGTGGTTTTTGGAAGTGCACGTTAGCTGGTCAGAAGCGGTTTTCTTAATTTTTTTTGTTTTATGTAGTTTTCTGTTCCCTGCGTTGGGAGGTTTACTGTTCGGATATGATATTGGCGCCACCTCCGGAGCTACCATCTCTATTCAGGTACTGGAGTGGATCTTTTCTACCGCACATGGATGGGCCTCTGTCTCAGATCTTGGCCCCCTTACTGCCCGATACGAAGATGTGTAAAATCTTTAGTTATGAACTAGTTAGGGCTCGTTTTTGCTGTGAATTCCTCTTATTCTACTCAGGCCGGGTTGATGATCTAAGTTTTCCCTCCAGTCAGCACAACTCAGTGGAACCACATGGTTTGACCTTTCTGCGGTTCAACTTGGGCTGGTGGTAATTTTCTCTCCTCCAAGTAACATGCAGATGATAGGATAAGTTATTGGCAGAGTTTCCTGTCTTAATTTATTATTATCTCACCTGGTCGTTGGCTTATTGTGTTTTGACCATAGGTCAGCGGTTCCCTTTATGGAGCTCTCGCTGGGTCTCTTATTGTTTACCCTATTGCTGATTTTCTTGGTATACCATTGTACTCTCAGTTGAGAATGTCGTTTCATAGCTACGCAACTCCCAATTTCCATGTTATGATTTTGAGTTGCCTTTATTCTTTAGTTGAGTTATTCAATTTCCTGGTGTAGGAAGGAGAAGGGAATTAATTGGTGCATCTGTCTTGTACATTCTTGGTGGGCTTGTCACCGGATTTGCTCCCAATCTCAGCGTTCTCATAATAGGGCGACTGCTTTATGGGATCGGTATAGGTCTGGTGAGTGTCTTAGTTCCTTTCTTGAGGTTTTCGTTTTATGATCAACCGGACATAATTCTGCATAAAATGCTGTCTCATGATAGCATGCAAGTGTTTCAGTTTCAGAGGTCAAGTAAATACCATTACATTAAAAGTCGTTCAAGTCATTCATATTCATGCAATTTTTTTGTCATCAACTTCTCTGAAGGTGCTTGGACGCCTATGCTGGAATTTTCTTCTAACCAATCTATTTTCCTTTATTTTTAGAGAATTTATCCTAATTTTACAATGCTTCTCTCCCTGTTTATAAAATTGGACAAATGAATCCTCATGGGCTCTTAATTAAATATTTTTTTTGAAATGATCTGTTGCACATTTTTCGCATTGCCATGGAAGCCCCCTGGATAGATTTCATTTTTCAAATTAAACAGTCCCCAGTTTCTTGAAGTAGAAAGATAGCAACGATTGGTCTTCTAACATGAAAAGTGAATTATTTGATAAGATGACGTTGACTTCTGTAGGCAATGCATGGAGCTCCTTTGTATATTGCAGAGACCTCACCATCCCGAATACGTGGAACATTAATATCGCTGAAGGAACTCTTCATAGTTCTTGGAATATTGGTATGCTTCTACATTAGGATCACTGTATATTAAATGCTTTTATTACCTCCGTATATACTGATATATGCTCTGGCAGCTAGGTTACCTCGTGGGAAGTGTCCAGATTGACGCTGTTGGAGGATGGCGCTACATGTATGGCTTGAGTGCTCCAGTTGCAGCATTGATGGGCATAGGAATGTGGAGTTTGCCACCTTCTCCACGCTGGTTACTTCTCAGGGGAGTTCAAGGTATAGGTTCAATGGAGGAATACAAGGAAAAAGCATTAAATGCTCTAGCAAGATTGACAGGCCGTTCTGCCAGTGATAAATTATCTGAGATACAAATAGAAGATACCCTGGTATCTTTAAAGTCTGCCTATTCAGAACAAGAACAAGAGGGTAGTTTTTTGGAAGTTTTTGAAGGAGCAAGCTTGAAGGCCTTCATTATCGGTGGAGGTTTAGTCCTTTTCCAGCAGGTGCAAGCTTGTGTCATGGATGCATATTCTCCCATTTAATTTTTAAATTATGCTTCTTTTTACTGACCAGACTCTAAGGTTGTTATTTAATTTCGTGTTCACTGATTTAGTTTTAAATAAATGACAGATAACTGGGCAACCCAGTGTTCTGTACTATGCAGCTTCTATTCTTCAGGTATGTATTCAAAGAGAAAGTTTCTGGTTTTGCAATTCAAAATGCTTTTGCATTTTTTATTTACTCATTGATACATCATTCCTTTTCTGAAATGCTGTCTCAGAGTGCCGGATTCTCTGCTGCAGCTGATGCCACTCGTGTTTCAGTCATAATCGGAGTATTCAAGGTAATATTTTAGGGTTTTGCCAGTTTTTATCATTTAACAACAATTATTATGCTGATTGACTAAATTGATCAAATACACCGATATTGATATTATATATATATATATATCGCTATCGAAGGAAGAGAGCTATAAACCTTCAAAAATTAACTTCGTTTATATTGTAATTAAACGTTTAATCTAAATATTGATTAGATTAATAAAACTAAATGAAGAATGTATTCGTCTAGAACGCTGCACCTTCTTCATCTATGCCATTTTGCTCTAATTTTTTTGGCTCGGTTATTAGCTTAAAAGAAATTGCATTTCACGGTGTGTAGTCTTTCATTTCACCTGGAAGCAGACTTCGTTCATGTGTGGCTTAAACTTTTGGGTTATGAACCTTGCTTAAACCCTATGCTTAAGAACATGATAAATAAGCCTCTCTGATTTTTTTCTGTATTCTTAAGTTTCTCGTTTGTGATTCTGAAAAAAGTTGGTCTTCATCGTGCAGCTCTTGATGACTGGGGTGGCCGTCCTGAAGGTTGATGATCTTGGGAGGAGGCCCTTGCTGATAGGAGGAGTCAGTGGAATAGTACGTCATCTGCTTGTTGTATTTCCGCCGTTGTGACCGTCGCCACTGCAGTTTCTGGGATATGAATCTTGTTTTTTGATCCACATGATGCGATTATACTAATTCTGGTTGGATTCTTCACGTCTTGGTGCCCCAAATCTGATAATACTCCATCCCCTTTGTTTCCTTTGCGCAGGTGGTTTCCCTGTTCCTGCTCGCAGCCTACTATAAATTTCTTGGGGGCGCCTCTCTCGTTGCAGTCGGTGCTCTACTTCTTTATGTTGGTTCATACCAGGTGAATATCTTGGGTCTCATGGCGCATCCCCCCTCCCCCCTCTTTAAGATCATAATGTTCTGTTGATTCTTATCTATGTATATTGATTATTTCCTCTGGTTCAGGTCTCTTTTGGTCCCATAAGTTGGCTGATGGTCTCAGAGATCTTTCCGATTCGCACGAGGGGACGCGGAATAAGCCTTGCTGTTCTCACCAACTTCGGCTCGAATGCCTTAGTGACGTTTGCTTTCTCCCCTCTCAAGGTACAGCCCTAAAAAACAATAAATAAAATAAAATAAAATAATAATAATAATAATGATAATTAAAGCTTCTGTTTCTAGTGAGATGAGAATTTTCACTATCCTGATGATTCACTGATTTGATGCCTCATCTAAAAAACTTGGGTTTCTGAAGGACCGTCTCATCTTTCAGAGAAACTATTATATTTCTATTCTTATCATTGGGCGATTTAATTCTCATGTATGTTTCTGCATTTAAAAAACTCGGGTTTCTGGGGGATCCTTCATTTTTTCTATTATAGGAAAATTAAAACTATTATCCTGATCATTCGCTGACTGAAAAAACTCATCAAAATCAAGGATGATTTGTGTTCATGCTTCTTTTTTTATATATATTTTAAATAAAGCTCCGGTTTCTGGAAGGTCGCCTCATTTTCTTAAAGAAAATTAAGACTTCATCTGAGATAAGGACGATGCATTGTGCTGATCTGGTTAAAGAAAGTCAGATTTCTGAAGAACAATCTCCTTCTTGTCAAGAAAATTGGATTGAGAGTCATGATGGCCGTTCACTGAGTTAAAAATAAGAATCATGTGTATCGATTGATGTATGCAAGAAACCTGCCTGCGTTATTATCTCCTATTCTTTTATGAAAAAATGGAATTTATTATCGTGGTAACCCCCACACTTATTTAATGCAAAGTAGATGAGGTGGATGATGCAGTTTATTTCTTTTTTAGAAAAAATGGTAAAAATTACTGGATGATCGTCCTTTGTTTAAATGAAAATGAATTATTAATACACATATTCTTTAAAGATCAAGTTTCTGCAGGATTATCCCACTTCCTCGGATAAGATCTCCATTATTTATACATACTTTAATGAATCGAAGGAAAGCTTGAATCATCAAAGATGACATATATATATATATAATATAATTCATCGATTTAATACCTCATTTATCTGTGCGGTTTTCCGATGCCCGGCGCTTCATTCGGAGCACGTCTGTCCGTGGATTTGCTGCAGCTGAGATGCTCGTCTTTGGATGATTTTCAGGAGATCCTGGGCCCCGACAATCTCTTCGTCCTCTTCGGCTCCATCGCACTGCTGTCGCTCCTGTTCGTGATCTTCTACGTCCCCGAGACGAAGGGCCTGACCTTGGAGCAGATCGAGTCGGACATCTTGCAATGAGCGTATTTTTCGGACGGTTATATGCAGAAAAATCATCTTTCATGAAAAGTTGTGTATATTTATTATGCTTTCGTGGTGGCATCCGGTGTATTTAAAATAAAGGGCCCCGGCTGGGGGCTTTTCAGGGCCCGGCCCGCCAGCGCCCCCTTTGCTTTCCCTGCTGGCTGTCTAATCATTACGGTTCTAGAGGTTTCTGGTTTTTTAGCTATAGGCCCCCGTGAAGTTATCGAATGGCGATTCGTTGAATTTCGAGAACTTTCCAACTGCCAATTCTCCCCGTCGCTACTAGCGCGAGAGAGAGAGAGAGAGAGAGAGAGGACTGGGGAGAGAGAGCTCCGGGCCGGGCCGCCATAAACCCCAGATTGGGCCTGGAAGGGCGAGCCTCTCAGTCAGGAATCTAAAAAAGGGCCCGGCCCGACTGGGACCGGCCCGGCCCGTCAACAGACATTTCGAGTGAGCAGCACCAGGTGGGATAAGATCGAGACCGTCCTCCGGAGGGGAGCAACACAGCCTCATCTGAGAGAGGGAGAGAGAGGATGCGCTTTCTCTCTCTTGAATCCCTGGTTGTGAGGGGAATCCGACTTCGGGAAAAGGTAGGTTTTTTTTAGTGGTGACGAGAAGCCCGGGATCCCCCCAGCTCCTCCGTCGAACATGAGACAGCGGGAATCAGGGGGCCCACCCCGACGCCCCCAACGTCACGACAGCGGTCTATCTGACCGAAGGAAACCTCCAGGATTGCGCCACGTGGCACCAGCCCCATCCCCAGCGTGTGGTCTTGGCTGGCTGTCAAGCCAATCCACAGGATGCTCCCTCCCCCCCTCCCCCACCAGAGAAACTGAAAGCGGCCCTCAGCCGAGAACAGCCACACCACACTCCCCCACCCCTTCTTCCTCCTCTTCCCCTTCCCCTTCTCTTTTTATTTAAACTCCCTCTCCATTCCTCCCCCGACCCATCGAACAGCTAGCTCTCCAGCGCCCACACACCCCCCCCTCCCCGTCTCCGCCGATCGTCAGATGGCCGCCGCCATGTCGACCGTCGGAGCCGTCACCCGAGCGCCGGTGGGCTTCTTCTTCCTCATCCTCCTCCCTCTCTCGCTTCTTTTCGATTTTGATCTTGTTCTTGTTCCTGTTCTTCTTCTCATCTGTCTTCATGGCTCGTGCGCAGCCGGTGGTGCACCGATCTGGGTCAGGGGCGGCGCCGGCGAGCTCCGCCGCCTTCTTCGGTGCCGGGTTGAAGAAGGTGAACTCCGGGATCAGCCATGGCCGGATCTCGACGACGACTGTGAGGGCCATGGCCGGCGACCTCGACGAGGGCAAGCAGACCTCAGGGGACAAATGGGCCGGGCTCTACTACGACACGTCGGATGACCAGCAGGATATCACCAGGGGGAAGGGGTTGGTTGACTCCCTCTTCCAGGCCCCCTCCGGCCAGGGCACCCACGATGCCGTCCTCAGCTCCTACGAGTACCTCAGCCAGGGCCTCAAGGAGTAAGCGCAACCCAGCTCCTCCTCCTCTTCTTCGTCCTTCCTTCAACCCACCCACGAAGCTTTCCTTTCCGATCCTGAAGAAAGACCATGGTTTCAGGCTCAACATGGACAACACCATGGGAGACTTCTACATCGCCCGGGCCTTCATGGACAAGCTCGTCGTCCACGTCGTCAAGAACTACCTCAACCTGCCCAGCATCAAGGTCCTCTTCTCTCTCTCTCTCTCTCTCTCTCTCTCTCTCTCTCTCTCTCTGGGGGATCAGTTGGGAGAGAGAATCTTAACGCCTGAGTGGGTGCCCGCAGATTCCCCTCATTCTCGGCATCTGGGGAGGCAAGGGGCAAGGCAAGTCCTTCCAGTGCGAGCTCGTCTTCGCTAAGCTGGGCATCAAGTGAGTTCAGTCTCCTCTGCTCCGGTCTCCTTCTCTCTCCATTTTTTCTCTGACAACAAAAAGAATCAGAAGAAGAAGAAGAAGGAAGTATTTGTATTTACTGAAGACGTGTTTCTCCTCTGTGCTGGGGAATTGCAGCCCGATCATGATGAGCGCGGGAGAGCTCGAGAGCGGGAACGCCGGCGAGCCGGCGAAGCTGATCCGGCAGAGGTACAGAGAAGCCGCCGACATCATCAAGAAGGGGAAGATGTGCGTGCTCTTCATCAACGATCTCGACGCCGGCGCCGGCCGGATGGGTGGCACCACCCAGTACACCGTCAACAACCAAATGGTCAACGCCACCCTCATGAACATCGCTGACAACCCCACCAACGTCCAGCTCCCCGGCATGTACAACAAGCAGGAGAACGCCCGCGTTCCCATCGTCGTCACCGGCAACGACTTCTCCACCCTCTACGCCCCTCTCATCCGTGACGGTCGTATGGAGAAGTTCTACTGGGCACCCACCAGGGAGGACCGCATCGGCGTCTGTTCCGGCATCTTCAAGACCGACAACGTCCCCCAGGAAGCCGTCGTCAAGCTCGTCGACACCTTCCCCGGCCAGTCCATCGGTGGGTCCTCCTCCTCCCCCCCTTCCTTCTCGCTGGGTTCTTCTTCTCCGGCGCCGGCAACTCTGACGGTGAGTGTTCTTGTGCCGCAGACTTCTTCGGGGCCCTGAGGGCGAGGGTGTACGACGACGAGGTGAGGAAGTGGATTGTTGACATCGGGATCGAGAACGTGGGGAAGAGGCTGGTCAACTCCCGGGACGGGCCGCCGACCTTCGAGAAGCCGGCTATGACCCTGGAGAAGCTACTGGAGTACGGTAACATGCTGGTGAAGGAGCAGGAGAACGTGAAGAGAGTGCAGCTCGCGGACAAGTATCTCAGCGAGGCCGCCCTCGGCGACGCCAATGCCGACGCCATCAAGAGCGGGTCCTTCTACGGTTAGCACCCCCCCATCACCACCACCTCTCCGAGCCCTCGGTGGGAGGTCCGCTTCCGACTTCCACAGGCCCCGTAAATAGAAACGTACGAGCTTTTCTTCCTCTCTTGCTCCCCCCTCCCTGTCTGAATACGTTGTGGTCAACGGCGGCGCAGGGAAGGCGGCGCAGCAGGTGAACATCCCCGTGCCGGAGGGGTGCACCGACCCCAACGCCGAGAACTTCGACCCCACGGCGAGGAGCGACGACGGCAGCTGCCTCTACACCCTTTGAGCATCGTCTCCGGTGCAGGAGGGGAAGAAGAGGCTGGCAGCATCTTTCATTTCCTTGTTGTTGAAGAAGAACAGTTCCTGTACCTACTGGGAGCTCGGGAGGAGGCGGTGTTGGCGTGCTTTCTGCAGCTACGGACTTTATATGTAGATATCAATCTCTCGTCGCCCATTAATGGACTTTTATTTTTGGAATAAATCATCTCTCTCTCTCTCTCTCTCTCTCTCTCTCTCTCTCTCTCTCTCTCTCTCTCTCTACTTCTCCCCAGACCCGCCCAGTGGAAATTAGGGCAGATAGAATGAACCCAAGAAAAAGAAGAAGAAGAAGACCAGTAGCCTGCCTTGTCTTACCATGGCGATGCCGTCCTCCTTCCCGCGCAGGATCACCCCGTTACGGCTGTTATTTCTACCAATTCGGGGCATTTTAATATGGTTTGACCGTGTTCTTCTTCGCATGAATTATTTCGATTAAATAAATTACTACCGTAAATAAGATTAGGCTGGTTTGTGGTCGATGTATCTCGAAAAATAGGCGAAAACTTTAATGTGGTCTGGAATCATGAGTCAACGAGGGCTAGCAAGAGTCTAGATCGTGTTTTTTCCTCTCTCTGTCCGGGATTTACAAGTGGTATTATGGGCCGTAAATGGGCCTCTAAAAACGCCCATTAGGGCCCAGCCATCTAGACTCGGTGTGGAGTGTGGGCAAAAGGCAAGAAATGGGTTTTAGATCTGGGCTCTCTGAAGCTCCGGCCCGCATGTGATTCCCCCCGGTCTCTCTTTCTTACTGTTCTTCATTTTGAGGGGGGGAGAGAGAGAGAGGGTTTGGGCCCGGCCTCTTTGTCTTAATGGTCTCGATTTCGAGGCCCAAATGTTGAAAAGATTGGGTCTGACTGGGTCAAGCCTTGAACTTGACCCATTTTTGCGCAACCCCGAGTCAGTCCCGGATCGAGCGAGTCGGAGGGCCCGCCACTTCGTCTTCCCGGTGGTCGGCTTCCGGGTTCCCCTTCTGTGAGGAGATCAGCATTCCCCCCTTCTTGCTGCTCACTTCGGCCGTCGGCATCGGCGTAGAATCGGTCTCCTGGAGATGCCTGTGAGGGTGGCGGAGAGCTCTGCGCCGTCGCTGGCTCCAGGTTAGGGTTTCTTAGTTATGAATACGAGCTTATGCTTGGTGGATGCGTACCTGATCGCGGGTATCCACGAGGAGCGCTGCTATGATGCTGACCTTGAGACGAAACCAGTCCAGCCTGAAACGTGTTTCCGGCTTCATGTCGAGTGCTTATCGTGATTATTGTCGGACTTTTGTGCTGTGTCAGAGTAACCGTCGTGTTCCCAAGTTGAAAGGCGATCTGAACTCTAGTGATGGCCGACTCTGCGCGATTTTCTTGACACCCTGAACCTTTTTCTAGTCTTGGATGTTCGAGACGCTCGTATTCTCTAGTTCCTTTTACTTCTTCTGGTTAATTAGGGATTCTACTCCGAACGTTATCGTCAACGTCACAGCTTTGATTATGCGAAAGGCATTTCGACATTTACTTTTAAGTAGTGGATCACATCATCCTTCCCAAGAAAATTAGGCATGAAGCTTCCGTCTATTTCAATATGGTGACTTAAATTTTACAGGAAATAAAAATTGTTAAGTAATCATCTTGTTTCATTTCTTCTTTTACGTTGGCAGGAAGTGACCGCATCTCATTTTATCCTGAAATAAATATCACTGATTGTGCTGATCTTCACAATATTTCTCTTTCCTTTTATTTTTCTTCTTCCTGTTGAAAAACTGCTTCCCAAGCCTGATGGCTGACAAATGGTTGGCATGGAGAGGTCGAATTCGAGAACGTGCAATAGTCTATTCGTATCATGTGAACTATGGAGTTTTGCTTCATCTTTTTTAATTATAAATTCGTTCTAATCCAATCATTTTCTCCAGGACAAGATGCAAATCCTGAACATTCTCTTCTTCCAGCTTGTACCCTTCTGAGTGCCGGACAGGTGACTTTGACATTACGTAGTGCATCATGAACGATTGGACTTTTCAATGTCCGGGTCCTTTTTTGACTTTAGTGTGGTAGGCAGTTCGTGTGTTGTAATGTTTTATGGCGATGATGAACTGTGGTACATTTTATTTTACTTATAATCTTTGAAAGCGTATTTGTTGTTCATATCAATCTGATTAACCGTCAGACTGAACAGTCACCCTTGCTAATTTGCTTCTTTTAAAAAATAAAAAAAATGTCTTGAAGAGGCACTTTTGCCTTGTCCTTCGGCTCTACTGCATCTATCCGCTAAGGATTTAAGAGACATAGGGTAACTTTGCTTACCCTACAACTGTCTTTCCAAGAAGTAGAATCATGCCACACGACATGTGTGGTGCATGCGTGTGTAAGTTTCATGGTTATATGAAGATAGAGTTCTCAAATACTGTTGCCTTCCTTTGTTGTGTCCTTTTGGACAGCTGGACTCTGTCTTCTCCGCGCATTTATGGGTATATATTCTCTTGGTTCAACGTTTCGATTTCCTGCACAAATCTCCCAAAACCAAACCCCAAGCTTGGGGTCTTGAGCTCCATTTACTGGCACATCTCCTTTTCTTCTCATTTAACTAATCTTTCGTGCTTGATTCTCTTTTGATAATTCTTTCTTACCTTGTATTTGTTTATATTATACCTGAGGCATTTGCTAAAAGGTTCTTTAAAAGGGCATATTATTGCATTAGCCATGCTTGTTTTCAAATGGCATGCCGTATGACATCATACATGCAATCTGTATTCCTAAGAATAATACAGCGCTCCTTCTTAAGGATATGTGAGGGCAGGTTCTCCGGAATTTTGTAGTCTCAGAACTCTTTTACCCTTAAATGAGGTATAATTAGTTCCAAATCCAAAACAAGAATGTGGTTTCTCTTTAAGCAAGGATGAAAGAATGCATTCTGAATTCGGTATTCTTCTGAAGAATGGTGATCTGTATTCTCTCAGACATTGTTCTTCTAATTATAGCAAAACATGCTGGCGTTGGTGCAATATTCATGCAAACTGGCATTTTAAAGAAATTTTCTCTTGTTGAAGTGGTGATCATTTTCTTGTCATTTTGCTATGAAGCGAAGCTTCTGAAAAAAATCTTGGTCTTCGAGTATCACCTGCATTGTGCTTGATTTTTCTCCCATCTCTGCATACACTACGGTTTACGCCTTCGTAGATATTTTGGCCCCCTCTCCCCCCGGGGCTCAGTTTTTCTACACAGACTTTCCTCTCTCAACCTTATTCTAATGGTTCAAATTAATGGCTCAGACTTTTGCTGGAACTCAGAACGTCTCCAACAGCCAAAAGGATGAAGCATGGAAGGTTAATGTCCGAGTCCATGGTTTCGATCCTGACCATGGCTATCTTTGCGGCATCATGGAAGCACTGAACGTTCCTTACGCGGAGACACCTGTAAGCTGACTTTCTTGCATGATCTCCGTGGAGGGGAGCTCTGTGGACAATCATGGAGGTATGTTTCAGCACTCCATCCTGATGAGCTACACAAATCTGTCTGCTGGTATAATTCTCAGGTGGTCACTTTCTGGGAAGGAGAAATTATTGACGGCAAGAACTTTACTTTCTACACTGGCAAGTGGGAAGCAACGTGAGTGTAATTTTCCTTCTCCCATGGTTTTCTCTCTCTCTCTCTCTCTCTGGCTCTCCTTTCCATTTTTGGGTACGATTTTCTTACTACCAAAGAGGGATGAACGTTTTTCACCTGCGCGTGAGGTAGATGTGGAATTGACTGCTCTCCCTCCATAAGAGAAGGGTATTCCTTCATTGATGTCAGGGTTTTAATGCATTTGAACAGGCCCGAGGATGATGTGAGGCACTGGTCCAAGTTCCCATCCTTCTCTCCGCTTTTGGTAACTGCTCTGAAAATCTCCTCCCGCTTCCACCGGACCCGGTATCTTATTTTCAAGAAAATTTTCTTCCTCTAATGCTTCAGAGCCAGGTGGAGGCCGACGGCGGTAAATCCCTGAACCTGAGACACTACCCGTACATCTTTATGGTGGGTTCTTCTTCGCCGGCTTCGGTTTCGTCGCCCTTCTTCCATTTCTTCAGAGAAGCTTCACCCCGAGTGATCCCTCTTTGCAGAGATGGAAGGAGCAGTATTTCGTCAACGTCAGCGTAGACTGCGGGCTGACCATCGCCGGATTCTACTACGTCTGCTTCTCCTGCATCGATGGATCCATTAATGGCTTCTACTACGACCCAAACAGCAGGTAAAATACGCCTGGAAAGAAACCCATCCATCCCCCGCCATATCCATGCTGGTGGAGTAATGCTGGCTATCTATCCTCTCTCTCCCTTCCTGCCCCCACAACCATGCAGCCCTTATCAGAAGCTGGAGTTGAAGTCCACCAACGAGGGCCGGTCGGGTTTCAGCTTCTCCTCATACCAGCTGCAGTGAAGGCCATCGTCCTGCTGGATCTGAAGGCTAGAAGACGGATAGCCTCGGGCTGGCTTGTCTTGATGGGGAGATCTGAGGGAGGGTCCCAAGTGAGCTGCTCTGCTCCTGGCACCAGACCGGCGTGGATCTGGTCTGGTGGTCATCATGGCCCCTCCCCACCCTTCAGTCCCCTCGGCAGGCGCCCACAGTAGAGACCGTCAGGCTCACAGTCTCTCCCCTCCCCCCGCGATCGCATTTATTGTCATTTGGCTCGTGGAGCTGCCGCACCCGGTGGCCTCGGACTGGCCTCCATGTTCCCGTCAATGGGTCTGAATTCGGTGCCATGTTGTTGATGATCCCTTCTTCTCTCTCTCTCTCTCTCTCTCTCTCTCTCTCTCTCTCTCTCTCTCTCTCTCTCTCTCTCTCTCTCTCTCTCTCTTTCTCTAGGGTTTCTTGGATCAAGATCGCTGCCTTTTTTCCTTTTTTGCTTTGTAGAGTTTCTGGGCTTGATAAAGATGCCACCTTTTTCTAAATATGGGATGCCAGCTTATATCACTAAGGAGATGCCCGACGGTGTAAACCCTCTTTATTTTCCATTTATGCATTATAATCATAAAAATGATTTTCTGAGGGAATTTTTCGGGCCATTTCTCATAGAAAAAAGGGCTAATGACCCGGAAAATAATATTTTTTTTGCTGGAATTTTTTAAAAAAGAAAAAGGGCAACTGGCTGATAGGATAAGAATGTTGGGGTTTGCATGCGTCCTAGGGAGGCGCCATTCGCCTACTTCAAAAAGGGTCAAGCGATCTTTTTGACCCACGGCTTGTCGACAACTGCAGACGGGTCAACGCCCCTCCCGGACGTGGCCCCCACCAACGGACAGCTGGTGGCCGGAGTGGGGGCGCGTGGGGGAGGTGGAGCGGGGGGGCGGCGGCGGTGAGAGGCGTTGTGGGCCGCAGCCGGTGACGATGGCGGGCAATGAAGAAGGCCGCAGCCCCCCTCGTGCTCCCCCTCACGCCGGCGAGGTATCGACACTGGCAGGCCCACCGGAGAAATATACCTCGCATTCGCATTTACCGCTGCTCATGAGGACGGCCATCTCCTCGTTTAAGGCCCTCACCCAACAGGCCGTCGCCTCTCACAGCCTTGGTCCGTACCCCTCCCCTTCTACCGGCGGCCATCTCCCCATCCGACGCCCTTTAAAGCCGCGGCCATTGGCGGAGGAGGAGACCCCACAGCGCCTCGTAGCTTTCCTCCCCACTGCATGCATGCTCCGCTCGAAGAAATTATTCTTGGCAGGGAGGCAGGCGGGGTTCAGAGAGCGGAAGAGATATCGTTCGTTCCACTTCCTGTCAGACCCTTCCACCGTCTCAGTCTGTCTCTGCTTCTGTCTCTCTGACCCTTTCTCTCTCTCCCCCTCTATCTTTCGCCGCTGTCGGAAGCAGAGTATTGGGCTCATGGAGAACAGTCTGTTCTGTGACGAGGCCTTGCTGAGCAGCCCGCCTTCTTCTCCGGCTGCAGCCGTCTCCGGCGCCGTCGGGGAGGAGGAGGGGGAAAGTCTTCTAAGGGGTTGCTTGAGGCGGCAGCACGGCTTCCTCCCCCGGGAGGACTACGTGGAGAAGATCCGCCTAAGCCCGGACTTGTCGAGGCTCAGACTTAGAGCAGCAAGGTGGATCGTCGTGGTGAGTGGATTCTTCGACCCTGGTGGATGGTAGTGCGATATCTCGCCGCTTTTCTGATTCTTTCCTCCGAGGACCAGGCTCGCCTGCATCTGGATCTTGCATTGGGGACGGCGTTCTCGGCGGTCAATTTACTCGATCGCTTCGTCTCCATGTACACCAACCTGGTACGACCCGGGAGCTTGTTCTTCTCTCTCTCGGGAGCCGGAATTCTGACTGTTGATCTTCTTCTCCAGAAATGGGAAGGCTGGATGATGGAGCTGCTCTCCTTGGCCTGCCTGTCCATCGCCGCCAAATTCGACGAGGTCGTCGTCTCTTCCTTGCATTCGTTTCCGGTGAGCTTCTCTTCTTCTTCTTCTTCTTCTTCTTCTTCTTCTTCGAGAATCCCCGAACCGACAAGATTCATCGCTCTTGCTCCCGAAGGTCGAAGACTTCGACCACTCATTCCATCCCAACGCGATCCAGCGAATGGAGCTGACGGTACTCAGGGCCCTGGACTGGCGCCTCAACTGCGTCACCGCTTACTCCTACGTGGGTCCGCTGACATGCTGCTGGGGGACCTCCCTCCACCCCCACCTCCGGCGAGCCGTCTGCGACCGCACCGCCGAGCTCCTCTCTGGCGCAACACTAGGTAACTGGGAATCCTCCCCACTGGTTTTCCAAATGGCTGCTCCCAAAGCCTCTGACGATCCGCCATGAACAGACCTCGAATTCCTCCAGTTCAGCCCATGCGTCGTCGCTCTCTCGGCGACGAGATGCGCCCTCGAGGAGCTCGCGCTGCCGGAGCCCGCCGGCTTCATCTCCGACCTCATCAGCCTCATTCCCCATGAACACATCGTAAGAAAACCCCCACATCCCCTAGCCCCACCTCGCCTTCCCATCGATCTGATCCGATTCCCCGCCATTGCCGTCTGCTACAGGAGATGATGGAGCCCTGCCACAGGTGCATGGAGGAGCGGGTGGCCGATCCGCTCCACGGCCTCGCCATGGAAGCGCAGAGCCCCTACTCTGCGGCCAGTCCGGTAACGGTCATAGTGCCGGAAAGGGGCGAGGCCCACGACGGCGCCTTCGACATCGGCGTATTCTCAGAGATGGACGTACCCGTCGCGAAGAACGAGCCGAAGAGGAGCCATCGCCGGAAGAGGAAGAAGACGGAGCGGATGCAGGATTGAACAGATAGACGCTTCCATGTCACAGCAATTAGTACAATTCGCAACTGGGGTGCAACCAAGCACCGTTTGACATCCACTTTTCTCCATTAATTTCCCATTTTACTCATAACAGGGATCCGTCCGAAGCTCGATGAGAGCGTGCATGGCCCGATCATGCAATCATCGACTACATTTACTAAGTTAAGGTTAAGTTTTGCTTCCAATGCATTTACTAAGTTATAAGGATCGATTAAGTGGGTCGCGATTATAGATTAAATCGAAGTGAAGAAGAAATTATCCATAGATGGGCGGTCTCGACGAAGATCTGAAAGCAAAACAATCGAATAGATTGACATACATCAGACTAATATATCGTTTTTTTTGTGCATTAACTGAATTTATCAGGCCCCATATTGATCGATGACAGTTGGTAATTTTGAGTTCGTTTAGTTTTCAATACATTTACTAAATTATAATGCTCAAGAAATTGGTGGTGACTTGCAGATATATCATAGCATGGAGGAAAATATCTATAATGGGGTAATATTTTATAAAAATCTAAATTATATTTAAAAAGCCAGTAGAGTAGTGTATCAATCCAGTCATCTTTAATTTTGAATCATTTAAATAATTATCCGGAGAGTCCAGAAATCTGTAAAATACATACGAAATCGAAGTATAGGAGAATTTATCATTATTGGGCGAGTGGATCAATGCTGGTTTGTTTAATTTTGAATGCATTTAATAAGTGGCAGTACCCGACATATTACAGCAAAGTATAGAAGATTTGGAAGCCAAAAAACCCCTATAAATTCGAAGAAAATACCGGGCCAAATCCACCCCCCCCAATGAAGCCACATCCAACTTGGTCCTCTATAAAAGCCTATGGGATAATATGTATGAATATATATATATATATATATATATAGATATGTGTGTGTGTGTGTGTGTGTGTGTGTGTGTGTGTGTGTGTGTGTGTGTGTGTGAGAGAGAGAGAGAGAGAGAGAGAGAGAGAGAGAGTTATGAAGCCCATAAAAAATCTAAAAAATTCTGCAAGCTACGTGATGTATAAATTAATAGGGCAAGGTGCACTCAGGGGTGAGGTTACAAAAAAATCCTAATATGAAAACATGGAGAAGGCCTAGTGGCGATTACAAGATTCTGCTGATGCGGGTATCCACGATGGCAGCCTTGGCAGGCTCTGATATCTCCAGGGCTTGGCCGAGGGAGAGGCGAGGGTTCCTCCACTGGCTCTCCGCCAGCCTCCTCAGTCTCTCTCCTTCCTCCTTCCTGCTTTGTTGAACGCAGAGGATCTCCGCGTATCCACCTTAAAAGAAAGCGATCCATAGAAGAAATGGTACCTCTTGGTGTTAAAATGCTTTGATGATTTCTGGTTGATTATACGATGTTGGATACTAAAAAATCAATTGGTCTCAAATACTCCGGTCTCTGGAGAAATTCTTCAAAAATTCCTAAAGAATCAACTCTCTCAGTTTTTTCAAGTTCCTCAATTAATTCCATTTCGTATGCAGTATCTGTTTGTATGTGTAAAGCTCATGCATAATGGTGAACAAATTTGGAAAGAACAAACATGACATAGGGACGCCAACGGCAAGGAGAAACCCAGATTTATACACAGCATTTTTTCTTTTGGGCATGGTTACCAATAATCAAATCCAAAAAAAAAAAAAAAACTGGTCAGTTCTTCAGCAGGGTCCCACCAAAATCTTGGAGCCCATGGTATCTTGCCACATGGCTACCTCATGTTCCCCGACATTCTGTCCCCCTGTCTGTCTATCTGTCTATCTGTCTCTGTCTGTCTCTGTCTCTCTCTCTCTCTCTCTCTCTCCGCCCACAAATACACACTTACCCCTCTCCCTCTCTCTCCCCCCTACCTTCTCAGACTGGAATGGGCTTCTCTAGGGCCAAGGCCAAGGCTTCATAAAGTTCTAGCTAGAGGCCTATTTTTAGAGATTTTCAAGCTTTCGGTTATTTGTACCCAAATGAAGACGCAAAGATAATAAAACCACCAGATTCTAAGATCAGAGTCATGGTTACGAAAAATAATTATACCACATCATCTAATCTTACCTCTTGCAAGAGCAATTATGTCTCTTCTCTGATCTTGCCCATTGCTATCTGCGTTTACAGAATAAAAGAAATGGCTTTAATTCAAAGGAATATACATATGGAAAGGGCGCGGTCCAATAACAAAGAATGGGGATACACCTTCATTAATCGAAGCTGGAGCCTTCAGATAATCGATGGCTCTTCTATAGAGTCCCTGAAAAATGTATGTATATCAAGTTAGAAGATTCAGACGGCCATGGAACCCAGGAATGAGAGTTTAAAGCCCTAATCTAACAATTCAATCAGTTTCCTGGCAAGCCTAAGCGATTCTCCTTTATGGCTAGAGGAAACAAGTCATGAATTCCGTGCCACTGGCTATAAATTTGATGGATGACGACTAAACCTCTTGGATTAGCAGTGAACTTGAACGCTCCATCTTTGCCTTCTGCCCAAACATCATAGCTATGCAAGTCAAGACGACTCCAACTTTTGGATGATTTGAACCTAACGTTGTCAAGAAAGTCATGATAATATATTAGTCTCTTCTAAATGGTTCCTAGATAACTTTAATGAGTATAAGTTGCGAAGAACAATGGGGATCATTCTTTTAGAGAAAAACAAACCGAAAATATCTTCAGCCTTGTTCAGTGCCTTCGTCAAAAGCTCTTCCGCACCCTGAAAATCTCTGAGAAAGTTACAAAGACGACAAAATTTCAGCCGATAGGAGAAAACATTATACAATCTATTCAGATTTCGTTAAATAATTTTGTTTCGAAGGTGTGCCGTAATTGGAGACTAAAAAGAGATACACATATTAGAGTAAGCATATCCAATCTATTCGGTGTTAAGTTCATTTCTACACCTTTATTCCAACCACCAAAAATTCACAATATATATTCTAAAATGGAATGGGAAATAAGTTTACAATTCAACTCATAAGTAAAAACAACATTCATTGCTTAAATTTCAGAACAGTGCAAGTTCCACCACACTTTCCATATAAAAAAATAAGAAACTAGTTGCTACGTCCCCGCTGATTTTTCGTGACTATTATTGATACTCACCAAGTACGAGATGATAAATAATAGAGATAGAATACACAGGAATATCCGTCATGCCTATGATGTAAAAACTAGAGAGCAAGCGTAATTATATCAATAAAGTTAACGAGGCTCACATAAAACAGGAGAAATAACACTAACCACAAAGATACCTTGAATGCATTAAAAGTTGTCCAAGTGCACATGTGGCACCCAAGGACACTTCATTAGGAACCATGTTAGCGGCTGCCAATGAAGAGAATTCGATTCCACCATTTGCCTCGGATATCTGAAGCGCTCTCTCATAAAAGTCTTTTGCTAATGAAACATTTCCAGTTGCATGTAAAAATTCACCACATGATAGTGCAAGGTTTCCTGAAAATCAAAAACTGGTCTATTTAGGATAGGGAAAAAAAATACAGGTCAACTAATTAGTGGAAAACTAACCACAACGATATTTTCCCTCTGTTGACTCACAGTCCTCGCATTCACTAAAGTTCAACTCAGCTGGCACAGAGGCTTCAAGTCAATTTCCCTGGAACACAATAAACGAATGTAGGCTGGTAAAGGATTGTCCAAACCTGACTGAAGGTCCCCACGAACCATGTCGACAAGCCCCCTGATGGCTTTAGCCCGCAGATATAATATATTTGACATAGGTGCATCTTCTTCTCTATTGTTTCTCAGTACTTCCAAACATTCATCAGAAAGAATTGAGGAAGAATCGTCCTGCAGGAAAGTAATTTTCAGTGGTTCTGCGTATAGAAAGAACAAAACTGAACGCAAAATTGACTACAGACCTCCCCAAGCTCCAAATTGAGACCCACCAAACCTTCCCATGCAGCAACTGCAACAAATTTTACACAAAAGCATGGATTACATGCCGTCATCTGTTTATGTGGAGACGTTTTTTCAGGTTCTTATGAAATCAGAGTGTACCGTAGATTGACAGGGAAAAATCATGCATAATTTTATGGATTAAAAACTTTTTGAAGTGAAGGGAAAGATACGACATTCATATCAGGAGTCTAAACTTAGCCATACGAAACTTACCTCGGGTAACAGGAGAGCAGTGCTCCAACTGATGAATCATCTGTAGCTTCTCCATGGCATCGTTAATCTCCCCTCTGGTATAAGAAAAAAGGAAGAAGAGAAAGGAGGTGAAAAAAGCAAAAAAGCTGATGGAAATCGAGCTAGCGAGGTGATTAATGACGGGCGGGAGATTTCATCTATTTAAGAAACTGAACCTCTCATGAAGCAAAGTGGACATGGCAATCAAGAGCATTCCCACGGCATCGTCACTTCCTTCCCCGCTCCCTGCGTGCAGATTGGAGAGCCCCTGCTCAAGCACCAGTAACGCCTGTGCGTACGAGTCCGCTACAGATTCAATTCTCAGTGAGGTGTGCGAGGAAAATAAATTTCAAGAAAAGAATAATTATTCACACTTCGAACAGAGTGGGAGACGAGATTTTGCTCAATTCGCGAAGTACAAAGCCGTCTAAGAGAGACAAAGAGCGAACCTGACTTTTGAGATCGAGCCAGGCCAAGAGTGTACTGTATCATCTGCTGGGCAGTTTGACGCTGCTTCTGCTGCTGTCGCTGCGAGTCATCGAGGCCGCTGCCTCCAAAAGATCTAAGGGCGCCGATGACAGCCGCGGCCGGTGGACGAACAGAGGAAACCCTGTGACTGAGAGACTCAAGAGGCGAGCTCAAAGCACCCGCCGCCGCAGCCGCAGCCGCTGCAGCCGTCGCTACCCTTCTCACCGCCGATCGGAACATCGCGCCACCCGTTCCCTCGGCTCTCACTCGCTGGGCAGAGAGAAGAGAAGGTCAGCTCTAACGGAGAAGAACTCCGGAGTTTCTACGCACGTGGGGCCAAGCGTGCGAAGCCCTCTCCTGACCCGTGAAATAATACCCATTTAGTAAGAATCCCGAACCCCATAATGGGCTCTATTGGACCGACCGAGGGGAAATAATGGACCGTATTGTTCGTAGTGTTATTACCATTATGCCTTCCAGCAAAGAAAACCCCCCAAAACCTCGAAGTACGAGACTCTCTTTCTCCCTCTTCTCTCTCTCTCTTTCCCCAGCTCCTTCCGCCGCACCTGATCCTCTCCTCCCTCTTTCCTCTTCCACCTCTTCTTCTCGCAGAGGCGCCTGGGGGCCATGGCGTTGCCCCTGCAGAAGCAGCCGCTGGGGGTCGGCGGCGGCAACCTCAGGCCCTCCCGCGCCTCTTCCAAGGCCTCCAGGCACGCCTCGAGGCAGGACTCCGTCCTGATGCTCTCCGTTCCCGCGGCGGCGCGCTCTCCGAGCTGCTGTCTACCATCGTCGTCGTCCTCGCAGAAGCCAGGCTCGGGGAGCGCCAAGGACCTCCGCACGAAGTTTTTGGCCCTGTCATCGGGGGCCCTGGGGGCTGGCCTCATTTTCCACCTGTCTCCCCTCTCCTCGATGCTCCCCAGCGCCAGCGGTGGCGGTCCCGGTGGTGGGAGCGGGGATTGGGGAGGCTTCGGAGGAGGTGGGGGCGGCGGCGGCGGTGGAGGGAGTGGGGGTCATGGCTTCTGGTCGTGGATTTTTTCGTCGTCCTCGGCAATGGCGAAGATGGATGAACAGGACGCCAGTGGACCAGAGTGGGACTTCCACGGGCTTCCTGCCAACCTCGTGATACCTTTGGCTAAGCTGAGCAGTATGAAGCGGTACAAGATCTCGGAGATTCTCTTTTTCGACCGTCGTCGGGGTAACACCGTTGCCAGCGCTGAGGATTCCTTCTTCGAGATGGTCTCCCTTCGCCCCGGGGGCGTCTACACCAGGGCGCAGCTCCAAAATGAACTCGAAACCCTAGCCACATGTGGGATGTTTGAGAGGGTCGATCTTGACGGTAAGACGAAACCTGATGGTACGCTGGCTCTGACTGTATCGTTTGTAGAGAGCACTTGGCAGTCTGCGGATTCCTTCCGGTGCATCAATGTTGGGCTGATGGCCCAGTCGAAGCCTGTAGAAATGGACCCTGATATGACGGACAGGGAAAAGCTTGACTACTTCAGGAGTCAGGAAAGGGAATACCGTCGCAGGATCGAACGCTCAAGGCCCTGTCTGCTTCCAGAGCCTATAAAGAAAGAAGTCAGGCAGATGCTGAGGGAACAAGGGAAGGTCAGTGCTAGGCTGCTGCAACGGATTAGAGACAGGGTACAGAAGTGGTACCACGATGAGGGGTATGCATGTGCCCAGGTGGTGAATTTTGGAAACCTGAATACAAAGGAGGTGGTCTGTGAGGTGGTAGAGGGGGACGTTACCCAGCTTGTTATACAGTTTCAAGATAAGCTGGGGAATGTATGTGAGGGGAATACCCAGCTCGGTGTTGTTCGGAGAGAATTACCCTCTCAGGTGAATGATTGTTTCGCATATTAACAAGTGCATATTAGATGACCTCTTTTTTATTGTTGACGTTGGGACTGATTTTTGTTAGGTTTTCGAGTATACTGGACATCTTTATGGCATCACTTTTTTTTGTCTCTTAATATGGCATTTAATTATTCTTTTATGTGTAGTAAACTTTGTTGAGTATCTTTGACACTAAAAAAATTTCACGTTTGTATGACTTTCTACCTATAATGTACTCATTTGTGATGAAAAATTGTGGAATTTATTTGGGACAAAAAATCTTATGAGATTATCGTGTGCACAGCTTCAACGAGGTCATGTCTTCAACATTGAAGCTGGGAAACAAGCTCTCAGGAACATTAATTCGCTCGGTTTATTTTCCAACATTGAAGTGAATCCCCGCCCTGATGAGAAGAGCGAAGGAGGAATCGTAGTGGAAATAAAGCTTAAAGAACTCGAACAGAAATCGGCTGAAGTAAGCACAGAGTGGAGTATTGTTCCTGGGCGTCAAGGGAGGCCGACACTGGTATGCATCTGGAAGAAAAAAATCTGCCTGTTTGATAGATAAAAATTCTTCCTTTGATAATAGCATAAAATAGGACAAGATCCTGATCCTTTTTTTTTATTTTTCATAGCAATGTTCCCTATTGCACTATGAACAAAGTACATCAAAAATCATGTTATGGTTGCATGGAAGGTCCCATGTACCAGCAGTAATTCTAAAATGAAGAATGTCTGAAAGCATTATTGAGAATATGATGAATAGAACTCGCTCTTTCATTGAAGTGAGAATTACAAGTAATTTTTTATAAACATTTTCTTTTAGGCATCCATTCAGCCTGGTGGCACAGTTTCGTTCGAACACCGGAACATCAATGGTTTGAACAGGTCTATCCTTGGGTCGGTGACATCTAGCAACCTTTTTAACCCACAGGTATGACACTCTTATGTATTGCCCGGGAAATGTTTGTGCTATTTTTTCTTCCTCTTCATGCCTTATCACTTGTTGAAAATTAGTTTATGGAAGGAAAAGCATCATATCAATTTAGTTCTTGTTCAGTGTGCCATCCTGTACTTCTGCGGCACACTCTCATGCCGGGACGTGACGGCTGAGTTTTTAGAAAACATGATGAGGAACACGCTTTATTTTGCATCCTAAACCTTCCTTTTTGACTGCGATGCATAAACAAAGGCCATACTAAACATACTAGAGAATTTTTTCCTGAAATATGCTCAGGCGACTTTATTCAAAGTAATACGATGTGCAGCAGACTGAGAGGCACTGCATCAAAAAGAGCTATCAGTTTTATTCGAATCCTTCAAGAAGGGGAAAACCTAAGCATGCTTCCCATTAAAATGAATTTTTTAATCCTATATCTTTAATTTTAAACTTGTTGTGGCTAAAAGTTTCGCTGATTTGATATGTGCTGGCTAGTCATTGTCAAATACGGCAAGATTTGGTCGCCTCCCAAATTCAAATCCATGGCCTTTAATCTTTTTACTTCAATATATCTTTCTGTATTCATAGGCGATGGAATAGGAAAAGTGATTCAACAAGGATATTTTTGAGAATCAAGCACCCTTCAAATTTATATTTTCATTTGCCATACTGTTCTGTACGGTTTTTTTTTTGAGTAGTCGTTTTCGGTTTTGTCCGGTTTTTAGTCCTGGGTGAGTTCTTTGTTATCCACCAACTATAAGTCTTTGCAAAGTTAACTGGTTTCTCTTTACGAACTTTTGCGACCAGCTCACACGTTGACCGAGTCTATATCGTTTTTCCCGTACAATATTCTACTTGGTATCCACATGGGAGATCCAAAGAAAAGAGGGGGGAAAAAATCTAGATCTAATTTTCTGCCATGCCTATGTAGCTACAGAATCTGTAGCATTGTGATATTAGAAACATTGACAGCTGAAGTGACACAAGTGAAAGCAGCAACATGCTTTTTATATTTGCATGGGACCATTGAACTGCAGTGCTGTCTTGGTGTGTCCTCCAATTTATGGGCAAAACTGACATTTTCATGTTTCCCTCTCCAGCGATTCAACCTTCTGAACGTGAAACAGATCGGTTTTCGTGTGAACTTTCCTAGTTTACATTATTTAGTTCAATTCCTTTCTTCTCGTTTCGTAAGGCAAACAAGCTGTTAGGGTTTTTCATGGGACAGATCTGGCTGGTAGACTCTTTCTTTGCACAGATTGGATCTAACATCAACCGATAATCATTTCAGACTAATTCACAAAGAAACCAATATCACTATTTGACTTTAATAATTAAGAAAAAAGAAGGCAGCAGTATACTTGACAATGTGTCCGAGTCAGTTGGCTAGTTGGTCCAGTCCCAGTCGACTTTTTAAGCCATGCTAATTGGTCGCTTTTTTAAGCCATACTAGACACAGATACCGATCCATAATTCTGCTATCATATCTCGTTGCAAGTTAAATATGTTTCTTAATTTAGTCAACTATTTGATGAAGCATTTTTTTTCAGCTGACTTGAGCTAAAAGCAATGATTCATTTGTTTATAAGTTTGCATGCCATTGATCTTTTGTTAAGGGTTTTTCTTGGCACCTTCTTGCAGGATGATCTTTCTTTCAAGCTTGAATACGTCCATCCATATCTTGATGGTCTATACAGTTCTCGAAACCGAACATTTCGTACCAGCTGCTTCAACAGTCGGAAATTAAGCCCAGTCTTTACTGGTGGTCCTGGGATGGACGAGGTTCCCCCCATATGGATCGACAGAGTGGGGGTCAAAGCCAACATAACAGAGGTACAGGAGATTATTTTGTTCACTGGTCTCAATGGATTTCCTTGATAGGTAGTATTAGTGGGATTTGTTATTTACATACTTCAGTTGGGTTAATTATATTTGCAGAACCTCACTCGGCAAAGCAAGTTTACATATGGTTTAGTTATGGAGGAGATCACAACACGTGATGAGACAAGCAGCATTTGTACGAATGGAACTCGTACCTTGCCATCCGGCGGATTGAACATGAATGGACCTCCAACAACTCTCAGTGGCACTGGCATTGACCGCATGGCCTTTGCCCAAGCAAACATCACTCGTGACAATACCAAGTTTGTGAATGGAGCGATTGTTGGTGAAAGGAATGTGTTTCAGGTAATATATGCTATATTTATACCGAAATTACTTGTCATCCCGATAAGCCCAAGATTCATCCATATTGAGGGGGTACTTCTCGTATAATCTACACAAGTAAAAGAATCTATGACTTCTGTGACGTGCAGGAATTTTTGTTTTAACTTTGATCTTGTGTTTGTGAGACTTTTGTGTGATCTATGTGATGAATACTTCGGTTTTGAGAAGTCATTGAATGATCTTTTCAGCGACTTACGCCTATGGTTTTGTTTTCTGGAAGACGTTAAATGATCTTCATTGTGAAAACTTCGACATGCAGACATTCGGTTTTAGAAGACTTTTAACGGTCTTCTTTTGCAAGCTCCATGTTAACTCCACACTATTACTTCTAATTAATTACGAGTATCTCAATGAATAGAAACTTTGACTGGTAGGAACATATCATTATATGCAAACTTCTACGGTGTAGTCACAGCTTAATATTCATCCAAGTTAACTTTATGATTTTGAGGCCTTTGCATGTAGTGCAAAAGTGTGTGCCTTTGTTTAACAATTAGACCAGGTGCTTCTGGTTCACTATGGAACCCTAGAGGAACCATTATTGATTCAGTTGTTTGCAAAAAAATAAAAGGCCAAAGATTGCCTTTTTGACATTTCTAGACTGAAGATTACTTCACTGGGCCTGTGCTTTCGTTTTCCGCTCACTGCGTAGTATAATCGTCATTTGTGGGCTACATGAATGCAGGGGGAAGCTTCTTCTTTTTTCCCGTGTTCTTCAGCTTATACTATTTCCCTATTTGCAGTTGGACCAAGGTTTCGGCATTGGCAGCACATTCCCAGTCTTCAACCGGCATCAGCTGACTCTAACTCGATTCCTCCAACTGAAGGAAGTGGCAGAAGGTGCCGGAAAGCCGCCGCCGCCTGTGCTGGTCCTTCATGGGCACTATGGCGGCTGTGTGGGTGACCTGCCTTCCTATGATGCTTTCACTCTCGGCGGCCCTTATTCTGTCAGAGGCTACAACATGGGTGAATTGGGAGCGTGTCGAAATCTCCTTGAGGTAGGCGACTCTGACTGAAGTAATTTCTCAATATTCATCTAGTCAACGATATTATATATCTTGGTTTTCTTTACCAACTTGTCCGTGCCCACAAATCGATTTGGTGTATGCATCTTCTCGGATGAGCAATTTATGCCCAGAGTTTAGACTTCAGCATGGTCCACTAGCCTTTTTTAAGAAAATAATATTCTGGATTTAGGCTTCAGCAGCATGGTCTGTCATAAAAGCCCACGATAATACATATGTTTATGAATATGAATTGCTGTTTTCTTTTTCCATAGGCAAGTTATTGGAGAAGAAGATATCCAGAATTTAGGGTTCATCGTCGTTTCTAAGTTAGCTTTTGTGATCTTGTCCGCTTCGCAGCTCGCCGCGGAGCTTCGGATACCCGTGAGGAACACCCACTTTTACGTCTTCGCGGAGCACGGGAACGACCTCGGGAGCTCCAAGGACGTGAAGGGGAACCCCACCGAGTTCTTCCGCCGAGTGGGCCACGGCTCTTCTTACGGCCTCGGCGTCAAGCTCGGCCTCGTCCGCGCCGAGTACGCCGTGGATCACAACGCCGGCACCGGCGCCGTCTTCTTCCGCTTCGGCGAGCGATTCTAGCGGAACGAGCCATTTTCTCCATTTCGTTTCGTAAGTTTTCTAAGTCTCATTTCGTTTGTGAAGCAGCAGAACGGCCATTTCTTTTCTCGAGGACTCATAATTAGCTGGAAGAGGATTCTTCTTTGTATCACAAACGGCCTTTTTCCGTTCATGCCTTTGTTACTTCGGTGGTGGACCGATTTGAGCTTATTGGGCCGTCGAACGGCCCCGTATTGCTGTCATGTGACGAATCTGGAGAAAACGGGCCTTTCATGGGCTCTCATAAATATGGTAATTTCTAACGACGAAGTTTGCAATGGTTGATTGAAGGCGATCCATCGATCGGTCCTCTGCGGGTCACGTTTGGGGATGTCGGTCTCCACCCGGGGGGCCGAGGAGCAGGGGGGCCGCTTTCTTCCCGCCGGCGGAGCTCTCGCCATCTGCCGGCGCTGGCGGCGGTTGTTGCTGCTGCTGCTTTGCTGCCCACGCCCGTAGAGGGGGCTCGAGGAGCTGCCCGGCCACGTCTGGCGGTGGCGACGGCTCGTCGTCCTCACCGGGGAGCGCGACGAGGCCTTTCTCACGGAGGGACGAGGGCTCTCCGAAGCAGGCGGCCCACAGGGCGTCGACGAGCTGCCGCTCCTCGCGGGCGGCGCCGAGGTCCTCGGGTCCCATCTCGCCGATGCCCCGGACCCTTCCCTCCAGTACCTGCCGCAGCTTCTCCTCCTCCGCCAGCAGCAGCGCCGCCGCCGTGGCCCGCTCGTCCCGAGCGAGCTCCAGGAGGCCTCGAAGAGCCGCCTCGCGAACGTCCTTGTCGTCGCTCGCAGCGAGGTGGACCATCTGCCGGGGGAGCCCAAGTTCCGAGACCAAGCCGCGGTCCGATTCGCTCTCGTGGACCAGATACTGGATGAGATTGAGCGCCTTCCTGCTCGAAATAACAGGATTTCATTATTTCCTCCCTCAAAGAAAAAACGATACAAAATAACCCAATTTTGTTAGGGTGATTAGACTGATTAGATATAATCGCTGAAGATGGCGGATCCGAACACCGACCTCTGAAATCTGGCATTCCCAGAGCCCAACGCCTCTCTCAGCCCGGAGTGGCCATTTGCCAGCCTGAACGCGGTCAGGCCCGGTTTGTTGTGCCGAATTAGAGCTGGAAACCAATAAAGAGTTCAATCACCAGCAACATAAATTCGAAAAGTTAAGACACTATTCATTCAGATGCAAGAACAAATTTTCAGACGCCGGCTATAAATAAATAAAAAATCCACTGTGATTTCTGGAAACAGGGTTTAGGATTTCAGAGTTTAGAAGGGTTTCAGGCTTTTGCCGTATATCAAGGTTTCGGGATTTAGGGCTTATTAGGGTTTAGGATTTAGTATCAGGACACGAAATAAAGCGGCACAGCTGGTCCGACCGATCCAATGGGAGATGCTTTGGCGAGAAATCCACTGGCTTGATTAATCTAGAACTCGTGACACCTGAGAAGGTAGTATCGGGTACTTACATGAGATTGCCCCGAGGGCTTTGGTGCGTACAGTGATATCCGGGTCTGAGCTGAAGTTGGAGAGGAGGGGCTCCATGCCGTTTGCGTCCATGACGAGCTGTTGGCTCCTGGGGTTGTTCTGAACTATGGTGGTCACCACTTCGGCAGCCTTGGCCCGAATCCCAGCGTTGGAGTTCTTCAGGTATCCGAGGAGAGGGACCAGACCCCCAATTGAATGGAGATCTGTCAGGTTAATTATAAGAAATTAGAACAATATCTGAAGAGATTGATTCTCACAACGCAAGGCCGAAAATATCCTGATCCAGATTGATTATATGATTCCCTTAAGCCACATGACCAATGAGAGCATATATAGAAAGGAACATTGAATTGAAAAGAACCCAGTCATCACCAAGTAATCATCGCTCAAATATTAGACCCAACGAAAGACTTGAGCATCCCAACCCCGACGACATCAATTGAGAACCATGTGTAGCCAAAGGAGGTGAACTTATATGTTTATACAAAACAGAAATTGTAAACTTATATGTTTACACAATATAACGGTGAAGTTGCGAGAGATTTGGGTCCTTTGCTGATAAAATCAGCATTAATCGTCTCACTATTAAATAAAATTACTACAAATATGAGCTGAAGAAAATAATAAATCTCCACCCATCGAATAGAAAAAGCAGGAGCAATGAGGTAATATTTGTATATGAACCCACCATTCGCCATGTCAATGGACTCAACGTGCTCCTGTAGCTCATCGAACATCTCTGCAGCACAATTAAGTTTGTCGTCATGAGTATATAGGGGAAAAGAATACAACCCGAAGCTCTACTCAATTTATTAAAAAGTGATTGATCACATTTAAAATTCACACGTAAATTGCAGAATAGCCTTCTGTTGAATAAATATCCAACTTCACCGCAGAAGAGACTGTTTATAACGCTTTGGATGCAGAACAACCGAAAAAAGTATCCCCAACAGAACTCTACGAAAAAGGGTATAATAAAAACCACATCTCCATGTGATGCAACAAAAGCTACATCTATTGTTTACATGATAACTAGTTTGGATAACAGCAATGTGGATAATTATAGTAACTATCGGGTTAAGGAAATTATGCTGTATAAAATTCCCAAATCTCTCAACAACGTGCTATGCACCCTGATGGCAACATAGCAGTTCAACAAATATTAGAATATGGATAAATTAGTAAAAAAAAAACGTCGACAAATATCAGTAAATACCTCTTCATCTCCTTACCTATGCTAACATTCAATGTTATTTCTTTATTTTCATAAAATGTTTTACTACAACATAGAAACAGCCTGGCATAGGGAAAATAATCATACAGAAGAAAAAATAGGAAATTCAGTCGCAGTCCGAAATCAAACGTGGAAAAAATAGTCCTGCCTGTTCTTAACTGAAAGGCAATTACAAGACAAAGAATCTGATTCCCTTATTTTCCATTCCATTTGTCCACACGCAATTGTATGTGAATCTACATGATGTTAAGAAATATCTTCCATGATAGAGCGGGAAAGAAAGCTAAATGCATACAGGAATATTCTTCAAGCAGATCACGGAGACCAGGAAGAAATTCTGTCATCAAGAAACATGAAAACAATCTGAATACGAAGCATTTGAGCAAACAAACAAACAGGTGAGTATCAGCCGCAAAACTGATACGAAACATAGGTAGTCCAAAGTCCGTACATAGGACTCAAACCCCTAGGTGAGACGATGCTACATAGGTAGCATTGAACCCTTGCTTGTGTCCAGCTTGCATATTGTGGTTTACACTTAACCCACTGCCTAAAGGTTATCACCAACTTTATGTACACAAAACGCAGATCAATTACCAGGTTAAAGAAAGCTTCCAAATACTTCGAATAGTAATAACATAGACAGAACAATATCAACGACCCGCAAAGAATAACTAAACTTTACAAGCCGAAATATCCCAAACGGCATCACTAAACCCAGTAAACTCCAATGATGCTTAAAATTATGCCTCAAAGCAATTTAGCTCCAGCCGAAACATTCCACGTGGATAGTCCAGAACATTAAAAAGCATGAACATGCGAAATTCAACAATTAAATTGTTATTTCTGAAAAACAAACGGTAGAACAGGGATGAGGTCAAATTTGATCAAAATGAATCAACCTAAATTCTCTTAGATTCTTATACAACGAAGGCCCACGAGTTTTATGCTGATTAAATCAGTAACTAGTTACTTGGTTTAGTCATAGAAACTAAGTAACGCCTAATCAATTGTACATGCGAAACGTTCCCAGTAGTATCGGCTCAGACGTTAAAATGAGATATCACCACCATAACTCGAATGAGGAACATGCTACCTTCTAGGTCGGACGGACTGACTCCCTGGGCCTGCAAGACCTCCTCGGGAGTCTTCATCACAAGTGTGATTTCCTTCATCCGTTTTACAACGTCTACCGTCTGGGCCTGCATAGCCTCCATGAACCATCTTCGATCCTCCTCGCTGAAAAAACAAACCCGGAGGGTAAAACTATCCGATTGGCAGAGGCAAAACAGACTCCTGCAGATCACAGGAGGAGAGGAAACCTGAGATGGCGCGCCGAGTCCGTTCCGTCAGCGTGAGCGAGGCTCCATTTGAGCAGCCCGTCCCACTTGAATCCGTCGTTCGCCATTGTCGATCTCCCCCAAAACCCTAGCCAACGTAAATACCACTCGAAATCATCGTTAATGTCGCTCAAGTATTCCCCCGGATCCTTCTAGAGTGAACTCGAACTTTCTTTTCCGCCGACACCGACCCAAGAGAGCCCGCAACCAGCCGGCCCAATAAGATGGGATGAATTTGGTCCACCCATATTGGCCCTGTTGAAATAAGAACGTGGACTCATCAACGGCCATTATTTAATCATCCATCATCCACTTGACCCAGTTTAAATAATGCATCGCAGCCGTTGAGCAAAGGATAACGGGCTCTGGAATGTTAGATACAACAAAGAGCCGAGGGCCCCACGAGCCCCGTTTTTCAGACAAAACAAGTGACCGAGTCTCCGGTCAACTCCTCGCCATGGCGGTTTATTAACTCCGGTCAACACGTAGCAAGGGATCTTTATGCAAGCTCGAGTTTAATTAATTACTGGTCCTTCTAATTTAACAATTATTTGTGGTACAAGTTCTCGGCGTGACGTCAGGCATCGTTGTTAATGGGCCCCACCATTGCAGAAGCCGAACAGGGGGAAAAAGAAGGCTCGGTGGACGCGAAAGGATGGGCTTCAAATGGGCCCGGCCGTGTAAAAAAGCCCACCTTTCTTGGGTACGGACAAGACAGTTCGACGGGCTGATGGATGTTCTCGCCTTGCCACGTGTGGGCACCGATTCGACCATGCCGCACCTCACTTCCCTGGAAGGGGGGGGGGCATACGAGCCATGCGCACGTGTGGATTTGCGAGGATGTATGGTCCGAACCATCGAACTCCCTCCGAGCTGACAATCCGACTCTCTCTCTCTCTCTCTCTCTCTCTCTAGGCTGTGTGATGCGAACATTGGGCGCATCTGGTTCGCTCTGCCGCTGGTCTTTCTCTCTAGGTGGGGGGCAAGTGGAGGGGAAAAGGCCCACGAGGCTGGTCTCGGCGCTCCTTCCTCGATCTTGCTCGTCGTCGCTGCTCTTTCTCTGTCAACTTTATGGTCTTTCTCTGCAAATTCTCTCCCCTTTTTATCCGCTAGATGCTCGTCTTTTCGTCACCAATGCCTTTTTTATTTGCCGTGGGAAATCTTTTTCGCGTTTATGACGTGTAAAATGCCGCCGGTGACGTGGCCGTCGGCCGAGTGGTTCACCCGCAAGCATCTCCCCGGGTGGGCCTTTTTTCTCGGCTACCCACTTTTTTATGGAGAATCGCAAACTCGGGATATTTTCGGGCGAGCTGGATTATTAATAAAATATTATTTTTTGTATTTATAAATTATCGAGTCCGGCTGGTCCGTAGATTCTCCTCTCCATTTCTAAGCGCATTCCTTAATGACTTTGACTACCGCAGTATGAGGACACCCATAGTCCAACGTGGAAATGACTATGGTACCCTGATATGCCGTGAATTTGAATGGTCATATGGGCATTTCAGTAAACACGAATTCTCTGCCTGGTCGTAGAGATCCTCTGCCGCCGATTCGCGGTTCAACGGCCTAGATGCCGGCTACACGTTTTGACGAAGTGGAACGGTCAATGTCGGCTGCTGTCTCCGTGGGCATTCATCCGCCACGTGTGAAAGAGCCCGCGCCCATCCCGTGTGAGAAACGAGCTGTCAGTGCTGCAGGAACTCGGGGGAGGAGAGAGAGAGAGAGAGGAGAGAGGACGCGGTTCCGATATTGAAGAAGGTTCTTTCTTGTCAAAGGGGTAGGTTTTTAAACCTTGGGCTGCCCTGACCGATCACGGCTCTCCCAATCGTGTTCCTTCACGCGCCGTGCTCGTCAGCGCAAGGGCGATATCCACCAGCCGGAGGCCTCTGCGACGACCGGTACCTCCGCCGCTTCTCCAATCCTCCCCCGGCGCTCGCCGATCTTCTTCCCGTCTGCTCCCCCTATTGCTCTAAATCACACCTCCCGTTTCTGCGATTTCGCGGCGCCGCTGGTTTCTGAGATTTTTTTTCTTTTTTTGGGATTGGGAGGGAGGGAAATGACCGGGCTTTTCGCATTCGATTCTCCTCCGAGCTCAGCTTCCGGTGATTGAATCGTCGAGGGGGTTTCTTGCAGATCGGGGAACCCTAAGAAGGAGGGGATTCGTTCTTGGGTGTTTCTTCTCAGATCCACCGGGAGCTCACCCAAAATTTGGAATTTCTTCTGGTTGTGGGTGTTTCGTTCAGGCGAGGTTCCCTCCGATGTCTTCCAGCATCAACTCCGCCGCGACGCCCTATTGGTGCTACAGATGCAGCCGCTTCGTCAGGGTCCCTGCGGGGGACGCCGTCGTCTGTCCCGAGTGCGAGATGGGCTTCGTGGAGCTCGTTGAGACGCCGCCGCGGCCCCTCCCGTCCGGCGCCCCCGCACCCAGAGGCGTGGAGCCGCGGCGGCGGCGCCTGCCGGCCACCGCTATGTACATGTTCAACACCCCCGCCGTGGGCGGCGCCGCCGCCGCCGCCGTGCGCCCCAACCATCATCCCGACGTGGGCATACGCCGCTCCCGCCGCGCTGCCGCTGGTGACCGATCCCCTTTCAACCCGGTCATCGTCCTCCGCGGCCCCTCCGACATGACCGGCGGCGGAGACGGCGAGCGCGCCGCCTCCAACGGCGCCTTCGAGCTCTACTACGACGATGGGACGGGATCGGGGCTCAGGCCCCTGCCGGCGAGCATGTCCGACTTCCTGATGGGTTCTGGATTCGACCGCCTGCTGGACCAGCTCGCGCTGATCGAGATAAACGGGGTCGGAGGAAGAGGGTACGACAACCCGCCGGCGTCGAAAGCGGCCGTGGAATCCATGCCCACCGTGGAAATTGAGGAAGATCACGTCGGCACGGATTCTCACTGCGCCATCTGCAAGGAAGCGTTCGAGCTGGGAGCAGAAGCCAGGGAGATGCCCTGCAAGCACATATATCACCAAGATTGCATCTTGCCGTGGCTTTCGATAAGGAATTCGTGCCCCGTCTGCCGCCACGAGATGCCCACAGATGTGCGGGGTGGGCGCGGTACGCAGGAATCGTTGGGGGACGAGCACACGCCGGCGGGCGGCGGCGGCGAGGAGGACACAGTGGGGCTCACAATTTGGAGACTTCCCGGCGGTGGGTTCGCCGTCGGCAGGTTCGCCGGCGGGAGGAGAGCTGGGGAAAGGGAGTTCCCCGTGGTTTACACAGAGATGGACGGGGGGCTCAATGCAGGCGGCGCGCCGAGAAGGATTTCATGGACCTCCAGAGGAAGCCACTCCAGGCACCGCGGCGGGGTTGGGCGTGCCGTTCGCGGCGTCTTCTCCTTCTTCGGACGCCTCTGGGGATCTTCCTCTTCGTCACTTGCCCCAAGGGTGACCTCCGATTCGGGCTCTTCCTCTTCTTCGTCCTCCTCCAGGAGGAGCCGGTCGGCTTCCGTCTTTACCAGGAGGAGCTCCATCAGCATAAACCATGACTGGGCGTTGGAAGACGGGACTAACAGGGGGAGGTCGAGAGAATAGTCAGGAAATTCAACGGGAAGACTCTTCCTCCCATCCAATAGCTCAAGGTCGACTGAAGAGGAATCGAGAGTCTTCGAATCCCCCATGGCCGCCAGAGCCTTCGAGCTCTCCTGTGAATACTGGCCTGCAAGAATTCATCTCTTCATCTCTCTCTCTCTCTCTCTCTCTCTCTCTCTCTGTGTCCCATCTCGAGAAGTACTCAGAGAAGAAGTGCCCGCCTGCCCTCTTGAGCTTCAGCGATTCGTTATTTCTTTCTGATACATCGCGTGAACCTTTCCATAAGTTGACACCCTTTTGTAAATCCAAGCAGCTGTTGGTTTCTCCCCGATTTCCGCTGTAGGGGAGGACATTGTACCAGAGCTTGGTAGAAGATTGAAGTTTCTGTAATGTAAGATGAAAGTCGCATCCTTCTCTCGGCCTGTTTCCTCTTCCCTCAGCGAGTTCTCCACTGATCTGGGCTCCTGCTTCCCCAGTCCCATCGAATGCTTCTTGTTCTCGAGCAGCGAGATCTCAGTTCCAGCTGCTCGATGGCTTTACCGTCTCGATAATTCTGAACTCGGGACAGGACACTGGATTGTACCCGGAGATAATCCTTTACCGAACAGGGTCTTGGGAGCTCCATGACGCCTTGCTGATCCCTCGAGCTGATTAGCCCGTGTGATAAATTTGCTGTCAATGGATGGATTATGTCAAAATAATTACCATAATATGGAACTCAATCCGCTTGTGCCCCTATTACTAATCTTGCTAGTAAGAATGTCAGCTGACCTCTCAACGCAGTCCGAGTCAAACCTCAATGGGAGTGAGAAGCAAAGGGAACAACAACCCACGTTGAAACTCAGAATAAGGCGGCGCAGCAATGTGGAGTCGTAGGTCAACGAATATGAAAGGGTACACAAATTTCATGGCGGTTTGGTCAATCTCCCCCCCCCCCCCCTCGTGCCTACCCCTGTTCATTCTACCAAGTTCCGCGTGTACTCCAAATTATTTGCGAGTTGACTCTGTCAAGGCAGCAATAAAATCTTATCACTTGAGTTGACTTTTTCAGCATAGTGTGAAAACCTCTCAAGCTCGGCTAAAAAATCACGTTTGGACAACCGACGACCAGTGAAACAAAGTCGCTTATGTGTGGATGGCAGCGATGTGACAAGCTCGGATCACTAGCTCCGATTTTCGGAGGCTTATTAAAGCTCGTGGACTTGTTCGCAACGTCAAAAGCCACTAAAATCTTGCCAGTACGAGGATATTTCTAGATCGCACGTTCACTGATAAGAGGGTTGAAAATCTCTCAGTTCCCCCCTGGTTTTTAGAAACTAGAGACCCTCTGTTAACCATTAGCAACCTTTTTAAGCCCTTTGTTAAGGACAGCTCCAAAAGAGTAGAAGGGGAATTGCAGGGGTCAACTCCCAAAGGTCATCAAGTGTCAGCCTTTCATGCGTCTGTCTAAGGGTCCAAGGGTCCAAGGGTCTATACTACTGATCCAGTGTCTGCCTTCTTCTCCACCCACAAGTCAACACCTTAGATTTAATGGTTGACCCTTATATTTCTTGCAGCTCTTTTTTTTTTTCTCTCACTAGCAGCAGGGAAGAACGATAAAAGAAAGAGACTAATAGAAATGAGGGGGCGGATGTAAGAGAGTAGAGAAGACAAGGAGATGAAATTAATACACCGAGAGTTTACATGGTTCTGAGAGCTCTCCTGGATCAACAACGCGCAACTCTTCTTCCTCTTACTTTAGAAAGAGAAGTCACTAGTAGAGAGGTTGGTTCTTCCTCTCCCCAGAGCCCTAGTAGAACCCCTTCCCGGCTTTCTGACGCCCCTTTCCGTTTCTCCTCCTTCACCTTTCTTCCTTTTTTCCGCACAATATAATCTGACTTCGGCACTTTTAAAGCCAAAGAGGATTAAGGCAAGTACGCCCCTTTGTCTCTTTGATTTGGGTCCTTCCGGCCGAAACCTGATTAAATCACTCTCCATAAACAACAATCTCTCACTTAAAGAGTGATTCTATATGAAAAAAGAAAATAAAAATAAAAGCACTTCTGTAAGACACATCCTTCATCCTCATATCTGCTAAATGTTTCAATCGGCTAATCTTCTCAAGTCCATCCTCCGACAAGTTTTGAATAAAATAGCATCGCAATTAAATATGCTTGGTTTTAGAATAAAACACAGGATTCTTTGGTAAATAGATGTCAATTATAGTATAGAACAATACACTATTTTCACCATTATTTCCTTAATGTCATGATCTCATTACTGAAAATGACCAAATTGGACTTGTTGATGTGACTTATAACAGAGATACCTTATGTCATTTTCAAATTGAAGAGACGCCACATCAAATATACTTTATTTGATGCTGACTACTTATCATGCATATTTGCTATCATATTCTTCTAATTACAAATATTGAATGCAACATTTATGGCCAATGTTAAATGGATTACTCCAACTATTGTCAGCTATTTGGTGACATTTTTCATGGCATCACATTGAACAAAGTTTGATAGAACTTATTCTGATAAATGTAAATACTTTTCTGAATTTAAGAAAGATCCTTCCTATGAACCTTTTCAATTCTTATTTTCCCTTCATCAGATACCACAACTCCCACAAAGTTCTCAACAAAGAGAAATCTCAGCCCATATGTCTCAAACAAAGGGTTTAATACAAATGGTCAGGGAGAAGAAGCGTAATGCCTTCATTCCCTTTGCAACAACATAATAATGACGAGAGAAGGAAACTAATAAAATGGAAGAGCTGGAGGTATGAGAGAAACAATGAGAAAAAATCAACGCACTAAGGGTTTAAGTGGTTTGTACAACTCTCCTACATCCAAAGTTTACAAGTCTTCTTCCTCTCAATCTAGAGAGAGAAGTTCCTCTCTTAAGCCAAACGGGGGGAGATATACGTATGCCTCTATGTCTCCCCCATTTGGGTCCTCTCGGCCCAGACTTGATCAAATCACTATACACCAACAACACAGTATTATTATTGTTATTATATGTAGAAGTGAAAGAATGGTTCAAGAGATTAGTCTTTTTGGGTCAAAATAAATACGCAAATTAATTCAGAAATTAGTATCTTTGTAATGTTGAAAATTAGCTTATTGCATTCAAGAGCCTACATTGTAGGAGGCAATGTATGATTAGAGGGTTATGGTCCCCTTGACCTCTTAATTTCATGAAACGAATGTTTCCAATAATTAAAACCTACGAAATATTATTTTTATTATATAAAATATAGGTCAATTTAGTGTTACCCCGTGGAATTGACCGAATCTTGATCTAGAACCCCTCCAAGTCGTGTGACTTTGCCATATCAAGTACCCCCGAGGTAGTACAAACCAAAAAGTCAATGCCTGTACTACACAACTGAGACGAATTAGCACCCACGTCTTAAACTTAAACCTCCTCCAGTTGTCTCCCTCACCGGTTACCTCCATAAGATACGCGACTCCTGCTGAAGAGACGGCAACACCAGAGAGTTGGAAGATCTCGTCCCATTCCATTCTCCACCGCATATGGCCTCCCTGAGAACCATTCACGTGGTCCTGCTTCTCCTCGCATGCGCCGGGTCGCTCGGCGTCTACGGCCACGGAGGTGGCGGCGATGGCGAGGAGGCACCGACAGGCGTGGACCTTCGCTCCAAGAAGCTCATTGTTACGAAGGTGCTGTGCCTCGTGATACTCCTGGTAAGCACCTTCGCCGGCGGCGTCTCCCCATACTTCTTCCGCTGGAACGAGAGCTTCCTCCTTCTGGGTACCCAGTTCGCCGGCGGCGTCTTCCTGGGCACAGCCCTCATGCATTTCCTCCCCGACGCCAACGAGACCATAGCCGACCTCACGACCAAGACGTACCCCTTCGTCTACATGCTTGCTGCTGCGGGGTATCTCCTCACCATGCTGGGAGACTCCGTCATCATTTACGTCATTGAGAGAAACACGAGCGAGGCGAAGGTGGAGGTGGCAGAAGGGCAGGCCGCGGAGGAGCGAGGTTTCGATCCTCATCCGAGCCTCGTGAGGACGAGCTCCACGGGGGATACAATTCTGCTCATTCTCGCCCTCTGTTTCCACTCCGTCTTCGAAGGCATAGCGATTGGAATTGCAGGTACGGGGAGGGAGGAAAACCCTGCTCTGAGCATGGAGCATGGATTAGAAAGCGATCTTCTGACGAACACCCCCTGCGCATTATTTCAGACACCACCGGAGACGCGTGGAGGAACCTTTGGACAATCAGCCTGCACAAGATATTCGCCGCCGTCGCCATGGGGATCGCCCTCCTGAGGATGCTACCGAAGCGGCCGCTGGTCATCACCATGGTCTACTCCCTGGCGTTCGCCGTGTCGAGCCCCATCGGCGTGGGGATCGGCATCGCCATCGACGCCACCACACAGGGGCGCGTGGCAGACTGGATATTCTGCATCTCGATGGGCCTCGCCTGTGGGGTCTTCATCTACGTCGCCATCAACCATCTCATCTCCAAGGGCTTCAAGCCGCAGCGCCCGAGCAGCGTTGACACTCCTTTCTTCAAGCTCCTGGCGGTGGTCGCCGGCGTCGGCGTCATTGCCATCGTCATGATCTGGGATTGACGGCCCACCACCACTCCATTCGAAGACGTCCCAGGGGAGAGAATCTGAAAACCCTTAAAAAGTGTGCCGCTTCTGCCGCTGCCGGCGGCGGTGGCGGCGGTGGCGGCGGCGGTCGCTGGTGAGGATGGGGAGGAGCCCTAACTGGCAACGCAAGCTTGGATGTTCGCTGTAAATGGGCCAACATGGGCTTTAATGTAGTCGCCTGTTAAAACTTTATAGCCCATTTATCGGGCCCAGTTGCACTCCTTCTGAGGTCCACACTTGAAAAGGTCGAAGCTATTTATTAAAATTATCTTCATATCCAGTATCTCGGCTGAGGCTTATCTGGGAAAAAAATATCGCCATGCTTATCCAGAGTGGTGACGTGTCGACTGTTTCACCTCCAGACCATGTGGATCCTGACGTGGCTCTCTGTCTGTCGACCGTAAAAGAATCTCGAAAACCCGTCGCTGTCTGAGTCACTGGTTGAGTTGGAAGGATTACTCTGACGCCGTGTGGTTCCGTTAAAACAAACGGTAGTCTTTTTGGACCGTCTCCATCGCCGTCCATCTCCTAACGGCAACGGCAAGTGTGAAAGTGCCGAATGGAAGAAAACCCAATGTTTTTTGCCATTCTTCCTCTTCGCAGGACAGAGCTCGTGTGGGGGGAGAAACCCCACGTAAGCCTCTGCAACTCGGGGGTTCCGGCGATGGACGAAGGCAAGCGCGCTCTACTGGTTGACTTCAGGTTTGGGCGAGTTCCGATCGTTCTTTGTCTCTTTTTATTGTTCTCCGCTCGTGATTTGCCATGTATTTATCAACTGCGCAACCGTTCTCTCTCTCTCAAGGCCTGGTACGAATGTGGGAATCTAGTTCGTGGTTGGCCCTCTTCTGGGTCGCTGAAGGAAAGGGGATTCCTGTCTGCCGCCGCCGGGGATTATCAGTGATGTGCAGGAAGGGGCAGATGAGGAACCCAGATCTGTTTTGTAGATTTCAATTCCTTCGTAGATCATCAATTCCTTCTGGCACAGACCGCTGCTGCTTCCCGGATATTTTCCCTTCTATCTAGTTCCTGATTTCCGTTGAATTCCCGCGCAACTTATGTCTGCGACCGTCTCCATTGGGACAGATTCGGGCACGAGGAAGAACATCAGCACAGCTCCCCCGACTCAGGCAAGAAGAGGAAATTTCAGCAGGAGTATCTGAGCCTGACCCTGCCCCTTTCAAAGCAGAAATTCCGAGACCGACCCTGCAGCACCAGCAGCTCCTCTCATGGATCCTCCTCAGCCATCACTCAGTTGGAGTCCGATGAGACTTCTGAAGGAAGCATGACTAGCGACATGCGCCAACATTCGAGGGGATCTCCCACGATTAGCAACAGCAGAGACTCGTCCGAGAAGCCCGTCCCCTGCTCACCATCTTGGACGTCGTCCTTCTTTGAGAACAACCGCTATTCCCTGTGCAGCAGAGTCCTCAATAACGCAGCAGTCGTGACCAACACGATGGTTTCTCCTTCAGACGAGGAAATCCTGACAGAAGCTGTCGACGAGGTGCTGGAAACGTACGACGACTACTTCGGAGACATCCCACAGGCCTCCATTGAAGAGCAGACAACATACTCCACTGATGTCACCTCCGACATCTCGCTATATTTTTCTCCTAGATGGGGTATTAAACGAGACATTAAACGCTCTCTCTCTCTCTCTCTCTCTCTAACATGCACACACATTGTCACCTGCTCTGTCGAGCCCTGGCCTGAGATGAACTCGGGTTGGTCTGGTTTCGCCTGCAGGTGCTCGTCTGGGCTCGAGGAGGCCGACGATCGACGAAGAATTCGAGCGGTACTTCTCTGCGCTGATGCTCTAGCAGCCCGCGCCAGCCATCCATAGAAGACTGCGGCGGTGGAAGGACATCCGCGCGGTTACAAGATCAGAGAAGCGGCGACCTTGTTACTTTAAATAGGGTGATCGCTGACGTGGTGGACTTGTATTTTGGGCCGCTTCGGCAGATGAGACAATAGGCCTGTTAATGAATGATTTGGCCAGTATTTCCAGTACACGGTGGATGACCTCTTTTCAGTGTCTATCCTCAGGTCCCAAGCTTAAATGGGCCGTACAGAAGGAAAATCCATAAATGGGGTTTCATGATTTCATGGGCCTTAGAGGCCCAACCCATTGCTTTCGTGGGCTTGTATTATGTACCAAAGGTTAGCCCAAGACAAGCCGTCTACAACAATATTAGATTCTCACATGCCAAAGCCCAATGAGGCCTAGGAGGGTCAGCCCAGCATGTACAAGATTCTAACTATCACACGGGTAACTCTCTAGTTATACATTATCTATCTACGAGATGACTTTTAACATCATCCTCCACCCTTAACTAGAATCACAAGAGTGTGACACGAAATGGATCCTTGCTTTTCACGAAACAAGGGTAAACAATGGATGTGAGATGATTTATCCACTCAATCAAGCAAAGGCTTATTTTTTTATAATGAAAAATATGGGCACACAAAGGGTCACATAACTCTTCATATGTTTGACATTTTGCCCCCATAGCCATCTTCATATGCCTTTGTCATATACTATTTCTCATTAGTTGATGCTTCAACTTCTCAACAGTCTACTTTCCTATCAATTAGTACTTTATCTCTTTAACAGTCCATCTTTCTATTTGTTGGCACTTCAGTCTTGTTGAAGATCTATCTTTTGTTGTATGTGCTTATTTGTACCACCTCTCCAACACTGCCTCTTGTTTCCTATGCATGTGCATGCATGCTTTTGTAAATGTTCACTACATTCCATCGTCATTGGGCTGACACTATATTCATGTTGCTGTACCTTTTATCTCAACTATATAAGTTGTTATGAATCATTGTAGTACGCTAGTAGAGCCATTTGCTCATCCTTGACATACATGCACATGTGTCCCTACCTTTTTAAGTTTAGTGTCATGACATGTGCTTTGCACCATTGAGGTATATGACCATACACTAGAGTAGATGTTTCCCAACCAAAGTCACACAGTAACGTCACATGCTCTTATATGTGAGCCTCATTGCTGCGTACATGTTGCATTTATGGCATTTCATGCTTTTGTGGATGTCACACATGAATGTTTGTATTATTATGTGCCTATGTGCTCATAGCACATGCTTATATACACCATGTTGTATTGTGCTTTGTTGACACACCCTTGACATGTACTTTTGGGACCACTATTTTGTACTCATATTGGTGATTTAAATGTGTGTTGAAACAATTATAGAAACTCACCTCTTTATGTCTTGAAATTGTCTATATTTGATAAAAAAGTGTGTGCACAATGTAGATGATGTATGTTGATGACATCTCTTCTCCACGTCCTCATTCTATATCATGTACACCTTCATGAATGAGAATTGAAAAACTTGGTAAATCAATATTCTTCTCTTGAGATGGAGCTAATAAATCTATATACTACTAAAATCACATTTTTTAAGGGTCTATCAAAACACAATAAGAACCTTAAACACTATTTGTTTTTCTTGATGCTATTATAAATCCCTTAGTTTAGACACAACTTATTGATATCTTATCTACACATCGATAATTGTACACATTTTTCTTCATTGTTACTAAATAGTTTGTTGATCTACTCTATTTTACTTTCTCTAGTAGGATTAAAGACTATGTACTCTATTGTGATATTAAATGATGAATAATGTGTAATCAAATAATATTTAATTATATAATATACTTTTTATTCTACTATTAGAGTTAAATAAGAAATAATTTTAACTTAATAAAATATTATTTTTACAATGAATGAGCAACATTCATCTTAAAGATTCTATCCAAACTAAAACAACAATAGGTATAAACTAGTGGTGGTGAGGACCGTCACCACTAGTGAGATATGATGAGTTAAAATCCTACATTTTCAAACATAATGAGAGCTTTAAAATTAATCTTTTACTTACACAATTGATGTCATGTGTAGCATCACTTAATGATGTGTGTGTACCTCTTGCCATATAAAACATGTCCATTGTGAGACATACATGCAGCTCACCTCGTACTTCCACCTTACCTAGTGTGTTTGTTGTCTTATGCACATTCATTGTGTTGAAGATTATCAATGTTTTTTGCTGAATTCTCTTGTGTTCATGATTATGTTAATCAAACATTCCAACCTCCTTATTACCTTGTAATTTGTAATGGTTGTACAATTCTTCTACCAAAGCAATAATTGTTGAAAGGGTATGCATCCAAAGCTATCAAAGTTTTAACTATGTATAAGGTTGTAATCTTTCTATAAAATTGTAACCTTTTTCAACTTTAGTCAGGTCATGATACTCAAATATGAGTACCTTAAATTATTCTACATAATCTTACATTGAAACACTATGATTTAGCTTACATGATGCATTTCAAATTTCTCTCATTTCATTTGTGAGTCTAAGCTTTTATTTAAATTATTTTTAAAAATACTTTAATTAACCAATAATTCTACAACCAATCCACTAACCACCTTTTTCACTAAGATTTTGCATCTGATAATATCAATTTCTAACATCAAAACCTTTTCATTCTCTAATATGCACTCATTCAGAAAGTGTTCTTAAATTTTTCTTATTGGTAATACATACATAACAATCTTATAAAATTTAGATTTTGAGACCATGATGCAAATCATGACTTCTTCATATTACATATTATTTTCTTATGATTTTCTTATCCATCAAATCTTTATCATGTTATCCACCTTATTATGTGTACTTCTCACACTCTATTCTTTTGTTGTCAAATTGGTATATGTAAATTCTTAAGAAGTTACTACCTGTAAATCTTTCATATGTTATTTTAACTTCTTATATTCATTTTAAGTTCTTGAAATTAAGATTGATGGACACAATTTCTAAGGTAAATTTTGGCATGTTCTCTTCAAAAAATTTATATTTATAATACATCCATAAAAATCTCATAAATTTTAGGTTTATGGACCCTAATACAGATCATGGCTTCTTCAATTGATGTGTATATATACATATATATTATTTCTTATACACTAAATTCTTTATTAGGTTCCACACCTCATTATGTTTACTTCTCATAATATGTTCTTTTGCAGTCACATTCGATGTGAGTAATTACTTCAAAAGTTACTTTTCAACCTTTCACATATTCTTTAACTTGTGTTCATTTTTGAATAGTAAAATTCAACACTAAGATAAAATTTATGAAACTAATTGTAGCACCTTCTCTTTAAAATTTGCTTTTTTCAGGCACATCCATAACACTCTCATAAAATTTAGGTTCAATGATATTAATGTAGGTTATGACTTCTTCAATTGATGAATTATTTTGTTATTATTTCTTCCACACTAAATCTTTTATTAGATTCTCCACCTTATAAGGTTGTACTTCTCACATTACTAATCCAACTTGTAAATTATTGTAAATCCTTCATATGTTTTTTTAACTTCTTGTGTTTATCTTTGAATTCTTGAAATTGAGTATTAAGGGACACAAGTTCTAAAGTTAATTATGATACATTCTTTTTAAGTCAATTAATTCTTTGACCAGCATTTACTCTCTTGTTAGAAAGCTTATTACCCTTAGTGTCCATTATATCATAGGGTAACAATGAAAAAAAGTAGTGGCCACATAATCTGAAATTACAAAAACATTAATAAATATACTAACAACCTTGTTTGATTTTACTAACAAAATTATCTCATATAAATTTTTCTTATGCTTAGAACAAGAAAAATGAAGACTTAACCTAAGTGAGTTGGTCTTCCATGATAAGCTCACTATTGGCCTTACCTTGAGAGCTATGGCGACAATGGCCCTCACTATTTGCATCATAGTTTTAGAGACCGTAATATAAGTCAAGGTTTCTTCGGTTGAAATATTTTTATTACTATTTCTTTTGCAACAAATCCTTTCTTCTCCACTTAATTAAGCATACTTATCACGCTATTTTTTTGTCATCACATTGATATTGATAATTACTTCAGAGTTACTACTTATAATATTTTAATATTTCTTTGACTTTTTGTGTTCATCTATGAGTTATTAAAATTAACTATTGAAGGACATACTTTCTAAAACTAATCACAACACCCCTCCTCTTACAAATTTTCTTACTTATAGCACATTAATCACATCTCATAAAATTAGGTTCAAAGATTTTGATGTAGGTCATGAGTTCTTCGATTAACATTATTTTTTGTTATTTCTTATGCACCAAATTATTTATTAAGTTTTCCACCATATTGGGTGTCATTTTATGATCATGTTAGGTCTGTGTAACTATTTAAGAAGTTCCTACTTGTAATTTTTTCAGATGTTTCTTTAACTTTTTGTGTTAATCTTGGAGTTTTTGAAATTCAGCATCAAAGAACAGAATTTTTAAAGCTAATTTAAGCACCTTCTCTTCATGGAGATCAATTCTTTAATCATCAATCACCATCTTGCTAGAAACCCTATTACACCTCTTAGTATCTACTATCTTCATAAAGTGATAATAGAAATGATACAATGACCCCACATTCTAAATGATCAAAACATTAATAAATTTACTCACAACCTTCAATTGATGTACCCATGACGTTGTTCATCTAATTTATCCTAGTGTAAGAAAAAAGAAAAGTAA